ATACGGAATATGTGTAAGCAGACTGGCAAATGTAGCAATATCACAGGGACACAGTTACCGCCGTGTTGTAATCTGGAACAAATGGAACAGAAATTGGGTGGAACGTTGATACGATGATTGATATGCACACGAATAACCAACAACACTCAGACTCACACAAACTCACAGAAACGCACATGAAAACAACAAATGACAGCAGGGTCGTCGAACGGTCGAACGCGGCACATCCACGACACCACTGTCGTACCGCAGGGCTCGATGGCATCCTGCCAGGCGCAAAATGCATCTCTCTTTGGGCTACGGCCCGTTGGAGGGGGTGGGAACGGATCCTCTATTTTTTATTTGTCTTCTGCGCCGCCATATGGACATGCCGTTTTGATGTCGCTGCCCACGAGCGCAACTGGCCGAAGGGGCTTGGGGTCCAGGGGTGGTGGGAAAGGTAGGAGGAAGGAGGGATTAAAGACGGAGGGACTTTATTTGTTTTCCTTGGGAGAGGGACACCCAAACAGAGACAACCTCGACAAATCATATTTTTGTCATTGTGCCTGGGGTCGTATCGGGGCGCTCTCAATGGCGCCTGCCTTGCAGGTCGAACAGGATTTGACTGAGTAGGCCTGGCAAGGCCCAGGCGAACGGGGAGGGGGGCAAGAGCCAACCAAGTGACCCAGGTCCAGGGGCCGCCCATGGGCAAAACATTTGGGCATAGCGCCAATAGCGGAACTCGGCCGTTAGAAAAGGCAACAAAATAAACGATCCCCCGCCTGCAGGACGCCAGAACTGGTTGCGACGCCTTAACCCCCTCGCCCCCCTACGGACGACCATTTTCAATGCCACCCTGAAAGCCCACTAAAAACCACCACAAGTGCCCGCCAAAAACTGCCAGCAGAGGCGAGACGACCCGCCGAGGTCCAAATGCAGCGGCCTTTTTCCACCCCCTCCCCGAGTTTCTTTCCGCACTCTCTCACTTTCAGCATGGCGCCGTGTTTTCCCGTTCCGCACCTGCGGCAGCGTGGGAAGCTCACTCTCACGCCGTCCGCCGACTACGTCGTACTGAAGTATACAAGTATACATCGTATGTCTGTCAGGTTAGGCAAGGTCAAACGATGCCAGTGTGAGCGGTCGTCCATGTCATACAGAGATATGCCCCTATGCGGTTATACTGCTGTATTGCGTACGTGTGCACGGCTGTCCGAAGAGCTCCGTCGTTTCGAAATTTGGCCTTTCTTAATTGTATTCCCTTTTTGGGCGATTTCATTCGACTTTGAAAGCCTCGCTATCGTCAAAGTGGGATACGCAGCACAAACACGTCGGCCCCACTGTTCCTTGGGGGGGTTACGGACACGCCCAAGCCCCACTTGCCCTCTGCCCTCTGAAAACGACCTGAAATCACAGCGCAAACTACCCCTTCACCACCCTCTCGGTGACCTGCAAGGCGTCAGACGCCCCTACGGCCGACCGAGTAACTGAGAGGGTTCAGTGCGTGCCCTCTGCTGCCCTCCACTATCTACTGTCGGTAACAGACCCCCAGACTTCCCTCCCAGACTCACTCCCCCACACCCTGCCAACAGCCCTTTCGCTTTTTTCGGTTCCCTGCCCTAACGGTCTAGCGTATGCATGGAACCTTCACGCTGTCCCTTTTTGGGTGCCCGCAGAGAACTGCCAGTCAATACATTACCACTCTTCTGGAGCGGCACGGTCTGCCCACTCACTACTGTGCAGGCCGGCCCTCTTGTGTGCTCCGGAGTTTATTCTTATTCTGCCCATTCCGTTTTTCCTTCCCCTTTCTTTTGGGTCGTTTTAACTTTGTTCCTTCCTCGCTGGGCTGAAATGCCTTGTGGCTGCAGGAATACATGTACAAACAAACAAACAGAAGGAGGGGAGGGGGTGTACGTGGACCAAGGACAGGCGCATTTTCATTTTCAACATGCGCCGTCAGTGCACAAATCATTCGTCAGAACAGACACGGAAAGAGGAAAGGACGAATTCCTCTCGCATGTGCGTGACCGCCACTGGCCCTCTGTTGTTTACTACGTTTGCCAGTCGTTCTTCCTCTTTGCGGATCAACGATCGGTACACCGATCGTGCCTGCCGTGACGTACAGTAAACAAGCTCCTCTTCTTCATCTTCATAGAACATCATCCACCCAAGGACGGATCACCGCATCGTCTCGAGGCCAACAACAGATGTGACATGTCGAGGACACACCGTGTCCGGGCGTGCACACACAAAGCAAGAAAAACAGCCTTAAATCCATTTGATGCACGGGCTATAATCTGGCTGGTATTGCACGGCTTGCCCTGCATCGCCTCACCTGCTCACTCACCTGTTGCCCTCCCCGCTGGCCTTTCTTCCCTTTTGCTGACGGCAATCTGCAGGCCTTCCTGCGAACGGCAAACCCTGTCAAGAAACACTGGCAAAATTCCACCATGCGTGCAGGAACAGTGCAGGAGCTGGACGGCGCCAACATGGGTAGATGGGAAGAAGAGTCAAAGTCAAATGGGACTGCGGACATATGTGACGAGCCGACCCCAAGAGCAGACCCCGATTGCGCAGAACTTGCAGGCAAACAAACATTCATACGTGCATACAAGCATACACAAGGAACACCCGCCCCTCTCGACTGGCGAATGCTAGAGGCCGGTGGCCCTGTTGACGTAGTGTCTTGTCGGGGAACCAGCATATCACATCATGATTTAGCCCCCATTGATATGTGCACGACTCCCACATGCATACTCCCACACAATGCCTTTCTTGCCTTTCCCATATTTTCTGCCCCTTTTGTCGCTTTTGTCCTTTTTGTCCCTTTTGTACTTTTGTTGTCTTGCCCTTTCGTCTTTTGTCTTATTCTCTCTTATCTTTTGTTCTTTTGCCTTTTGTTCGTTTTGCTGTTTTGCCCTGTCCTTTGGGTTATCCATTGCGCCTTCCGGGTATCGTGGTCACTGGTCTTGCCTTTTGTCGTTTACCTCCGTCGCACTTTCCCCGTCATCGCCCTCCAAATTCTGCTCTCACACCCCCTTTCTCCTGCCACCCCCTCCTCCCATGCCATGGGCAAACCCAGGCGTGTATGTACCTCGTATCCACGCTAATATTTGGCAACCCACCACCCCTTCGCGGGTTCGCTCTTCTGTGTCTTCTAGCCTGTGGCCCCTGCTGGGCCCAGGCTAAACTGGCCTAAGCGGCCGGCCGCCCTACTGCCCAGTATTGCTGTCATTCCAACTACTCCGTAGCGAGCCTAGCTCCTTGCCTGTCGCCGACTCTCTGTCGCCCTCTCCCCATAATATTTTAGCTTCGCCTGTAGTTTGCATCTTACCACTGGTGTTTGTTTTTCTGGAAGGTCGCTACTTCCCGCTGACTGTGTTGTGTGTGTGGTTTGCGCCTTCCCACCTGAACGGGTCCTGCCCAAAACTAGAGGCTTGTCCCCGTTCCCTCCTGCCCCAAAACCACGCCCGCGCTTGCTGCTTTTGTAGCAGCTGAACACACTCGACCACGCACCACACAATAAACAGTCCTGCCCATATTGAGACAAGGTACACACACACACACACACATCGTTGCAGCTGCCCGCCTCCGACACAACATCAGCTTATTTTGCCTTATTTGCCTTTATTCTGCCATTCTCTCTCTCGTCCTCCTTTCCTCTTCCCACCACATCCTCTTGACCTTTTTTTATATTTTATTTCTTCTGCTCCCCTCCTGTCCTCGAGCCACTCTTGCACGCTTGCTTGTGTCTGATCTTGTTTGTCCCGGGCCAAGATCGATCTTGTTTTGATTGTGTCGTGTCCCCTCTTCCGTTATATTTATTCTTGCCAACGGGTGCCAACTTGGACATTTCCGCTTTCTACTTTACTTTTGACTTGCTTCTCGTCGTTCCTTTGCGCCTTTGGCTCCGGCTCACTCCTTGTGCCGTTTCTCTATACGGTATATATCCGACTCGTCTTCTCTTCGTGTCTGAATCGCCTTGCCATAGCGCGATCTGTTGGCGCCTGGCCTTTTTATTTATTTCTTCTTTGTTTTCTTTTTCTTTTTTTTTTTTTTTTTTTTTTTTATCCTTCTTTCTTTTCTCGTTTATTTCTTGTTTTTGCTCGCCATTCCACTTCTTTGCAGCTGTACCTCTCCGCGGCCCAGTTTTGCCTCTGTATCCTGGCTTCTGTTCGCCGACGTGCTACGTTCCATCTTGCCTCTTTGCTCTCTGTTCCTTGAGGAAAGCAAAAGCTCCCAATTTCAGCTTCTTCGCCCTCTTCGCATCTTGTCTTTTCAGCCGAGACCGCACAGATCTATGTTCAGTCCGCCTGCGGCACGAGTTATGATTCGACGTGCTACCTAGCGGCGATTCCCGGATTTCCCATTCTTGCGCCCGTCCAGACCGTCAACTTGTCAAATCGTCAAATCGTCAAACCGTCCACCCTTTTGACCCGTCAACTTGTCAAATCGTCAAATCGTCAAGTCGTCAAGTCGTCAAGCCAGCCCACACGCACCGGTCCTCCTCGAACGCTTCAGCCACATTCAATCTCTGCATCCCAGGAGGACAGAAACTCGCCTCCCCCTTTCATCCGTTTTATTTTTTATTTCCTTTTTACCACACACAGACTCCACCCTGTGTCCCTGATCCAGTCCCTCGGATGCGGTCGACTGCTGAATTACGACATAGCTCTTCCACTCCCTTCTCCTTCGTATAACTTCCTTTGCCTCCCCTCCCTCCTTCTCTCCTTTTCGTGTCCTCCCCTTCTACCTCGTCCACTCTAACACTCCCCACCCCTTTCTCCTCTCCCCCCAAGCACCCCCCCTCCCCCCTGCCTTGCTGTCGCTTCCCTCTTGTCCTTGCCGGTGGCAACAACAGCAACAAGGCGAACGGCAACTCGCTTGGTGTCCACTTCCGTCCTCTTAAGGCTGGTCTGGTGCCAATTCTCGAAGGCGACTACGATTTTGCCGACGTGCAGACGAAGAAGCCCACATCTCCCATAGCCACAACAACAGAAACAAAGAGAGGCCTTTCGCCAACAATGGAGATTCCTCGACCCGCCCCACGCCCCCAAGGCGGCCATGGCCTGCCCTCTATATACATAGACGACGACATGCCCTCCAGCTCCTATCACGGTTCCCATCGGTCTCCCTATGCCTCGCCCTTCTCGCACGCCATCTCCTCCACCCCCATGTCGATCCCCAACACCTCAGAAGACGACCGGCCGCCGCCGCCGTTACCACCTCCGCGCGTGGTTCCCGTCTACGGTCCAATGTCGGCCGCCGCAGAGGAGTACCGCCGCCGTGAGCTCGAGCCCGTCGAGGAACTGCCCAACTACAAGACCCGGCAAGACAGAGACGAAGGATACCACTCCATGGAGTCCCGCAGCCGAGACTCGTTTACGTCTGCCAAGTTCGGCATGCACCACGACCACTACCAGTTCAAGTCGAGCGCCGACGCCTACGACAATTCGCTGCTGAAGAAGCTCGACATGCGCCGCACACTCGACAACCGGTCACCGCCCCGCCTCGGCCGCCTCAGCGCATCTGCCCGCGACGCATTGCGCCCGGCCGACCGCTTCCCGGCCCTTCAGCCCCTGTCGCTGCCCACGCGCATGAAGCAGCCGCACGGCCAGCCGCTCCTCGACTCCCCCAACCGGTATACCGACACCCCGATGGTCTCGGCTGTGTCCCCGCGCAGCACACCCTTCAGCCACCGGTACAACAGCAGCGGCTACCGGTCACCGAGAAGCGACATGCCCGACTACGACCGGTCACCTGTCGGTGCTCGCAACCGTCGAACGAACAGCGGCTCGATCACCGACGACGCGAGTGTGCACGACCCAATGGATGACGACACCAGCTTCACGATGGAAGAGACGCGGCTACGCGACTTCCACATCGACACGCCCTTGTCTCGCGCAGCAGGCGACTACCATGCTGCAGGTCAGAAGCGCCGCGCATCATCACCGCCTGGCGGCGACGAGCCGCCCATGCCACTGTACAACATGACGTCGAGCGAGCACCTGCGCTGGCGCGAGGGCGCCTCGCGCGGCTCGCCGGCTCCGCGACTCAGCGCCAACACCCAGGACTCCATCTCCTCCGTCTCCTCGTCGACTCGTACCGGCTCCTACAGCTCCAACCTGTCTGGGGCCGCGACCAGCGTTACCAGCATGGCCGTGTCTCTGGCAAACGGACAGGGACGCCGGTCACCGAACGGCGGCGTCTCACCCCCGGGCGGCATGTCTCCGACTGAGACGGCGAACGCGTCCAACTCGGCGAGCACGTGTACATCGCCGTTCGCGTCCACGGTTCCTCTGCAGGTGTCCCCGCGGTCGGCCGCATCCGCGTCGCGTCCGCAGCAGGAACGGATTCGGGAGACTGCGCATATTGTGTCGTCGCCCACGCGCCGACTGCCGGACATGACGAAGTCGACCAGCCTTCTGAAGCGTTCCGAGTTCTTTATGTGTGATTGCTGTCCCAAAAAGCCCAAGAAATTTGACTCCGAGGACCAGCTTCGGTACGTTTTTAACTTGATTGCTTGATTTGACTAGAGCGTTACTTGCCACATGGGGTCCGTGCTAACATTTGTCTTCAGCGCACACGAAATGGAGAAGCAATACGAGTGCAACTACTGCGGCAACCGTTTCAAGAACAAGAACGAGGCCGAGCGGCACCAAAACTCGCTGCACGTCCGGCGGCACAGCTGGTCGTGCGCGGCCCTGTCGAGCTATGACCGGGCGTTTCACGAGAGCACATTCCGGCCCGGCGAGGCCGATACGTGCGGCTACTGCGGCGAGGAGTTTATGCGCAGCGGGTTTGCCACCGGGCGGACCGACGCACGGCACACGACGGAGCAGGACTGGGACGACCGGATACGGCATCTACAGGACGTGCACAAGTTCCGCGAGTGCAATGCCAGCAAGAAGTTCTTCCGCGCGGACCATTTCCGCCAGCACCTCAAGCACAGCCACGCAGGCACAAGCGGCAAGTGGACAAACATGCTCGAGAATGCATGCATGATGGAAGAAGAGCCACCCCTGCCGATTCGGTAAACAGGGGCTGGGCGTCTTTATTTCATTGTTTTTTTATGACGACGCATTGTTTCATTTCTTACGACAAACGGTATGGATATACCAGACGAAAACAAGGAAAAGAGTGAACGGGTTGTATGTGGCTTGGATTGCCATTTTTCACGCTGATTTATTTTACTTTTATTTTATTTTTTGCATTTTATTTCATCAATGTACCTACCAGGTTGGGATGGTTCATTCGGCTTCAAAGGGTTCTTTTTCCGGGTCTCCATTGTGTTTTTGCTTGCTTCCCTTCTTCTCTCTCTTCCACTTTCTCCCACCCGCTCTTCACGATGCACCCATCGTTGTTTCTCTTTTACTTTCTACGTTTTGCGGTTTTGGAAGGGTGGGATCGAAGAAAAGAATGAATACATATGAAAACATGCAAGGGACACACCACCTGGGCGGGAAACTTAGCTGTTTACATAATTGCGGACATGAGGGCATGACTTTAGGTGGCTGTTTGACGAACCCAGCAGCCCAATGACAAAAATCCAATCACAACCTACGACTTTTCAACTTGCCATTCATCACTAGCTGTTCGTGCTTGTCGTTTCACTTATTTTGATTTGTCCTCACTTCCGACTTGGCTGGGCTGGCATTCGGGATCCAGCCTGGAAATCGCCTAGCTTTTGGCCGGAGACGTCTCTCAGCCTTTAGGCCCCGCCCACCGTATCTCGCATTGGTAGGCAGAGCGCCAGACAGACATTTACAACGACTATGCCGGATTCGTGACAGACAGGGAGGTGCGAGGAGTTTGTACGATGGAACGAGGGAACGGGATGGAGGAGCGGACGATCGTCTCTCGATGGAGAATGGCCAATGTTGCAAGACCTGCGACAGGCAAGGGTATGACCAGACGGACAGGGTGAGATTCCGTCGGGGAAGGATGACGGCGAGACAGGGCCGTTTATCTGACCTGTTTTTTGTGTGTGCCATGTCATTGTTTACTCCTCGTCTTACATCTACGGAGTTGGAACCAAGGGGACATTGGGGAGAAAAAAAAAAAAGAAAGAAAATGAGAAAGAGAAGAAGAAAAGGAAAAAAAAAGGGGGGGGGGGAGTGCAAAAGAGAACGTGAGAGGAATGAGACACTAAAATGTGCGTCGATAGACTGGACGATGTATTACCGAGTACCCCGTAATAACGCATCGTGAAGAAAGGAAAACATTGCGAGGCCGAGGTGAGAGTGCGGCGCGCCATTGAGCGAAGCTACGAAACCACTGGCAGAGATTTATCATTTTTTGCTACATATTTTGTATTGAACAAAAAAGAGAAAAATTTTAGTGGCAGCCTTCCATGCGCTAGTGTGGTTGGTGGAGGTGGAGTGCGCTTGCCTGCCGAGCCTGTTTTGCATGCCTGCCTTGCCAAGAGGCAGAATTGCCAACGACCTCACATGCTAAGGCTCAGAACGACAAACCGCACAAGACCGCCGGAGGCCAGCGTCACTACACAAACGACGACGACGACGACGACCACCACCACCACCAGGACACGGCCAAAATGCCCCTCGACAGGATACCGGGGGACGACAACCTCTACATTGGCAGCGCCTTTGTCGTCGGCCAGGAGAAACTGCTCGACAGCCACAACATCTCGCACATCCTGTCGGTGCTGCAGTACACGCCCAAGGAGAAGGCCGACATTGCCGCACGGCCACAGACGCGGCCACGCACGCGCATTTTTGTAGACGTGGACGATGTCGAGGAGGAGGATCTGCTGGTGCACTTCCCACGCATCGTGCGCTTCATCGACTTTGGTCTCGCGTCTGGAAACCGGGACGGCGACCGGGACGGCGACCGGGACGGCGACCGGGACGGCGGGGCCAACGACGGCGGCCACGCGGCGGACGGTGCCCGGAATGGCGCCGTCTATGTGCACTGTGCCATGGGCAAGTCGCGGTCTGCGACGGCCGTGATAGCCTACCTGATGTGGAAGCGCCCGGAACAGTTTCGGAGCGCAGAGGGCGAGGGCCACGACGAGGGCCACGACACCCCCAAAGCGACACAGCGCTACCCGCCGGCGGTCGCCGAAGACGCGTTGCGGCGGGCCCTGGCCTTTGTGCGCCAGGCCCGGCCGCTGGTCGAGCCCAACCCAGGCTTCATGCGCCAGCTCGTCCTGTGGTGGCACATGGGCTGTCCTGCGGACGCGCCGGACGCCGTCGAGCGGAGGCCGGCGTACCAGCGCTGGCTCTACGAGAAGGACGTGGAGGAGAGCACGCGCATTGGACGGGCGCCAGGCCGGCTCTGGTTTGGCGACGAGGCGGTGGCGACGGCACCCGACAATGTGGACGCGGGCGAGGACGCTGCGCCGCAGAATGATGATATGCAAAACACGCCGTCGTCCCAGAACATCCAACTGCGCTGCAAGGTGTGCCGTCGCGTGCTGGCTGGCTCGCAGTTCATCGTCCCTCACGACCCACCGGACGCTGCTGCCGTGCACACGACCAACGGCCGCTTGCCACCGGCGCAGACGCAGTCCACCGCCGCCTGCAACCACCACTTTGTCGAGCCGCTGTCGTGGATGCGCCCCACCCTGGAAGAGGGCGCGCTCGAGGGCCGCCTCGTGTGCCCCAACACGCGGTGCAACGCGGTGGTCGGCCGCTACTCGTGGCAAGGGTTCAAGTGCACGTGCCGCGCGTGGGTGTGTCCGGCGTTTTCGCTGCAGCCGAGCCGCGTGGACCGGATTGTGGTGAAGCCAAGTGCGGGTGCGGGTGCGGGTGTAAAAGGAACAGGTCCGAACCTACACAACATCCGATCGCCGCCGGGCACCAAAGGGCCGAGCAAAGTATAGCCCGAGCCGATAGACAAAGACATGGACAAAACGAGACGAATAATGATTGATGAGATACCTCGCTTGCAAAGCAAAGACGCAATCGTACGACGCATTCCATACTCTGCTCATGGCCCAGTTCGTTTTCTGGTTTCCGCCTTTTCTGCTCTGAAACAAAACACAGCCTCGACCAACTCCAAGACAGCGAAGAGCGTGCTTGGCAGCCTTGCATACACGTGCCCTTTTTCTTGTTTGCTTTTCTTTGCCTGTTGCGGTTTGTCGGGACTGTGGTAAATGCCCCCCTTGTTGACAGACATGGGCAAACATGGAATTTGTTCCGCGGGCCAAAGTCGTGTCAACATCCCCGAAGCCCCCGCTCTTCCTTCTTCGACAACGTACTCCCCGTACAACGGGATTAAACGAGTTTCTGACAAGTCGCAGCGGATTGGCTCTAGGAGAATTGTCAGCTCGCCGACCTCCATGACGAGATCCAACACCCAATGCAACATACGCCGTGCTCCGTCAATAGGGCGAAACACTACGAAAGTTTCTTCTGCTTTTGTGCAAAAGAGGTTCCAGTTGCTTGTTTGCCCGCGGCAAGGGGCGGAAGGGCGGAAGGGCAGAAGCCGCCATGGGGCCTGTTTGGGACTGTTTTTGGATCTTAGGGCTGACAGCCTTATGCGATGCGGGCTGTTGACGCGCTTGGCATCAATAGTGCTCCCCGAAACAGGCAATGGTCAGCAGTCCACAGGTGACAGGACCTCCAAAAAGAAAATACTGGACGAGGTGGTGAAAATACAATGTCTCCGGAGCAATATCACGTTGTGGCAGCAATGCAACCGAAGTGTCCGGAAAGCTGAGCCGTTGCGAAATTCGTTTTTTTTTTTTCTCTCCACAACTTCAATAGATGGATCAACTCAGACGCAGGGCGCACCAGGGCTGCCCAGGGCTGTTAGTCGGCGTACTTAGTGCGTCCTTCAAGGCAGGTTTGCGATAATGCAGGCATACTGCGCAACGTTTTTGATTTTCAGTATCCTTGGGAGACGGATTGTATGACAATACTGTATAGTCTTCAATCTCTCGTCTCTGGTTAGTATTTGAACACAAAATCCTTAAGGATCTCGCTAATACAGCTCGTGCAGCGGTCGTCTCCACTGCAGGATGCCGACGATGCGTGCAGATCAAAGAAAATGCAAATAAAGAATTCAAATCATAGACAGAGATCGCTTGAACGGCGCAAACGAGCCGCCCCCCCTGTCATTTATTCCTTGTCTACTGTCCCTTGCCCTTTTGCCAAAGACACGATGGTCGGGCAAATGCAGCAATGCAGGACAATGTAAAGAAGAGATGGAGAATTGGCCAACGGAAATAGAAAAAAAGAACAATTTGTGAACATGGCGACATGTCAACAACAGGGGCCGGCGACGGCGGATGCCCTCCCATGGCGCTGCACTGCATCCCCGGCAGAATCCATGCGACGATGTCGTCCATGGCGCCGTTCATCAAGCGGGCACAATGCACCTGCTAGGACCGAACGAGAAGGAGAGTTGAGGCCGACAAAGGCCAACAGAGACCTCAAAAACCGACATCCTATCATGCAGCTGCAAGTCGGCGCAAGTCGGGCGGCGGCCAGACAGCTTATATGATGTACCGTATGAGTACGTCGTACGGTCACAGGAGGACTCTGTAAATATTTTGAAGAACCACGGGGGGGGGGGGGGGTGTCGTTTTCCAGGGTCTAGCGATGTCATCATCCTTTCCTTTCTTCCAAATGTCTGCATCCACATCCCATCCTTCGTCCACAACGGCTGGCCCGCTCCCGAATACACGCATGAGAGGTCGTTTACTTTCTTTGCATATTCCCCGAGCGCCAGCAAAGCCATTTCTGTCGACTATTGAAGTCTACAATTCAGCGGATCAGTGGTTGGTAGCCGTGGGGAGAGGGAACGGCGACGGGCGTCAGGTGTCAGCCGCCGTCAGCACTAACACGTTTTTGGAGGGGCGTAGAGGAAGGGCACAGGGAGACGGAGACGCACAACAGCTGGGGGGGGGGGGGGGCATACATACGACGTATACGGAGTATTCCTCTGTTCAGATGGAAGGATTTCCAACGGCGCTGTCCGCTGAGGAAAGTCGGGTGGTCATATCCTTTTTTGGCGTTTGGCGCGGCATACATCGTACAAAAGGTGTGGGAGAAATTGACGAGAGACCACGAATAAAAACGGGGAAAAAAGACAATGGCATCTCCGAATCTCCGCTCCAACGGTTGCCAGTGGCCATTGCCGGCTTGGTGCTTCTCAGATGAGCGAGAGAGAGGGAGAGGGAGAGGGACGATAAGATGGAGGGGCGTGTGCTTCGTCGTGGTTGCAGTGATGTAATTAATAATCAGATAGAAAAGGGATAAAGGAAAAGAACCTTAAACAGTAGCATCTGTTTACTCGGTTTCCAGGTCTTGTGACACAATTATGCAGCCATCTGAAAGAGGGCCGAGACTCTTGATATGCATCTCCGTGGGCAAGATGACAAACCATAACTAAGTGTGAGTGTGTGTGAGTGTGAGGGTGTAGGTGCAGACCGAGTATCGGCAAGGCAATACGAGATGCCAAAAGTGCATTGTTTGGAGACAGAATTCAATAGAGCTGAATTTCTTTGGACGAGGCGGACTGGTAAACTGGCGTGACCGGTGGACGATGTGCCGATAACTGTACGGTGATGCACGTGAGATACTGCAATAACAAAAGAAACAAAGAAGAGAAACCAAGAATACGAAAATACAGCCCATGAGAGGTAAAAGGAGAGAGAAAATGAATAAACTTGGACAACCATAAAATGAAGATGAAAAAGAGGACATCAAAATCAACAAAAGTAATATATAATCATTGAAATCTAAAAGAATAAACCCCATGGCTGCCGTAAACCCGCTGAGCAATGATTGCAATGACAATAAAAACAAAGACTCAAGTGAGAGAAAGAGCGTGCGTGAGTGTTGTATGGCAAATAAGATGAAAGGAACAGCACCAGGGGCCGAGGAGAACACCACCACAGACGCTTCTCTGCTGCCACGAGGCGGATATGCCAACGCATTCACATTTGTTGCATGTTGAGCTTCGGTGCGTCAACCATGGCATGAAGACGAATGGGTGTGTAGGCGGCGGAACGGCGTGTGCAGCGTGCAGCGTGCAGCGTGGTGAACAGTCTGGATGAGCGGTATATGTGCAGAGTAAAGACTGGCTGCACAATGACGGCCACCATGCAACTGCATCGGTCCAATGTTTATGGCATCCAAGGGCAAACACCCCCTCCTCGATGCTTATCGTCGTCGCCGTCGGTGCAGTAGCTGTGTCTGGCTACTGCCGAGACGGCATCGACGTGGCATCAGGACGGCCGGCCTCTGTTTAGAAGCCGCGAGTCGCCCGTCGCCTGTCGTCACGTCGTTCGTCCCTCGTCATGGTAGGCCCTTCGGAACGGACGGGAAAAAGGACGGATTCGCCAGCCGTTCCCGGTTGCGCCTGGCAATCTCGGCCTGCCGTTTCCTCTCGAACCGTTGTTGATAGATGTGTCTAATCGGTCAGTCTCTCTCTCTCTCTCTATATATATATTAAAAAAAAATAAAAAAATCTCATACCACCATCCGACTCACCTGTTCAGGGCAAACACGCGTGGCTGGTCGCTGGCCGGTGTCTCTTCTTTCTTTTGGTTTCGTCGTGTCAGTCGTGTGTCGTACAAGCTTCATACGAGGCCTCGATATCATCCCGACTTACCTCCTCCTTGTCCTTGTCGTCTTTGCTGTCCTTGTCTTTGTCGTCTGCTTTGTCTTTTTCGTCCTTTTCTTTCTCCTTGTCGTCCTTCTTGTCTTCCTTGTCTTTCTTGTCCTTCTCGTCCTTCTTCTCTTTCTTGTCGTTCTTCTTCTTCTGCTTCTCCTCATACTCCTTCTTGACACGCTCCATCTCCGCCTTGATCTCTGCCTCCTTCTCTTCTGCCGCCTTTTTCTTCTTGGCCTCCTCTGCTGCCTTGTCCACAATCGGCGTGCAGAATCCCCGGTCCCTCAAGTGGCTTGGGCAAATGTAAAAGAAGTCCTGTATCTGGTTAGTTCTGTATACAATACAGAGGGCAAACAGAACACTCTGGCCTGCCGAATCGACCTGCCTTATTCTCTGGCGTAATCAAGACGCTCGTGCTCGGCTTGTAGCAAATTTCGCAGCCCTTGGCCGACCCCTCCGCCACCTTGCGGTGCGTGTAGACGTTGGGAAAGCTCATTGCAAAAAGTGACGGGGGTTGTTGTTGCACTGGCACGTGGGTGTCCACGTCGGACACAGATCTCGGTCGCTGTCTGGAATCGCGATGCTATGAGAAGACGTTCCCAGCCTTGGGCGCGGGGTTCGGGAAGGCGCCCTACTGTGTGCAGACATATACACTGTATACAATCGCACTGTACACAGCCTTGCGACAAGTCACGACCTCATTGGTGATTATCTATTCTGATTGCAACACACTTGATATGTTGAAAGCCTGTGGAGACTCTTACGCAAACTTTTAATAAAATTATATAATAGCTGGCACATCAATAAATCAATGCCGTAAGAGTGACGGCATCCGTCGTTCGCGATAACGTTTTGCTATAAAATTCGGAATGATCAAATTCAATATGAAGATGCTGCAGGAGGGCTATCAAGCTTGAATATCGGTCATCTGTGTTTCTCGTGTTCCTAGTATTGTATTTATTCTAGACTAGGGTATGCGGACGAGAACTACTATGGCCACACGCAACGCTCTGGGTGAGCCATTTCCAAAAGTGACCCATACAGAGCGTTCTTAGGGAGGCCATCTTCCATCCAGCGAACACATTCTGCCTGACAATAGAGCAAGCAACATATTCAACGACAAAAAGACCAAAAATCAAAGACGGGGCCGGCCAAAAAACGTACAGCAGCGGGTATTCGCTGGTCGTCACCGACCCAACTACTAATCCGCCGATTACAGGTTTGACTAGGGGAGAGCGGACGGGATCCCGTATTTTCCTGCATCAGAGCCTGTGCTACCGCCCAGGGAACCCATTTTAGCCTCCTCCGATGGCGGCTTTCAGCACCCCCAAACACACCCGTTAAGTACATACGCTAAATTTACATGTACCTTGCATCCACCTCACGATGTACCTAACCGCCGAGCAGAAAACAGAAAACGGAAACCAGAAACCAGAAAATAAAAACAGAAAGCAGAAACACCAGGAATTGGAGAAGAAAAACAGAAAACGTAATAGAATAACAAGGACGGGAAATTTAAAGAGAAGCACGTAGAATATGTAAAGCATACAACCTCACCAATCGACACGGCCGCTCTTCTCTTCTTCTCGTCCCTTCTTGTCCCTGCACAGAGCAACGAGAATGTTCGCAAGATGGACGACTATCACCTTCTTAGTCGTGTCCAGGCAGACCTCCGAGAACGTCACAAGTCGCGAGCTCCCGGAATCTCCAGAGGAGCACTCATCAAACACTGGCACGCTGGAAACCAACGACGACCCATCAGACCTGACCTCTCGGACGCACACAAAGTGAACGTTGTCTACGGCCAGGACCGATGGAGTGCGTACTGCGAACATGTGGGTATTGAAGACTGGAGGTCGGCCTTGGCTACAGTCACCTACGAAAACAGAGGCTTTTTCGAGTCCTTTGTTCGCCATCTTTTACAAAGAGAACACGCCAACGTCGGATCATACGAAACGATGAAGACTTATGTCTCCGGGCTATGGGCCATTCGCTTCAAGTATACCAATACTACAGTTGACCCGCGCCTTCGAAAACATGCTAAGTCTTTCGTCCTTCGCTCCATGAGGAAGACAGTAGCTCTCCGAACTGAGCCAAAGGTGAAAAACCACCTCGGTCCCGCAGCCTTTCGCTACTTGGCTCATTTTCTTTGGGTTCGAGACTACAAAAACGCCTTCAACATTGGCCTAGACCGACTTGACGACAGTGCGATCAGGCTGTTCCAGACGTATACTGGGGCTCGTACACATGAGTTCGTCCTCCCGCGACAGAGGAAAGCGAAGGTTCTCGAGTATTACGATGAACTAGATATATATACCGACTCTACCGACTCGGACAACGGTGACTCCGACCGCGAGTCCGACTGCAACTCCGACCACGACTCCGACCTCGACTCCGACCCTGACTCCGACTCCGAGCAAGAATCTGAAAAACCGGCACGCGTAAACGGCCATGCGCTGCTCCGGTGCAAGGCGTGCTGGGTCTGTGGAAGGACGGATGACAGAACGGTCGCTGAGAGAAAAATCCTTTGCTGGGAAGACATCCAACTCTGGATTATGCGAGACCCGAATGGCAATGGAGGGCGCGATCGTCTTACGATGACCGTTCTTCTCCGTTTCCACAAGGGCTATGTGACACGCCATCGTCCCACAAAGTTTCTCTTTCTTGAGGAGAAGCTGCCTATGATCTGTCCGATTACTCACATCCTCGCCAAGGCTTTGGCTGAGAATGTCATCCAACATGACGGGTATACGCAAGCGCGCCATTTTTTCCAAACCAAGCTCAGCGTGGATGCAGTTCAGATTCATTGGAAGAAGGAGTTCTGGCACGAACCGGTGTTTCGGCGATCGAGTAAAACTTTGAAGGGGTACGAAAAATCGAACAACCCAATAACAAATGCAATGTACGAAAATTGGACGAAGAGGCTTGGTCTCGCGGCAGGCCTCCCAGACAAGCTCAAAACCTATGACCTCCGACGCGGTTTGTTGGGAGCCATCGACAGTATGTATTTCTTTCCCCTCTTCCAACTGAAAAATAACCTCTAACATCGTCGCAGAGAAATGCCGTAAAACTGTCCGTAACAGCATTGCGCGCCACAGTGGGACGAACGACGGCACGTTTCAAAGTTACTACAACAATGCCAAAATCACCGTCGTTACCCAAAACGCATATCTCGGCCGAGAGACCGACTCCGCCTACCTTGACGTCTTCAACCACATTGGTTTGCGATGCGATGAAAACGCGCCCACCAGCGTCAGCGACGAATTGATGGATGGGCTTGAGCCGACCGACGAGATTCGGCATCTTGAGAAAGAGATGGCAGCTCTCACTCTGGAGCAACACCATGTGCACTTGGAACCAGCCAGCCAAAAAGCGCGCTACGACGATCTCAAGAAGAAACTGAAAGCTGCAAGGCAAAGATTCAGAAGAGAGATCGAAGAAAGCACTCGCCGACAGTACTTCGAGGCCAAGAATGATAAGGAGCTCGATTTGCAGCTATCTGGCATTCATCGCCCAAGAGAACTGGTCCCAAAAATCACTTTTACGCGTTTGGACCGGACGTACATTGCGGATCTATTCGAAGACTTACGGGAAGACGATCTCTCAGAGGAGGACATAGTACGAAGAAAAATTGTCGCCATCAATGCGCTCGTCGCTTACGCATGGACGATTGAGGCCAAAGAAACACCCCCTCAACGAAGTGGCCTTGTCCACATAGAGTCGGGGCCACGACATGTCGATGCGGCTTCGAACCCGGATAACCGACTGATACGCGAAGTGGGCAATGCACCTCTTTGCCGCGCAGAAACGGTGCTGGACAAAAGCCCTGGCGTAGGCACGGGCATTAAAAAGAAAGTACGGGTCCGGCCAGCACCGTGTATTTTTTGCGGTCGCCAATTGCAAAGAACGGCAGATATGTGGAGTCATGTCGAGTCACATCTTAAAAAAATGAAGGATCAAGTGCCCTGCCCCTTCCGCCAGTGTGAGGCCCGAGGATACGTCTCGGACAACAAAACTCGGTTCAAGAACCACATAGCCAAAGAACATGGCATTCTCCTGAGGCCGACGACGGCCCTGGAGAAGACCACAAACAAATCTTCGACTTTTGAGCAGATGAAATTTGGGAAGTAGCACACATGGCTGAACAGATATGGTATAATAAAATACATCGTGAAAAGCACCTCAACTTCTTACACTTCCTCTCTACTGACCGACTGGTTAGCGATAGCGTACAAACACTCCGCCGGGTAAGCAATGCGAGCATTTGTCGACACAGGTTCCCGTCCCGTCCGTCCGTCCATTGATGGGCATGGGGACTAAAGAGAATACTGTGACCTGTCAGGGTTGCTTAGAGTGAGACGTGCTGAAAGGAGGGAAAGAGACAAAGCCTTTTGCGCGAAAGGAGCATGCAGAATCAAACATTAGGTACAAGACGGGCCACCTGAATTTGATCGACGGGTCCCGGCATATTCGAAGCACATGCACAGAGGTAACAAGAGAAAAATAACACCACCATGTACGTATTTATTGTAACTGTCGGTTCACAAGGACTAGGAGCATGTTAAGCCATGTGGATGCTCGTCTTCAACGTCGTATGCACGTTAATAATCTCGACCAATCAAGCAAGCATCGAAGCGCCCGGGCCGGGGCCGTACGAGGCCGATGCGGCTCCTTTACAAGTCGAGCAGCCAGGCCCGTAAATAGCGTCCTAGGTTTGGTAAGTAGGCCGGCCGCTGGTGAGCATGACGCGGGGTTGGTTTGGGTGGCTGTGGTTTTCTGTTTTGTTTTCAGAAGATGACAAACGACGTTTAAGCGCCAGCGAAACTTACGATATTTAAATATGTACTTACAGGGGCTGTTAGGGGAGGCGTAAAAGTTAGCGCTATGGGAACGGGCAGGCAGGCAACGGCGCTGGCACCACTAATTCGCGTGCCGCTGCCACGGAGGCCGGTTCCTGATTCGCCTAGAGGTGCACCGTCACGTGTGGTGGCCGCCGCTGTTACAAGTACCTGACAGCCCGGGCTTCAGTAGCCGCCGACCAGAAAACAGAAAACAGAAAACAGAAAACAGAAAGCAGGATAGAAAACGGAATACGGTAGATAGACTGAAAACTGAAAACAGACTGAAAACAAAACAGAAAACAGAAAATGGGCGAAACAGAGAATAGACAGGAAGTAAGAAATAGATTGCGTAGCTGCGGCGACAAAGACGTCTAAGGACGGCCCCACCCTCCACGCATGAATAATCAAAGAGATGAAGGAGCGAGAAATTCGCACCCGAAAAAGAGGGACGGGGCTCGATTAGTCCACGCTGCCAAAAGCCAAAGACAGGTAGCTAACGCGCCAGGCAGTCGTGACGGTTCAAAAACACAAGGTGTGTGAGAATGTGAAAAAAAAAATGCAGGATGAGATGCGGAAAAGTGGGAAAAAACTCGATCAAATAGGATCAAATCGGATCAACCTGGATCAAACAGGATCAAATTGGGAAAAAATTATGGATACAACTGGATACAACGAGATAAAATCAGGTAAAATGGGGTAGTATTCAAACCAAGCCGTGTAAATGGTTTCGTTCTGCTCTAGTGTGTGCTCGGCCGCGAGCGACCGGAGGTACTTGTTGAAAGGCTCCAGGGTGGGATAAGTGTACTCTTTCATTCTCGGCCACGGCAGCTCTTGCGATGTCGGCTCATTTGCTGTAGACTTAACTCCTCGCCGCAAGAGTTGCATTTCGATCGTTTCCCCGTGTAAGTCCTTTCCTCACCATGTGCAGCTCTAAGATGGCGACGGTAAGCCTTGGCGGAAATCGACTTCGAGCAGTGAGGACAAGTTTTCTTCGACGTCGAGCTGGCTTGTGGAGATGTAGTGTGTTCGTGTTGGATATGGGCGATCAGATGAGTCTCTTCCTCGATTTTTGGGCAGATCGGACACTTTTTCCATAGATGAGCTTCCACCAGGTGTGTCGCCATTTGCTCCTCCTCCTGTAGATCATCGCAAACGACACATTTATCAAAGTGGTGATTTTGTTCCCGGTGCTCTAGAAGCATCTCGTCGCTGCCTATTTCATCGCAGAAATTGCACTTGCCCCAACCGTGCTCTTTGGCGTGGGAAGCAAGAGCATCCTGTGAATGCAGCCCGCCACAGACGGGACACTCTGCGCTTAGGTGTGACCCCGCATGGAGCCGGAAACTTTCTTGCGTAGGAAAGCAGTGCTCGCAGCATCGAAAGGAGTGCTTTGAAATGAGATGAGGGAGAAGCTGTGAGTCCATAACAAGGTTGTTACAAAAGGGACAGCGTTCGAAAACATGACGTCGTAGGTGGAACAAAATATCGACCTGTCTTCGGGAACAGCATTGTTGGTCTTCCGACCACGAGTGGTGGAGCCTGAGATGTTTCTCAATGTCGTATGAGTACACCCCACAAAGCGTACACACGTGGTGTCCGTGGTCTTGGTGTCCGAGGATATGATAGAAAAATTTTTTCTCGGTGGGGCAATCGGCGAGGCAGATGTTACAAGGTCGGAAGTCGTGGTCGTTTTCCGAGTGTAATAGATGGTATTCTTTATCCCTGAAGATACGGTTACACAGAACACAGCCGAGCGGATTGTTAGTAACCGCGTCGGTAGATAGGGTAGGATAATAAATAGAATGCTCGCTTTTGTGGTGCGAGTTTAAGTTCTTTTGTAACATCCATTGAAAACAAATGTTGCAATTAGCCATGTTGTGCTTTTGCCTCATGTGCTCATGTATGTCGGCGATTTTCATAGCTGCATGACAACTTTGACATTCGTGGAATCCGTCTGGAAGATGCCGGGCGGGAAAGTATTCTCCGTTTGGATCGTCCGGGAAAAAGGTGCGTGGATAGCCTGTAAAGTGGTTCACCACTTTTTCCCATTTATCAGGATGTTTGTGTTTGTTGAGAAGGTAGTTTTTTGCGTCTGATAAGTCGCCCATGGTCGGCCATCTATCTGGCACATCTGGTTTTCTGTCCGGATGGCGACATAGGCTCGCTTTCCTAAAGGCTCTTTCAATATCGTTTGCAAAAAGGTTGCGCTGCGGATTAAGACCGAGCGCATCGAAGGGATTGGTCAAAGAACTAGCTTCCATTTCAATGACGGGTGGGAAGTGGACTGTCGAGTGGACTGTCGAGTGGACTGTCGAGTGGACTGTCGAGTGGACTGTCGAGGTGGATTGTCGAGGCGGACTGTCGAGTGGACTGTTGAGTGGACTGTCGAGGCGGACTGTTGAGGTGGACTGTCGAGTAGGCTGTTGAGGTGGACTATTGAGCGGACTGTCGAGGTGTTAAATATTTTTTTCTTCTTTAATTACCGTACGCCCCGTGTCCGACGTGCTGAATTCTAATCGCTGTTCGACCCATCCGACCTACAGGTAATAATAAAGCGAAATATGGGGTAAAACTCAGAGCCTCCGTAGGACGTAGGAGAAGCCGTAGACAAGGTGCTAGCTTCTAGCCCGGTGCAGGGCGCTCCATTCCTGTCAACTATGCAACCGTACCCTGCACTATGCTACGCCATACTCCTGTCCAGAAACTGGCTTGCCATGCTGCAGAGAGGCGCCTGAGTAGGCTTTTACTCCGGCAAGGTTCTTCGGTTAAGGCACACCAGGCGCCTACATAGAGAAGGTGATATTACAGAAGCGAACGCCACCGTTTCGAAAAAGTGATTCGCTTCCTCCTTCTTATTAAAGGGTCGACATTGCGTTATCCACCACAAAAAAAAGGGACGCAAAAGTGCAATATTGACACGGAAAAGGTGTCAATGCGCGGTAGACGATATCAGGAAACGGTAAGTGGCTTGTGGAGGGCTGAGCATGGATGCTTCCTCCCCCCCTCGCCCTGGCAACGCTGTTCGAACCCGGGTCGCATATCCTTCTCTCCTTTCTTTTTCAATATCTGAAATTTCACAAGAGTAATCCCCTACGTCCTGTCAAAGGCCCGCTGTAAAAGGTTGTAATCCGGCTTTTCTTCGATGCCAAGCGCGAATGCGCACATGATAAAATCCCGCAACGGATTCAACGACAGTGGAAGATGGCCCAACAGTACATCAATGTCAAAGTTGTTTACCTCGTCCTGGAACTTGACGCGGTGCTCTGCCAGAGGATTCCTGGGCAGCCTTGGAACCGTTGCGCCTGTAAGTGACACCAAAACCAAAGCCAAAGTCCTCAAGTCAGATCGGTGCGTCACCTCAATCCGACATGTCCCCGAGTCGTTTATCTCCTCCGAAACGTCCTCCCAGTGTGGTGTACCGCTGGCCCGGCCAAAGTCGACAAACACGAGCTGATCGTCCTTGAAAGCGAGACTCCTCTCGGTGATGCCACCATGTATGATCCCCACCCGGTGGATGTCCGTGATGCCAAAAACTGCTGCGCGTGCGATATGCAGTACTTCATGTGTTCTCGCAGCGCAAATATCGACAGTCGAAGGCAAATAGTCCATAACCATAACGTGGAAGGTATGACAATTGCCGTCCGCGAAATGTCGGTCCAAGGAAATCAAGGTTTGAGCATGAATAACGGGAGCTCTTCCGAACAGGAACTGAAGAATGGCAAACTCAATCTCCATCGACGCGGCCACTTTCAAGGCGGCGTCTTTGCCATTTCTGTCGGTACCCCGAAAGACGCCGGCAAGTCTTCCACCCCCGATCCATGTATTAACATAGTATCCAGCGATGGTAGCTCCACAAATGTCTTCCACCGGCTTAATCTAGGTTTAGAATACATGATTCACTTCAAATAATAGGGAGGTGAATACTCACAAATTCCCCTGTAGCAGTTGGCAGAAGAAAGTCTCGAGGAACTAGGGTTGGCATCGAGGAGGCCATGTTGTTTTGAATGAAGAAAAAAAGAATCAAGTTGAGTTTATTATTATTAGACAGGCAAAGGACAACCGTTTTGAAAAAGGCAGGGCAAGATGGAAGATAAAGAAGTGAAGGAATAGCAAATACATAAAAGAAAATAAAAGAAAACAATTGCTTGGTTTTGCCAGCGATGTAATACCCAGCCAATCCGTACCCTCTCGCATGCTCTTGCTTGCATTGAACCTCCCACCCACCCGACCCATGCTTAGTACGAAAGCCTCACCATGCCCGACGCGCCTATGCTTCGATGAGCTGTCTCCTCTATTCCTTTCCTATGTCCTCGTATGGGCATTCAGGTGGGGGTCAAGACCAAAAAGGGCAAACTAAAGAAAAGATCCTCCGGACAAGCTGCGTACTTGTCTACAACCCTTGAACACTACCAAGTGGGCGATTGACGGGACGCTTGACGGGACGCTTGACGGAACGCTTTAGCTTCTCTCTCCCTCTCTGTTTTCTTTCAATAATACAGATTAAGAAATAAAACTCTCCTGAACACCCCCTTTTATCCAGCTGTGCACTGGCCATGGCTGTTAGAGGGCATACCGGTACCACCTTGACGAATGGATTTCTTTTTCTGTCCGGGGAATGGAATGCCACACTCCGTAGGCACACTCCTCCTGCCCGAAACTGTCATGTTGCATCGCTCTTCCAAGGTCGTGGTGATGATTGTTTCCACAGCTAAATATTTACAGATTGGTCCCACAGGGAGTGATCTTAGTGTTCAAGGGTTGGAGATGAGTACGCAGCTCATTGTCCGCAGATCGAACTAAATCTGGAATTTGGGGATCTATGGCAGGATTCCGCTTGTACATCCAGGTGATATCGGGTAGAATGAGGAGGGGGTTGTCGAAGGTGGAATAGGGTGCCGTGAAAGAAGAGGCCTGTGAAGGACAGTAGTGTAGTGTTTAAAATCAGGTGTTCTCCTGACCAGAGGTGAGATCCTACCTCACCCGCTTCACAGTGATTCTATCGTCCGGCACTAGCATCCAACGGCCTAACCCTGATTTAGCTGTGCTTCAGCTTTCGACAAGCACGCTGGTCACCTCCGCCTCTGATGACGGACGCAGTATCACTTGAAGATGCTCATAATGAAAAAGGTATTGTAGAACGCTCTTCTATTTAAGTACTTGATCTCCCCCGTGTCCCTCGCTTTTCATTGTGGCAACACAGCCATGCTCAATCTTTCATCTCCTCCACGATATTCTACTCCTCTCTTCTCCCTACCCACGACTGACGCGTAACAAAGACGAGACTCTATGGGCCTGTATAAACTGGCGATGTTAGGCGACTCTGGCGTTGGAAAGACGTCCTTAGTATGTCAACTGTGTCACGGTCAGTTTATTGAGCAGGTATGTTCTTGGTAAAGCAACGTGTGTTATATTCGGAAAAGCTAATAGCAACTTGTTCGTGTAGTACGACCCGTCAATCCTAGAATCCTTCCTGGCGAAGGCGCTCGTCGACGACGAATCGTGTGTTCTTGAGATTCTGGATACGGGCGGTCAAGAGGATGACTTGTGTCTGGAAATCCAGTCATCCGATGGCTTTGTCCTCGTCTATGACACCAGCTCGCGGTCGTCGTTTTCACGTGTCAACAAAATTGCCAAACAGATCCAGCATATGGAGAATTTTGCATCACAATCGGCAGACTTCCACGACCTGGTCACTTTGATACTTGTTGGAAACAAATGCGATCTTGACCGCGAGGTGTCGTCCAAAGAAGGACAAAAGCTTGCTACGAAGTTAAACTGCGGGTTCATCGAGACATCAGCAAAGAGCGGTACGAACGTGGAGAAGGCATTTATTAGCATCACCCGTACTCTCAAGACAAAGAAGGACATTCAGACGACAGCGGTCGAGGGTGGCTTGCTACCCAAGTTCATAACGGTGCTTCTGGGACCCTTTTACTCATGTTTCGGTTTCTAATATGGCTAGAGCAAGTCGTACCTTTGTCCAGATAATGAAATAGGATCTGACATGTTTCCAGTAGTGGGGGGCAAAGATGAACAAAAAGAAACAATAAATGGAGAAAGGAGTGTTGTCAACGTTACGTGACGGTAGCAGGACTTTCACAAAAAGAGTTCGGAGTGCTCTTGTCTGTCGGTCTTACCCCCTGCCGACCCATAGTGATCACTCTCCACGTCTTTTGTGTCTTCGTTTGGTACCCTACGAGCGCTAATATTTCAGCTTTGATATTTTCAGTGCTTCTCTCTTTCTTTTTACCCTCCATCCCTTTCATCATATCGTTCACGTCTTGCTAAGCTTGTGTGTCTACGGATGCAATCGTTTAAACTACCATCCTCCCTCTTTATGTAATTAAACATAGGCCTGGGCCGGGGTGTAGGGCGTTTCCTTGTCAAGAGCCGCGGGGCCCCCTCTATTAATCACAATTTGCGACTCTGCTTTGGGGTAAGGTACAGCACCCCGCGACATGTAGCCTAGTTGGCGGAACGTCTCCACGGGAAACGAAAGGAACGATTTATTCTCCTTAACCTTGTCCATGTCTCCTTTCCTCAAACTGAACCTCGCCACAGTCATTCCCGTTCAGGACTGCGCGACGACCCAACTCCAAAGATAAAGTTCGATATCACTTATTTCTGCCTTCTTCATCACACCAAGCCCCCTCCATCGCTACGAAACGTCTTTCCTCCATCCAAAATTCTCTAGCCGAGACAACACAGGCGAAAACATTATCATACAAGACATCACCAGCGTTAATTCCTGATCTCGAAATTACAGTACGACTTCACTACCCTCGCTGCCTCCCTCCTTACCCCCGCTCACTGCCGAAAACAGTCGTGGCCTGGCAGATACCATACCGGTAAAGGCTGCCTCGACCATCAGACGGAGGACTCGTCCGGACGTGTCGGACGTGTCGGCCGTGCTACCACAAATGGCTGTCCCGGCCCAGGGGAAGAAGCGAACGAACGGTGGTGCTGGTAAATCGACCATTAAGAAAACGAAGCGCCAAAAGTGTATCCATGAATGCGCAACATGCGGCAAAGACTTCAAGAGATCCTCTGATCTAACTCGACACGAGCGGACTCACACGGGCAAAAAACCATACGAATGCCCAACATGCGGCAAAGACTTCAAGAGATCCTTTGGTCTAACTCGACACATGCGCACTCACACGAGCGAGAAACCATACAAATGCCCAACATGCGCCAATAGCTTCAAATATCTTTCTAGTCTAACTGATCACATGCGGACTCACACGGGCGAGAAACCATACAAATGTCCAACATGCGGCAGGAGGTTTAAGACTTACTCTGGTCTATATCAACACAAGCGGACTCACAAGAGCGGGAAACCATACAAATGCACATGCGGCAAAGAGTATAAGAGTCCCTCTGGTCTATCTCAACACAAGAAGATTCACAAGGGCGAGAGACCGTCTGAACTCGCCCGGAGCAATGCTTCACAGAACACTCGGCCCGAGAACCCTCAGGCTGCGGGTCAGAGACCAGAGCCATTCCTACCGTCCTTTTTTCTTACCCTCACTCTTAACCCAACCTCCACAAGTCTTTCCTACGATGGTTGTTCCCGTTGAGTCGTGGAAAGATACAATCAGACTTGTCGGTCGCTGGTGCGCCGTGGCCGCCTCGGCATAGTCACCTATGAAGAAGAATGTTGTTTGAGTTGCTAGAGGTTGCATGCAGGTAGTCCAGAGAGTGTGGCTAGCACTTTGTGTGATCTCAATCCTAAACATTTTACCGTCTTACGCACTCCTTTCTCCCTCGTCACACTCCCCTGCACGTCAACTGGCAGCTGGCGCGGGAGGCAGGCGCTCATCTGTCGATATTGCCTGTCCGTAACCCCGGACGAGGTATTACCGCCCTCTCTGGCCTTATCGAGATATTAGGAGAAAACATCCCCCCTTCCTCTAGTCACAGATTCCCAGTAAGAAAAGAAGTTCTCGTCCTTTCTGACGGTATACAGCATGCCACCCTTTTAATAATAGGAGGTAGGCGAGAAGATCATCCCGACACTCCTTTTCTAGTCTCCCGAATCTCCTCACGACGTAAGCGCCGGCATTGGTAATGCTAAGTGGGCGAGGGATAATAAAATACAATAAACGAAAAGAAGAAGACGAGGTGAATACATGGTAGATCTGGGTTACCCACATCTCGTTTCGCCAATTCACACGAGACATGGTGCTCACTCTACTCGAAAAACAAAAGCGGAAGCGGTGAATATGTGTCTGCAGAACCAACAGGTAGGCAGCAAAATACCACCTCCCATGCAAGGGTGGCGAGGGTGGTAAACAAGCCATATGACGACCCAACCCAGGAGAGACGTCCGTTTCCAACGCATTTGCGTGCGAGCCAAATGAGCGTTATTGATAGGCCCGACCCAACGTGTGCGGATGGCTGGAGACCCGTCTGGTAAGAGGAAGTCATGGCGCGGTGCGCCGAATGGAAGTCCTCGGTGGAGACTTGTGACTTAAAGTGGGGCGCGGGGGTTCAGTTTCGTAGCAATTAATTATGTAATTTTTTCGTTCATCTGAGAAGATAAGACGCATGTTTCCGCCACTCGTCCTACGTCCTATCAAGTATCCCGTTGAGCGTCCCGTCAAGCGTCCCTTTCGTCGTACCCCTTTTAAAAATGTGAAATAAAAACGGGGTTTCATTTCATTCAGCGCATCGCGTTCTGACTCCCTCTCACCTAAGTCGACGGGTCTGCAGCCATCCGTTGGGTTAGGCCTGTCAAAACGCTTTGGCCCGCACGCAAATGCGTTGGAAACGGCGCCGCTCCTGGGTTGGACAGTCTCTGCCACAGACATGGGTTTTGTTCAGCACACCACCCCATATGTGGCGCTGATCCAAGGGGGCAGCGACGGCGGGTCCAGCTTTAACAGGGGTGCTCGCTCGTGTGGCCAGAAGAGGGGGAGGTTGCATTGCAGGGGGAGAAGGTTCGTTGGCGCTTAAATATGTCGATTCATTTCTTTCAACCTGACGAGATAAATCACACTCTTTCGCCACTCTTCCTCGTTCCGCCAGTGTCCCCGTCAAGTTTAGTCAATCGTCTCGTGAAAGTGTCTAGTCTTTTTTCCTACATTTCCCTTTTTTTCTTTGTTTATTTATCCATCAAGGTTTCTGGGCCACTATGAATCAGATCACAGCCGCATCCATCATTCAAGGATCAGATGATTCCTTTCTTCACTTGCGCGCATTATGTCAGTTGGTGCCCGTTGTGGATATGCTCCGAACGCGCAATCGCGTCCCACCCAAACATGTCGCACGACTCCGTCTGTTCTTGGAGACGCTCTTCGAGGACCAAACTGTTGACGTCCGGCGTTTCGGTACCAAACGGCGCGGTTCTGGCTGGGCTCGCAATCAAGCCGAGCTCGTCAAGCAGGATGCAAAGACCCTTGTCCTTCTTGGACTATGCTTGACACTGACCGAAATAGGCGATTACGGCCAGAGCCGCATGGCCGTTCTTCTCACCGTGACACGAGCGTTAGGGAGCGAGGCATGCTGCCAACCCGTCTTTGAAGACAGCAAAGTCACAACCGTCTGTCAAGGTATAAAGTCTTAGCCCTGTTTCTTCGACAGGAACGAATGTCACACAAATTTATATTAATATATTACGTGTAGAGTTTAAAGACAAACTGGGGGCTAATACGGAACCCATATCCTCCCAAATCAGCCCAGTTTGGCCGATGCCTAATAATCGCAACATCAATACCGTACTTTTACAACACAAGACACCGCCAAGTTCTTTACCAGCTGTTGAAGATATTTATTCGCATCCCGACCTCACCCTGCCACCGATTATCTTACCGCCGCCATCGGCTCTGCCTCTTAATACTTCCGCCACCGTGCCGGCCATTAACCTAACAAATGGACCGACATCACACGGCGAAAGGCCCGACTTCAAGTTAACACCTTCGGGATTAGAGAAAGTTTACATAACAACTTGTTCCAAGCAACATCTACTACCGTTCCTACCCAAACCACCCACCATCGCTGTATTTCATGACGAGGGCCGCGACGAATACAAATACGAGATGTCACATGGCCCCTACGGCAGATACGAGCTCTGCTTATCGAAAAATGGGGTGCAGCGTTTGGAAGCGACTCCCTTTGATGATCATCGATTTATGATCGCTGCTTCGTCGCTCGAGGGCGCGTTTCGAACTGGTAAAACACAGTCTATTGTTTTCCGTAATGTCGGATGTACTGTGGTTGATAAGGATATTTATATAATTTGGAAACATCCGGGTATTTTACGTTTTTTAAGGGGATGCCGCGTATTCCAAATGTCGACGTTGGCACAATTAATGTCAAAAATGTAACTATTATTTATTTCGTTACTTACTGTTTATATAACGTAGATGAACGTCGGTCGTATGTAACCAAATCTCCTTAAAGTACGTCCCTATTGGCATTAACCAGACTCCTTCTTCATCCAAGGAGGTCCAATCCTCATTCAATAACACGCCGCCGTGTGTCTCCCTATTATCTAGGGTGAGTGCGACTGAAGCCATCTCGTCTTGGTTACCGAACTCGAAGTCGCTTATACGTTTTCCGCGAAACTTGTAAATTTCTCATTAGTCTCGTATATAACACAAAAATAACATAACCGTCTTCTTATCGTCTGTCATCCGGGAGCTCTTACCCACGACGCTACATGTCTGAGGACCTGCTGATCGGTCCATGCTTCAACATTAAGAAACATGGCCTGCGACGCGATCGACGTCTTAGTGCGGAGGTCTTCTCGGTCGTGAGAATTTGCTACCTCGTGTGTCGATGGTCGGCTGGCGGAGATGGGCTGCTTCTCTTTGATCGCTATCTTCCAGAGGTAGCTAAGCGAAGCATCGATTACGTCAACTTTACGCTGGACAGCGCTTTCTCCAGACACCTTGTCGTCTAGGTCGCTTGGGATACTGCGTCGTCGCTTTGAAAGTCCGAATTCGTGTAGGACAAGACTTTGTCTCGTAACTGTCTTCGAGTCGAGGCAGTGAACAGCTGGAGGTTCAAGTTGTTGTGTCGTGCATGACGTAAAGCGCTCATTTTGACCGAAACCCCTCTGTCGTGTAGAACTCGCGTGGCGCGGGGTAAAATCGATCATTTTTAAAGGGACGGATCGGATAAAATTAACGCCGTCTTCCGTAGGCTGTTCGTGAATGATACTAAGAAGTTGAACAGCGTGAGAAGAAGGAGAGTTGAAGACATATAAATACAAAATGTAGGAAAGGGCGTAATGAGTCGAGGCAGAGTATTATGAGTAATATTGCACTTTCACCGGGCAACATGTCCCAAATGGATCGATTCACTATCATTGGTGGCAACTTACCCAAGCCTGGCAAAGACGTATGCAGGGCGTACATGATGCAGGTAATTGCACGTTTCCCACACCGTCTTCGCTGTAGTTGGAGGCAGTCCACGGTGTGCCTTCTCGTACCCAACCATCAAAGAGCGTCCTCGGACTCTCTAGCGCCGCAATTTTGTCCTGCAGTTCCGAATCTGCAAATTTCTGTACGGGCATCGTTCCCACCCTGCCTCGCCTCTGCTTGTTAGAATGGGACATGAGACAAGGGACGAGGAGCTTCTCACTTTTAGCAGGGGTAAAGCAAGGACTTAAAATTTGTTACATTGAAAATGGCTCATGTCCATACATCGTCTACATATATTCAAACAGAGCGCTAGGTCCGTAAGCTTTCAGTCGAGAAATATCGGCACGGGTTAGAACTGTCTGCTTGTTGTTGTCCGATTGCTATATGTTTTTCCACCACTACAAGCTCTGGGGGTATTGGAGACTTCCGCCAGACGAGACCAAAAGCCGCAATATCTCATCTATGTTGTTTTCCAACACTTTAACCCGATTCTCAAGTCCTTGATTGCTGTTTTCCATCTGCCCTTCAAGTCTGCCGAGCCTGTCCGTGAAAGTTTGGATACAACACCTCATGGAAGTTTCTGCGTGTTTCTTAAATACCCTAAAACGATCGATCTTTGGTCTACAGCTCGCTCTCGCTGCCCCAATATCTCTTCTTGGTGTCTTATTGAGGCTCGATTTGCTCGTAGACATTCTTCCTTGACCGTCGTCGGGTGGTGTAGCGTTGAGTGTTGATGGAGCCGATTCTCTCATGGGCAGTATCGTCATGTCCCCCGCGACAGATTTGCAAGTTGGGGCACCGGGATATTGTGGTGATGATCGGTTGCATCCCGCTTCGCCATTTTCGTCACTGTTGAGTAGATCGAGAATTTCCATCTTTCCCTTTCCCACGTCGCTGAATGATGTCAGAGACCTTGTATTTCTCTAGGCGAAGGAAAGTTGATTCGTCGTAATAATAGAGGAGGAGTCGGTTTGGTTGGAAGCTGGCAGATGCATAGTTCGAGGAAAGGAGAACAGGGTCGGGATGGAAAAGGATGACAGAGGCAGAGACGAAATAAGTAGATAGGGATAAAGAAATACCAGCCCAGCCCATATGAGCACTCATTGACTGTAGCCAACCGGCCCAGGACAGTGGCTTATTCTCAGAACCAGTCGCGATTTTTCCAACTATTTTAAGGCAAGGGCACCGGGTGGGATATCGGAAAGTGTGCTCCTTGCAGGCGGCAGCTGAGCCGCTCAGCTTTCGGTCAGTTAATCTGCGACAGGTGCGGCAGGTCTTTTCCTGGTTCCTTCTCTCCTCCAGGGAACATACTGAGTACTTGGTTTCACATCATGATGGGCCAAAGTTGGTCAATAGATTGTCAGATTCTACCGCGTTTTCCCTGTTCCCATTTGCTTCCTTTTGACATGTTTGAGAGTAATGGACGACCTGGGGACAGACAGGGCACCTGGCGGGACGCTTGACGGGACGCTTGACGTGACGCTTTGACCTGAACAGGACGAGCATTCGTAAGAAAGCCTTGTGAGGGCTACCAATGTTTCAGCCATCCACTGCAAGGGGTGGGAAAGATGGGGGTTGGAATGGGGAGGGAGGGAACGTCGTGGAGTTATTCGGTGCGGCAAATTCTCTTTCTAACCCCTTTTATTCTTGCCTGCCGCCGGTTGTAGCTGCAAGAAGTCCTCCGGAGGTCGACAGTGTCCGAAAAAGCGGGCGGTTTGAATCTTACTGCAGGACTCTCTTTTTCTGTTAACGCGAGGAGTTGGACATTCCCAAGTCGATGGACTGCAGAGGCTATACCGCGTATGGCGGGTGCCGCCTTTCTTTTGGGAAAAATATGGGAGGCTGACTAGCGGCAGGCCATTTCAGAGACGCAATCGGTATAGGCAGAAAGCTGTGTAATAGAGGTTTACTCTTGCTTAGTTGTTTAGATATATAAGTGCGGAGTTCGCAGTTGACTAAACCGTGCTGGTCGAATCGTGCTGGTCGGCGTATTTCCTTTCTACATTACCTCGCTTACTCCAATTCACCCATCATGTCACCGCGACCGCTGCTTGACCCTTCCCCATCCCCTTCGCCGCCACCTTCACTCCCACCACCACCCCCTCCTGTTCCTCCCTCTTCCCCTACCTTATCTATCGAAGACCAAGTGGCTCGATTGCGACGGCCATCAGACGATGACGAGTGGGTGAAATGCTTTGTCCAGCCCAAAGACTTCGAGTCTATCAAAACCAGCTGGGCGAAAATTCATCATCTGCCCCAATTCCACGTGGTTGGAAAATTGAAGGACGGATATATGGTTGCGGTTGCTGCCTTCGTCTTGCCGCTTCTCAACGATCTCGAAATCCCATACTCACATGCAGATGGAGAGTTTTCAAGCGATTGGCGGCCGCATCGGGATATGAGTTCTAATCGGCGGTGGTTTGTTCAAAATGCCATCGCCGGTATTTCTATGCGTGCTCGAGGGCTTGTCGACTTATATCGGGGAATGTTCAATTACTGGTCGACGGTACCGAGCGATCTCAGGCTGCCGATCGAGTGGGCCATCCTCCTGCGGGATATCGAGGTGTGTTTTCTGTTTTTCTTTACAGAGTCTCCGTTGCCAAGAAAGAACAAAGTTAACAAAGGTTTAGAATGCGCCTCCCGCTGTTCTAGAAACATTTTACTCCTCCTCCCTTCTTCTCGACAGCCTCCTCCATGATGCCACATACCTACGGCAGACGCTTATGGACGTTATTGAGCGGCTACGCCGGGCGAACACAGAAATGGCCATGGTGCCACCGTCGTCCGAGGAAATACCCATACATATACATCACATATCGCTCCTTCGTGGACTCCTCGAACATGCCGGCGGCCAGCGCGATGTGCACCAGTATGAAATCGACAAACGTCGGTCGGTAAACGACAATCTACGTTATCTCTGTGAGCTGTACTGCGGCAACCAGACGTCCGGCCCACTACCATCCAAAGGTCTACGCGCTGACGACGAACATCGTCTGGACCTAATTAGGTGGTTTGCGCCATTCCGCTTTGAAAGCGTTTTGTATACGATTTTACCGGCGGACTTGATCGACAATCTTCCGTTCGACACAGTAGAAGCTACTCTTCTCATGTAAGACCTCTACTTCCTAGTAATACAAGATCTCTTACAACGTAAACTAACATAACAGCGGGCATCACCTCCCCCCTTATGGACCTGAGACCTTGCCTTTATTCCTCTGCCAATACACATCTGTGGAAAAAACCTATGACTGTCTTTCCGTATGGATGGCGTCTGCTGAAGGAAGATCCAAACGTGGCCAGATTGTACAACTGTTACACGATGCCCAGACTCGGTGTCAAACATGGGTGTACCTCGGGGCTTTGGTGTGTTTTGAACGAGTTCTCGGTAGCTCAGATGTCGCAGCTATCGGAGAGAGCTTTTTTTGTCAGTTTGGCCATGACGAGAGCGAGACGTTGTGGCATGATGTTGCCAACTGCCTGCATCAGATCGACCGTTGTGATCTGGACGCCGTTTCTTGGCTGCTGGATGAAGAATGGCGGCCGTCCCAGTTGTTGAGGGATCGTACACTACTGGTCCTATATTGGCATCTTCGGGGCTTTGTGGCTCATGACAAGGCCTGCACGATTCTTTCGCTTGTCCTTTCTGATGACAAAACAGACGAGGCAGACATGAGGCCGCCGGATGGGCAGAATATTTGACATGTGGTGAGGTTACGTGGCTAGCCTTTTAACGATTCTGGTTACTGAGCCCAACTAACCCAGAATCATGGTGTGGGAGATATGTGTATGTGTTGAGAGGATTGTATTTTGTGTTTTATGTTTTGTGTTTTGCTGTGCTTTGCTCTGCTGTGTCGTGCGGAGGATGACGTGAGGCAAAGGAAGAGGGGGCGAAAGAAAAAAAAGAAAAGGTAAAAAGTAGCAGATAGCATCCCCCACCATTTTCGCAGGAAAAAGGCACATCCCGAGCAGGTACGTACTGATCTTCCACGATCCGAGGTCTCGCCTTGTTTTCCAACCACAACGCCTGCTGCAGTTGCAGGGATATAGTTTGCGGGATTTCTTGGAATGTGATGAAAACAGACAACAGGAACCAACATGTGACTGCTCATAGGCCCAACAAGAGCACCGCCTTGACGGTTAATGCGTCCTCGTCTCGATATGGGTTGGTGGGTAGGCGGTCATAAGTGTGTGTGGGCCGCTAATCGAGTTCCCGGCTAATCAACCGCAAGAGCGGAGGAACATAGGTGATGGACGGCTTGCTGTATCTCTCGCTCTTCGTTTTGTCTTGCCCACTTTATTTCTCGCGGTCGGCCGACTGAGGTGTGGTTTACTTCGCCCAAAGTATTCGTAGTGTTGCATCGGAAGGAGAAGACACTGTGTGTGCCAACAGCAGGCGCGCTAACCTTTTTAAGTAGCTTGCAAGGGACAAGGAACAGGGAGACCGACCGAGATACGAGTCAAGTGGCTTTTATCGGCCTGCTCTCCAGTTTTCTCTCGCGGATCGACAGTACTCGCTGGCAAGGGAGGAAAAAATATTTATACCATACTTTTGCATACCTGCATATCTCGTAATATTTCTCGAACCTCGACTTATCCGTATAACAAGGGCACCACTTAAGGCCGTCGGGATGGTCCATTAGTGTCCTTTTCCCGGAAACCAAGCCCCGCCAAATAATAAATCAACACGCCAACAGAGGATGTCGGCAAGCAGTTTCAGCGCCAATCTAAAAAGAGTCACGCTAGCACAGCCTTCACTACAACCTTTACCCAACCTCCGCCAGAGTTCAACCCTGGGTTAAAATAAGAGTGAGGGCTCTGTTTCCACCCTCCCGGATCGTCTTCGCCCCTACGTTCTTGCGGTTGATTGGCTGGGAACTCGATTAACGGCCCACACCCGCTTTTCCGAGCTGTGGTTCGTCTCCACCAACCAGTGTCGGGTCCGAAGAGGGCGCATTTTCCCCACCTGAGCGGGAAATGTTCTTCTATTGTTGCCAAGATAGTCGCTCCCGCAGATGCGAGTTGAATAAGGAGTAGTGAAGTACACCCAGTCTTCGTCTTCGGCCATTTGACGAGTTATTTTTCAAATCTACTTATATAAAACAGAAAGCATAGAAAGACGCAGGCTTGATAAGCGTCTGAGAAGGTCTGCTGAAAGATATTCTTGTTTTCCTATCGGGGTAGTGTGGTCGACGCACTTGCGTGCCTGAGAGACTGGCCAATGTCGTCCAAGCGCCCTACAATGCAACCTCGCCTCTCCTGGGTTGGACAGTCTCTGCCACAGACATGGGTTTTGTTCAGCACACCACCCCATACGTGGCGCTGATCCAAGGGGGCAGCGACGGCGGGTCCAGCTTTAACAGGGGTGCTCGCTCGTTCGTCCCCGTTTTTATTTCACATTTTTAAAAGGGGTACGACGAAAGGGACGCTTAACGGGACGCTTGACGGGACGCTTAACGGGGTACTTGATGGGACGCTTGACAGGACGAGAAAGAGTGGCGAAGGAGTGTGTTTTATCTCTTCAAGTTGAAAGAAATAAATCGACATATTTAAGCGCCAACGAACCTTCTCCCCCAAGAAATCCCATGGCCCCACACAGCTGTTTCCCTTCCCTCGCGTCTTAATGTCCCGCTCCCCCACCCCTTGTTTTGCCCTGTCACAACCATACTCAGTACTCCGTATGTCCGCTGCCAATGCCAGCACCTGCCCCCTCTCTCTATCAGTCCAGCCACTTGATGGACTTCCCTCTGAGGGAACAGTGGGTGTGGGCTCGTGGTAGCATCCCCAACCAATCGGTTAACCGCAAGACCGGGGGGGAGAAGGCGATGGGGAGGGAGTCCGTCCACCTCTTCGCACATCTCTACGGCACTAATCAACACATACCCGCTCTTTCCTCTCATGCCATTGGCGTGGTGATAAGTGGTGCTGTTCTCTCTCCGTTTTGAAAGTGCCAACAGCAGGTACGCTAAACTTAAAAAAGATGCTAATTCTCAGCTGAATAAAAGCTTGACGGATTGGCCCCACTACTTCGCGCGCGTTGGGGAAGTACGGAGACAGGGAGAGTAGTGGAGCCTAGTCGAGCCGAGACACGAGTGCAGGTGTGATGAAGCTTTTAATTGGCCTGCTGTACATGTTCACAAATAGCGCAGACTTCGTACCGATACTTATTAATACTCGTTCACGACTAAGTATTGTTTGAACCGGTACTTGTCTGTAATGGCAAGTACAGAGTACTCCGTAGACGGAAAGAAATAGCAACGATGGAAAGAAAAACAAATGCACCAATAAAAGTGGGTGGCGCTCTCCGAGGTAAACAGTCCCGGTCGCCAGATAGGCTGTACCACGTTTTCACCCTTCCCAATTTCCTCCAAACTTTATCCAAAATACCCCGTCTTCTGCTGAATCCTCGTCGCAGGTCACTATTTTTCCGGCTACTAAAATATGAGACCCATCCCAAAACGTCCGAGGACGCCCGATAGGATAGTGAACAGATAAATCAGCAAGCGAATGGTTCTATCTCAGAATTTTGTTGGATCGGAACAAAGAGGAGCCTGGTCCCGCAAACATGCAACGGACCGCCCCTAACGTCAAGGGCATACCTAGCGTCCGTGATCTTCCTGCACTACAGCCAAGTATAGGTTCAAATACTATTTAGTCATATACGAGTATGCTCAGGTACAGGTACAAATGTATTTTCTTGCTACTAGTCACTGGCACCGCCGATTTTTTTTCTTCTTTTTTTACTTCTCTTTTCTCCTTTTTCACGTTTTCATTTTTTTACTCTTGTGTTTTAATATATTTCATAAAGATGAAGTTATATATTCGGTGTCTTTGGATATTCGTCGATATTTTGGTATAAAGGTTTAACTTTCACGTATTTTCTTTAATTTAATATAATTATTTTTCGTTATTCGAAAAGACGAAGAAAAAATAGAGTGCCTCGCGAAGGGAAGTACAAAATGAAGCCGAAACATAACGCTGAGGTGCAAGAAAGAATACGGCAAATACCTGCTCCAGCAACCGTCCTAGTGGGCAAGATATCAGATAGATGTCTCTAACCATCTGCTCTCGTTCACGCACTACTACAGACGGCCAGAAGAACAGACCATTAACTCCAGACGGCCTCTACAACTATCTGCGATTGAGTCTGGCGCTTTTGTTCTAGCCACCTCGCGATCCTGGTTCACCGAGATAGGTAAGCTCAGGTGCCGTTGACTTCTTCCTTCCTCTCACCTGTCGAAGTCTCCGTCCTTAAATCCCTTTTTTCATTCCTTTTTTTACTTCACTTAATTCTATCTTCCCCATTCCAAATCCCGCTGGTCGAGAAGACTGGCCTACCGCCCATAAAGTCCTTCTATGGACCAAGCAAGTCGGTCTCGTCCGCCGGCGGCATCGCTATCTGCTCTTGGAAAACGATCCCGGGACACCACAGACGACCAAGTATCGAAGCCGCCGAAACATCCGAGGCTCGTTGGGCCTTCCAGCGAATGGAAACCTGCGGCTCCATCGACGCAGCATACCGGCGCCTCTAATACCATGACAACTGGGGCGAGTCTGGGCCGATGTCTGTGGCCCTTCGCCATTTTATATTCGGGCACGCATTTTGCTAATATCTTAGATACAATTACGCGGCTGCTAGGGCAGGGAGCATCTGGCATCGTCGTGGAGGCCAAGAGAAAGAAGCGCGTTGTTGCGATCAAAGTCTTTACGAAGGGTGACAAGGCGGCTAGGGTCGAGTTGAAGATACTGCAAACATTGCGAGAGAACGATGGAGAGAAGCAGGGCAAGTGTATCCGCTTGCTTGACTACTTTCGACATGACGGTGTTGCCTGCATTGTCGTGGCTCGCTACCCCAAAAGCCTCTTTCAATTTCTCAGAGAGAACGGCGGCTTGCCTTTTCCGATGAGCCACATCCAGAGTTTTGCTCGCCAGCTTCTGACGGCCACCTCCTGTAAGTCCTCTGCGGCCACACAGCCCTGGAGCGAGACCGTTCTCTGACCCGGCAGTCCTACAAACATTGACGATGATCCACACGGACATTAAACCGGACAACATTCTCTTATGTGACGACGCATACCAGACATTCGTGTACAAGCGGCAATACCAACGGCATATACTGCACGGCACCGAGATCCTCCTCGCTGATTTCGGCTCATCAGTTGTCCAGATAGCAGACACACGTACGACGTTTGTGACGACGTGCTACTATCGAGCTCCCGAAGTTATCTTAGGTCGGCGCTGGTCCTATCTAATCGACATGTGGGGTATAGGTTGTGTTCTTGCCGAACTTTTCAAGGGAACTGTGCTCTTTCAGAGAAGCGATGACGCGAAAGGAGACTGGGAGCATCTGGCCATGATACAGGACTTTACAGATTGCCGCATTGCGGTGCTACGCAAGCCGTCAAAGAGCCCGTTCTCGAGAGGTATAAAGCGTATAGAAGTAAGTGTTCAAGGCCACCTGCCACGACCCTTTTTACTTGACTGACACTTGTAGGATATGATCCCTAAGAAGCATACCGGTTTTTTCGACCTTCTACGCAGGATGCTTATTTACGAGCCTGAGCAGCGAATCGCCGCCAAAGACGCTTTGGACCACGAATGGTTAAGGGCCGCTCTTCCTCCTGATGATGGCGCGCATCTGCAATGCGCCTTGTACCTCCTCGAGTTCCACCGTCAATGACAGCAGCGCTATGTTCCTACAATCGACGATGTTTCGGTCAGAACGGGCCACGTAGGGCTCACAAAAGGGGAGGCAACGATACGGGCCGCTGGAAAGAACAGAGGGAAAGAAAGCAGGAACGCACTTTATGTATCCCGGCATGGCCGTACGAGTGAAGGTGTGATGCTAGCCATCTCGAATCGACAGTGCCCGGAAAATAGCGCGGTGGAGAGAAGGCATTTACCTGTAGCTGTGTTCGGCCTGGGTAATTATTTTCTTCTTTATTTTCTTCTCCGTCTTTCTCGTCTGTTACCGCCCTCTTTCCCACGCGACATATGTAGACAAAGTCCAGCTCCATCTAAAATGGCCTTCCCCGTTATCGATTTCGTTGTTCATATAGTTAGTTGTCGACTTATTCCTCGTTTAATGGCGGAACGAGACCAGCGAGTCCTAATATCCTCCCACCCCCCGATGAACAATCGTCAAAAACAAGATGACAAACATGGCTACTGATTCGCGATCTCCGGTAAACAACACGTATCGTATGCCGTCAGAGGCGACAGTAACGGCGCCTTTCATCTGGAAGTTTATTGCTACGGGATATATTTCTGATCGTATCACTGACAGAACACCGTATAGCTTCCTCACCTGCTGGGACAGCGCCGGGAATCGGGTCGTTTTTGACAAAGTGCGAATCCACTGCATTCTTTCATGGTGATCCTTATGACCCGAAGTCTCGTCTCGATGTCTCTCTCGCACAGCAGCCAGTTTCTAACAGAACACGAACTAGAATATCTCGTAATTGACTCTTCGTGAAGGGCAACCATACCTTTCACGCCAAAGAAGTTTAAAAAACAGGCCAGGAGCCAAGGGTGTCGTTGAGCCCTCATGCATCTGTCTTAAGGCAATACGTTGCTCATGTTTCTCGCGAGCACCTGATGGACAATCAATTTATGCTCGTGTTATCGGCGTAGGGGACCACTCCCGCCTACCAGTGGAGTGATATCGGTGTAGGGTCGTCCTGTCTCGCACACGGTATGTGTAGAGTAACAGAAGGAGCACAAAAGGAGTGAAGAAGGCGGGGGAATTGGGAAAGGACACAGGGAAGGGAAAGATAATGAAAATCGAAGCCGGGAAGAAGACGAGAGAATTAAGGGGGTGGGAGAAGAGGTGTTTATTTTCCTCTTTTCTTCCTCTTTTCTTCCTCCTTTCTTCCTCCTTTCTTCCTCTTTTCTTCCTCCTTTTTCCTCTTTTCTTCCTCCTTTCTTCCTCCTTTTTCCTCTTTTCTTCCTCCTTTCTTCCTCTTTTCTTCCTCCTTTTTTCTTTGGGCTAAGACCACGCTCCTTTTTAACCGGCAAAGCCTCGTCCGTTTTTAACTCGGACGTTTCGTCGCACGGCATCGGGCACGGCCAGTTCCTCATCCCGCGCGGGCATTCTACGGCAGCAAACACCCTCCTCTCCCTGCCCCAAGTCAGATTTTTTCTCGAGTACCAACAAAAGTCCATCAACAAAAAGTCAAAAAAAACGGAGTCGACAAAGAAACCCCCACCGAGTTTCTCCCACATCAGAACATACTTCTTCGACCTTGAAACGAGCCTCCCTCTCCCACCCCAGCTTAACGACGCCGGCCTCGCCCCCACGGTATCGTCTTCTTTCATGGCAACGAGCCATCTGGCTAATGTCGATGGGCTTGTCCGCAGCTACTTTGCTCATGTACACCCCGGCGCGCCCCTCTTCAGCATTGCCCAGTTCCTCCAGTGGTCTTTTGGGGCCTGTCAAAGCAAACCCAACGAATCAATCGAGACAGCCATATGCCTTGTTGTTTGGGCCCTCGGGTCTCTGACTGCCTCAACGCCACATGATTCAACTTCAACGTCACCGAAATCATCGAACAGTCCTATCCACCAACAGCAGCAACGACAACAAAAGCAACAGCAGGCTGAGCGCGACCGATTTGCGCTGTCTCTCTTCCAGCCAGCGATGAAAATCATCGTACACCATGCACTCTGGGAGTTTGGCCCAGCATCATTGGTCACTTGTCAGGCACTTCTTCTGGCAGCATCCTATTTTTCTTACATTGGACGGCCGCTACATAACGCTAGGATGGTGTATTTGGCTAGCAAACTTCTGATTCGTGTTATTGAGGAGTAAGTGCTTAGTCTAAACATCAAAGATCTTCATGATACTAACTTTTATTAAAGAAAGCAAAGGCGGGATAGACCGGATACCGAGCTGAGCGGACCTCTACTTTCTGTCTTTTGGGTGTGCTTTATTTGGGAGTGGTAAGTCCGCCTTCTCCTTTATTGTTTACCAAATGGTGGGCATTCTTAGCTAATCTTGTTAGTGACCGTGCGGCCGAGTTAGATATCCCTAGGAGTGGCATCGAGCCTCTAGCAGATCACATGCCGCTCCCGACAAGCCTTGACCCGAACGACGGCGACAATATAATCTGCTTTGTTGCCGAGATTACTGCCCGGCGGTTCCTTAACCGTATCCACAACTCACTGTACGCGACGGAAGGCACCGACTTCGGCCAGGGCGTTGGCAAGATGCTCCCCATCAGTGCAGAGTTGAATCGTCAACTCGAGGCCTGGTACCATGCGATGCCTGACAATATCCGTCCGCCTCTAACTAGCAAGAGACGAAGTAGTGCAGGTGACGCCGCCTTGGATATGGGCCCCATTGATATTAGCGAGAATGACCCACAATGGCGCGATACCCGGCAACAACATACGACTCGGACGCTCAGCGAATGTGTCGAGATTCTCCGTATACACTACTACGCCGCCCGGCATATCATCCATCGTCCGTTCGTCCTGGATGTCGCGTGGCAGTACCAGCAGCAGATCCTAGCTCGCGACGGCACCGAATTTGCTCGCAACAATGACGAGAAGAGCAAGACGACAGAGGCAACGGTTGGGCTGCAACGATCCAAGTCGGTGGCTGCGCTGGCGTCATCGTCTGTCCCGCCACTGCCTTTGTCAGCAGACGTTCTGGGTATGTGCGCCATTTGCGTTGACTCGTGCGTGTCGTACCTGGTCCATGTTCTTCCTCTACTTGAGCGCCGGTCGCCATACCTGTGGTCGTTTTGCCAAAGCAGCATGGCCTGCTTGTTGGTACTCCTCGTGGCTAACGCATGCCCCGGAATTACCTCGAGTATGTCAAATACGCGCCAAGGGAATGCCCAGGGGCTCAATATCGGCTTCTTCCGTGACGAGGTGGCTGCTCGGTTGAGGCAGTGGGCGACACCTGGGTCAAGCTTCGAGGCAGAGTTGAAGATCATCGAGTCTTTCCCCATCAGGTCAACATGACTGGACAGGTGAGAGGGGTTATAGATGGAAGCAGAAGCCTGTGCGGCTGGCATTTTTGCTTACACTGTATATGAAGGGGAGGCCCTCGTTTCGGAGAAACGTACTATACGATTGTTATCGCTGTCTTCCACCCGTCAATGTCTTCTTCGTTTTCGTCCAAAGACTGTTAATAGTTCGAACCAGCCGAAAGAACTCCTCTCTGTCCGTTTCCGCTTCCGGCCATTGCCAAGGTCCTGTTTTCTCTCTCCATAACTCCTCAATCTCTTTGATTTTTTTCGTAGCTCTGTGCGCGCCTTGGCTTTCAATGCGATTAGCCAACGGCGCCGCCCGTGAGTGGCAGAGGCGCGAAAGGCAGCACACAACAGCGACAGTAACAGCAACAGAACTCGACGCCACGGTGGAGCGACATTAACCAAGCCTTTGCTTTTGCCGGCTTTATGTGGATGCACTGTGGCGCTGGTAGGGCTAAGAAATTTAGAGGTCCCTTATCACCTCGCTCAAAGTCGTCTGCTGCGTCGGCGCCACGTCTTGAAACAGGTAAAGGTGTGTCTTCGCTGTCCAAGTAATGGACATTTTATTTATCTCTCGAGGTTAGGTTTGGTAAAAATGCTGGACTTGCGCCTGTTATGGCGTTGTTGATTATTAATTTTCCTGGTTTTATCGCCTATTAGAAACGGTTATTAGCTCGTCTGTAAAGGTAACCTAGCATCACATAAATGTTGGCCCGGTTCATCGTCAAACACAAAGCTAAGACATAAACTAGCAAACGAGGATGAGTTAGAGGAGAAAACGTAGTTAACGCGGTTTTAGGAAGCAAAAGCAAAAGTGAGGATATCGAAGAAGTGGCTTATCTTAACTAACAGGGGCGCATTCGTATATCGAGACTCCGTAACAGTACAGTAAAACACCCCCTATAAATTAGAATTATAAAATCAATCCGGCAAAAGCAACAAGTACTTAGCAAAGGCCTCTTATGTTTCTTTATTTCTCCTGCTACTATTATTTCTCATTGCTCTTCTACCTTTTATCTTACCAGTGCACACCCAACCTTTCCAGGTCCGCCAGTCTTAGTTCCGTCCCAGTTTTCTTCATTTTATAAACCTTCTGTACTCTCCGCCGTGTCGCCCCTCGAGCGCCTTTTCCTTTTCTCCCTCTTTTTCTACACTTTCTTTCCCCTCTCTTTCTAGTACCTTTTTCCTTGAAACTCTTCACGAGAGCCGGATCAATGTCACGTTCCCGCTCCCACGTGTTATGCTTGTCACAGTAGCCCTTCCACTTCACCAGGAAATAATGCCACCGTCTGTCAAGTAATGCCTCTACCGCATACTGGTTGTCTTCGGTGTCAATAGGGCCTGGACGGTTGTCCTGTCCAGCGCGACATCCTGGGCAGTCTTCGTCTGCATCGCCTTCCGGGCGGCTCGGGTCGCCTGGCTTCGTGGCCACATACGGGGGCCAAAACTCGTCGCGTGTTGTGACCACCTGGACAGGGCCGTCATCATTCCATACCACTTCAAAGGTTGCAAACGACCTTTGAACAGGCCCGTTTCCAGTTTCCGGGTCCTGCGAAGCAGCCGCGGCGTCGCCGCCCGTGGACGCTAAGCCGCTAGATTCGTCGCATCGGAACTGCTGATACCGAGTCGGGCTGTTCTCGACAGTGGAACTTTCACTCATGTCTCCACTGCCGCCAAGTACGGCGAGTGGCGATCTAGTGGTAGAGCAGTCTGTTCGGCCGTCCTCTGGTCGCACTTGTGGCCACTGGCAAGTAACAGGGGCATCAGGGGCTTGGCTGCAGCCGTCACCGTTGCTTGGCGCTGCGTAATCATGCCCGGCGCGTACAGGCCCGACGGCGCTTCCGGCTAAGATGTGTTAGCGAATATTCCGGAAGGAGAGAGATCGGGGGACTCTTACTCCACAGCTCCAGCCGTGGCCTTGTGTCGCCGGTATGAGGCTTGGTGGGGCTGCTCGGCTCGTCGTCATTTGGATCCGCTTGAGAGGAGCCTGCGGAAGATGCTATTTGAGTAAAATTTACGGCCACATCCTCATCTTCGACTTTGATGAGTTGATGAGATGCCATTGTTTTGATTTGACTGAAAAAAAATTAAAAAAAGAGAATTGTAGAAGTTGGAAAAGCGCTGCAGGGTAGAATATGAGAAAGAATATGATAAATTGTCTGCATGGCAGATCCGCAAATAAAAGACCTGCGGTGGAAAGGTATCGAGTTATATAATGCCATTCATCTTCAGCTAGATCCTGTTCGTCTCTCGCCTGCTTACTTCTTAACGGTGCCGACTCGGCACCCCATCCTCTTGATGAAGAAAAAAGAGGGCGCGCATATCTGCCGAGGGGAGGTCATCTTGCCTCGTGCCCGCGTGCTCTCTGCCTGCCTCTACCATGTCAGCACCAACAGATACCGCACCTCGGCCTCTTGTCGGCGTGACTGCTGTCGGCTCGTCGTCCTTCTAGCTTCTGAAAAAAAAAAGGCGACAGAGAAGATCACGAATCAGACTGTTGCCCGTTCGAACGTGGGCGGGTCATGAGAGAAGACATAGACGACGGAAACCGCAGTCTTAATTTTTCCACAAATGGCGTCTCCTGGATCTTGCGTCAGAGTTGAAAAAGGCGACTCGACAGCCTGGCTATGCTCGCCTTTGTCCACGCATCGGCCCTTTTCCGAGTCTGCCTTACCACACCCCCTTTTGGCATATGCATCTCCTCGGCACGGCGGCACGATACGGCTGCCCGTCTTAGGAAGGTGGTTGCGACGGACGAGAGGACGAAGCCCTTTGCGGGCTGCCGGCGCCACGGCCGCGCGATGAGGCGAGACAAGTCCTGGCATGGCCCTGGTTTTTTGGTGGTTGTGGCTTGCTGGCCACGCGTCCACGACCCCCCCGCCCTCATCTATTGAAGAAGAATAGAGAGGTCACAGCGGCGCCAAGGCAGGGCTAGAGAGCATGACGGAATCCCATTTGTCAAAGGGGAAAAAGAAGGATTGGGAGGGATGGGCCCGGGGAGGGGGCGCGTGGGAGCATGTCCTGCAAACAATCAGCACACGAGCGGCAGCCGCGGGATGCCTAGCCGGAGAAGGGACCACAAACTCACATGAGAAAGGGAGCATGAACGCGCTCAGAGGGACAGGAATGAGACAGAGATACAAAGCGTGAATTCAAGACGGGGAAAGGGATTGGGGGAAAGGGGGCGAGAAGTCGTATGCTTCGCTCGCGGCTCCCACGCGGCCGTACACAAGTGGCTGGAGCTCAGATAGATTACGGGAAGGAGATCCTAGCCATCATTTTTGACTGGCCGGGCACGGTAGAGGAGCTCTCGAGGGGTCGTAAAAACAAAACAGCTTCATAAAGAAACAAAAGACACATAGACTGAGAAAGAACGAGGAAGGAGGGGGAGGGGGGGAGGAAGGGGGACAGACCAAGAAAAAGTGACGAAGAAAGGAGACAAAGGAAATGAAGGGGAGCGATGATGAGCCAAGAAAAAAAAAAGAAAAAGGAAAGGGGAGAAAAGAAAGCCAGAAAGTTCAGAGAGTACAACATCGGAAGACGGAAGCGGGTATTTATACAGAGGGCCAGGCGGCGCAGCGTCGGCAATGGAGCTATACCCGATCTGGAAGTGCGCTAAAACGAAAAGGGGAAACAGCACATTCTCGATTACACGCGCGATGTAGATTTAGTGTGAACTCTTATTTTAACTTGGCTTAGCCTAATCCTCGTGCACGCACCTGGTAGGCGGAGGGTACAGGTCTCAGCAATACGTTGCGCCGTCCCGTGTCGGCGCCGGCATAAAAGAAAACCTTAGTCCATTCCGATGCGGGATCGGCTGTGTTAGCTATGACTTGAGGCCTCGTAGCGGCCATTTCCGCAACAGGACCGTGTAGGCCGATGCAATCGGTCAGCTTAGCTGTGAGTTGATGATAAGACAGATGGTATGTGGGGGTCGTGCCTCCGTGCTACAAAGCATCCCATAGTCGGGAAGCCGAAACTTATCACGGGCTTCCGGCTGATGCCGTCGGTCAAATTAGTTATAACTTGGTGTCTAGTCAGTTTATATATCGAAGATACTGTGGCCGTGCTGTAAAACACCCCCCATAGCCAGGAGGTGAAATCAATCATCTACGGATTCATGTCAAAAGCGTGCTTGGACTAAGGAAGGGGTTTTGTTTATTTATTTCCGAATTGGGAGAAAGCAATAAGGGATGATAAGTACACCATCTTCTGCGGAATGGCTGAAAGTTGCCTAGGCTGTGACAACACCATCGACATCACCACGTCTGCTAAAGCAGCATGCCGGTGCGGTCTCGTGGAGTAGTCTTTAATTCGACGGCTCTGCTTTGTATCTGACGCTCTTATTTGAAAAGAGTTGAAGGGGCATGCTGGCTAATCCACATGTATGGCCCGCGGTTCGACATCACAGTACAACCAACTGGCGCTGGCAGTACCAAAATCTCGTGGGAACGAGGGGGCTTTCGTGGTATGTAAAAGGCTGCCAGAGTCTTGCATATTGTCATGTCATTGGAAACTGAATTGAAATGCACATTGAACTAGAACTATACGGAGAGTGCAAGTCGTTCATAGAAAGGAAGAGAGCAAGACAATAGGATGAGGGAACTATAGGGCCAGCCTTGAAAAAGAGGAAAAAGAGCAAAAAAAAAAAACCAGTGGCGCGAATAGGAAGCGGGAACTACAAGGGCCGGCCTTAAAAAGGTAAAAACCACAGTAACACGATCAGTCTTAAAAGTTAAACGGTTCTGGCCTGGCCGGTCCGCGCTGCACCTGGGCCGGGTCACGCCTCCTGGGTGCCAAATCGTCTAGATCCGTCTGCCCGGCCCTCAACGCGTGCCCATATAGCATTTCGTCAGTGTCCATCTTGCCCCATGTTTGATTCATCAACGACCTAGAGACGAGCTGCAATTTTCCTTCCACGATGCAGAGGCCGCTGATGTGAAATTTCCCCACCCCCCAGGGCATCTTCAAGGCAAGAATCATGCTGGTCTTGCTGCTCCTCACAAGATCGTCTTTGGTTGCCCGTGGTAGGATGAAATTGTGGCCGGCGTTTTTGTACGTCGCAAAGTATCCAGCTTGCGGGCCAGTGCGACAGTCAACCCAATAGCCCCTGAGATGGCGCGGCTCGCCGCTTCGGCCGGGCAAAGCGACGGCAACGTGAGACTGGCGTGCGGGATGTCTGCCATAGATTTCACCCCAAACAGTCTGATGCGACTCGGGATCATTGATTCGGATCTTGGTCATTGCCTGGGTGGTTTGAAAAAAGGAAAGAACTAGGTCCGCAGGACATGTAGATGAGTCTACGCCACCAGTAGGCGGGTTATTCGGCGGGGTTGCACCGGCCTGTCCAGGCGTTGCGGGCGGGTTGTTCGGCGGAGTTGCACCGGCCTCTCCAGGCGGGGCGGGCGGGTTGTTCGGCGGGGTTGCACCGGCCTCTCCAGGCGGGGCGGGCGGGTTGTTCGGCGGGGGTGTAGTAGACGGTCCAGTCGGGGCGGTCGACGCGGGTGTACCGGACCGCGAGTCCGCGGCGGTCGACGAAAGTGCAACAGACGCGGCAGACGAGGACGGAACATGGAGATTTCTCAGATCTTTGCCTTCATCAGCATCGGACTCGGTGCTGGAGTCGTTTTCATCATCAGCAGAGGGTTCGGTTGGTGCATCTCCGCTGACCGGTTGTACCCGTTCGGTAGGATGTTTGGCTTTTTTTTTAGGGCCCTTCTTTTTGGACCCCTCGGGAAATTCTTCTAGCAGCTCCTGGATAGTGGCATCGTCGTATTGAACTCCGACCTTCTTGAGAAGGGCGATCGAGTTGGGACGAGTCCAGGGTTCTGGGTATGGGACGTTGCGTTTGTGATGGAGGTGAATGAGGTGTTTCGCCAACTTCCACGTCTCCCATTCTTCGGGAGTTTGGGGCATTGTTTACAGCGTTCTTTGCGGTATTCTCGTTCTGAGTCTGTCAGCGCTGGTGTTGAATGTTGAAAAGAGGCCTGCCTCTGGATTGATTGATTGAAGTGTTGGTTAGTTACGTTTGCTGCCGTATGTCATTCTAGTTGGCTTTATTTATACAGAAGTAAAGCTCTTTGTTCGTGAACTTGGTATGTTGAATACGGAAAACGGGAGACGGAAACATGGAGAAAAGTATGACTGAAACAGACAACAGAGAACAGAAGATGGAACAAAAAGGACACTAGCTTTAAGACGGAAAGCGGAAAACGGGTTCCTGTTTAAGGCGGCTAGTTGTCACGCTTAACACTATAAATATAGTAGGCTCATTACAGTGTATTTTATGTAAAATAGAATTATGAAAAAAAAAAAAGCTTGCCACAAAGTCTTCTTTTCATTCGTCCTCGAAATGTCCCGTCGCACGCCCCCTAGACTGTACCCAACTCGGTCTGAGGGGCAGCGGGCTCGCCCGCCGACACCATACCCATTCACCTACGAGGACTCCCTGTCCTGCTTCGCAGACGACTGCTCGCGTGGCATAGCATACGACTGGATCCGAAACCACGTCCGCTACGTCCGACCCGATGCCAGGCTCTTCTCGTCCGCTGCCAGAGGCAGGCTCCTGTATCGGTACGGCGTCGTCTCCCAGAACAATAAAATCCACCGGCGGCCTATCTCGGGGCAGCAAGTGCCGAAGCAGCAGGTGCCGAAGCAGCAGGTGCCGAAGCACCAGGACAAGAGGGTTGCATTTATCCTGCCGGGGCGGCGACCCTTGCCGAGTCCTGTGCGCCCAGCTGCGAAACCAGCATGCCCCTCACCGAGCGAGCTCGTACAGTCGATGAACAAGTTGAAGCTCGCTGAAGATGGAGGTGACCTCGACATGGACAACAACTAAGACACACAGAATAGGAGGGGGGCGGTTCGGGGTGCGGAATTGTTAGTATTTCCATAGTTGCATTTGCATACAGCTCGCCGGCGAGCTGCAGTACCGAGATTCGCTGATTGCCCATACGCAAAACTACCCAACACAACCAATATGACAGCTACAACCACTTAAAGAAAGTAGAAGGGTGCTAGTGAATGTTAGATCCGTCCTACGAGACAGTAAGCCGAGGATACACGAAAAAGACAAAGGCAGAATGTTTGGTGTGGGTCGAAGTGCTCCTTAGTGATCCTTATTATACAATTCATCTCGAACAGCGTAAACAAAAACTAGTACACAGCCCATTACAAAAGCTAACCCCGACTTTCCTCCTAATCAAAAAAGCTTAGCGGTTTGGTAGCCTTTTGAGAGAACGGCTTGTGCGTGATGATCGAATTTTGCCGCATGTGTTCGATGGCTCGGCTCGGATTGCTGGCTGTCTGCAAAGGTGTGCTGGGAAACGTCGTATTTGTGATTTGACGCGAAGCCGTCGTGATAGTGTTCGCCCCGGCCCCGGCGGCGTACTCGAAATGGTCTGGGCCGTATATGCAAGCATCGTAGCTTGGGACGTTGATGTCCTTGTGGGATTTGAACATGGCGCTCTCGCCGTCCAGCTCGATGTAAACGACGACACGGGCCCCGAATTTTTGTAGAAAGGTGGCCTTTCTCATGAGACCCTCGGTCCGCGTATTGACGTTCCGCGTATTGATGCCTCGATTTGCTTTGAAAAATTTGCGTGGGGTAGCCATTGTGGTATGCAGGGAAAGGAGAGCGGATGTCAAGTAGAATGAGAGTAAAGAACGTCTGTGGTAGGTAGGGGACTAAGATGATGGAGGAAAAACGCAAAACAAGAACCCGTTTTACTTCAGGTCTGTGGTCGCCGTTTTATATCGCTGATTTACGCGCTCCCTCTATTAATAGCAAGTTGATTTGCCGTCTGTGGGTGTGTAGCCGAGAGTTTAATTTGTAGCGCGTATCGCTCTAGGCACGACGAGGTTTTGATAGGTCTTGCGTACTACTTTGTCCAGCGCCCTGTTAAGCGCCATTGTTCACATTGGCTGCGTGTTTCCCGAATTCTTTCTTAATCTCCGCGAGGGAAGCGGGCCGCAGTAGCGGCCCCCCCTTTCTTCCGCTAGCCGGCGCTTGTTTAGCGCTAGTTGTGTTTCTGTTTTCTGTATTCTGTTTCTTGTCTTCCGTAATGGCAAACGTAACCTGCCGTGAAGGCTACTTAGCTTCCCGCGCTCGACATGTTTGGCCGGCTCAGGGGCGTCGTAGACACGGCCCGCAATGATGGATGCCTCTCTTATTTATCTCGTCGTCGTTTGCAGTGTGTACGCCACGGCTGGCCTCGGCGTGCTCGCATACATCGGCTGTCGTTGGATCGCTAAGGCAGCCAGGAGCTTCTCCGCACACTTTCGCCATGCCCCGCTCACACGGCGTGGCCTGTGGCGAGCCATTGCCCGTGCCGAAGCGCTCGTCCTTCTCCTGTATACTGCAGTCAACGGCTGGGCCCTCGGCTTTTCTGTCCACGACATCACGAAGCTGGAAGAGAGGGCCGCCACCGTCGCCTCGGTCAATTTTCTGATCACGTTTCTCGGAGGAAGAACGAATCCTTTTACCGATTTTTTTCAAGTATCCCTGCGGACGCACTACCTCGTCCACCACTGGGCCGGCCGTATCGGTTGCTTGGAAGCCATCCTCCACGGAGCGCTGGTGATGCATCGGCAACTGGCCCTTGACGAGCAAGCCATCTCTGGCTACATTGTAGGAGACCCCCCCATCACCACAACATTTGACAGAAACTGACAGACGTTAGGCTGGCGCTGCTCTGATTGCCATTTTTCTGTCCTCCCTGTGGTTTACCAGGGCGTGGCAGGGCCGCTGGTTTGGTCGTATTCATGTGGTCCTGTACGTCGCGGCGATGGGAGGTCTGGCATACCACGCGTACCTTCTGGCGACCGTGCCCTTCAAGATCGTCGTCTTTGGCTCGTGGGGTGTTTGGACCCTGTCGCATCTTGTGATCATCGTTCGAAAATGGACCCGTGCCCGAGTTACGGGCGTGCCCGGCGGCGACGGTGCGGCTGTTCAATTCGCGGTCATGGCAACGCACCCAGTCCGCGTGTTTCCGGGCTGCTACTTTTACGTTTATTTTCCGAGGCGCCCATGGTACAGCTTCTTCCACGGGCGGAGACTGATGCTCCTTGCGTTCGATGCGTCGCTGTCCATGAAAACAAGCGACCTGTCCTTTCTGACGCTACGGCACGACGGAACGAGCGCCTTGCGAGACGCCAGTCGAATCCTCCTGAACGGGCCGTACGGGCTCGACATTGCGCTCCACGAGTATGAAACGGTGTTTCTTGTGGCCAAGGGCATGGGAATCGCCGGCGTCCTGTCCCACGCGCTCTACATTGCTCGCCGCAAGCGCCACGATGACAGTGTCAGGGACGAAGCCTCTCGTCTATGGGACTCGGACGAGTTTGTGTTTCGGGATGCCACACGCCGACTGATTCTCGTCTGGTTCCTCGAGCACAATAGCCAAGACGTCTGGGTCGCCGACCAGCTCAAACTACTTCAAGAGATGGACAAAGACAATGTAGGCAGACACGGACTCCCAGTACGCGCTGTTCAGACCCCTCGCTAACGACATGCAGCTGACGCTCGTTTGGTGCGTGTATCCTTCCAAACGCGCGCAACCTCCCCCCTTTGTCGAGACGGAGTCCTGGAAGAGTTGGGACAGCCTAGGCATCGACACTTTCTCCCGAGAGCTTCGCCAAGAGTCCCGATACCCAGGGAGAAGCATTGTTCTAGGTACGTACGCTCCTGTCCAATTGGTTGCCAGGGCCTTGCTGACGGCACAGTGTGCGGCGACACGGGGTTTGTGGACAACATTCGCACAAGCGTTCTCGAGAACACGACGGCGGAAAGGGACATTACGTTTGTCGAGGCGGAATTCAGGCCGCAGGGGTCCGAGTATGTGAACCATAGAATGAATGTCGCCGCGTAGGGTGCGAAGGAAATACGGGCTGGCCCCGAGATTGTTGTGTGCTCGTTCCAAGCCGTGCTTGCTGCTCGGTCCGTCATAGTTTGGCTTGAAGAAAGACTGGAAAAAATACAATTGCAGATAAGCTATCTACGGATGTTTACGAGCAACTTCCGCTACTGTAAGAGAAATAAGTTCGAGTTCGAATATTAACGATACTTCTGGCATATCGTAACTCGTTTCTCTTTACACATTTCAGTCACATTCTCGAATTCATATACAATGTGAGGCAAGAGAACAAAATCAAAAAGTTATACACTCCTTCTATTTACTTATCTTTCCTACTCGATCACTTTCGCTTTCTGCGACCTAGGCTTGAGGCTGATCGGCGAGTGCAGCTCTGGAACCGGATACGTCATTTTCTATTCGTGTTAGTGAAGCCCTAATCTAAGATACGGCTGGGAGACGGACGTACAATTTCCGATGGAGGTGGAGGAAACGTCTCGTCGCTTGAGGCACGAAAGCAGTAGAACTTGCCACGGTAACGGACAGTCAGAGAAATGTCGGCACCGCAGTCTTCGTGTATGCTGGCCAGCTTGTGGTAAACCGTGAGTCGCCGTCTTCGAAATTTCGTCAACAAAGCCTTGGTGGCTCGCGCGGTCTTTTTGTCTGGCTGGTTCATTATTGTGGCGAAGGCAGGGGCAGCGGAATTGGATAAAGGCTGCTGGACGAAGAAAGAGCTAGAACGGGTCGGGTCTACCGTATATTATAGAGGAGCACGCTCTGCGGTTGGGAAACTGTTTTTGGGTTTCCGTTCGCCAAGATCCGTTTGGCGCTCCGGAGAACCGTTTTCGGTTTACGGGCAAAGAGCGGACCCACACCGGCCCAGGTATATACCTCCCCTCCGAAAGAACCTCTCGAAGGGGGATTGATCTTTTCTTCCCCCTGGTCGGGGAAAGCAGCACGACATGGACCGTCTCCCGGTGGAGATTCTGACCGGCATCGCCGCCGAGCTTTTGTCCACGCGGGATGTTTGCAATTTCCGTCTCTGCAGCCCCCGCTGTTCCTCTGCCGGTTTCCCCGTTCTGTTTCGCCAAATACACGTCATGAACACGGTCGACTGTCTCGAAGAGGCCAAAATCCTTCATGCGTCCAGCGCCGGCTCGTCCCGCGTCACAAAGCACCTCACGATTCACCACGGCAGCTGGCCAGAGGCCGAGTCGCTCCGCATTTGGTCGACCCACCCCTTACGCCACGGGCATGCGGCAGAATCCAACCTGGGCATGACTTGCGCCTTTCGCGACTATCGAGCCTTCGTCCAGAGGGAAGCATCGCGCACCAGCAGTTCGGATGCAGACCGCTTCTTGGCGCTCTTTGAGCTGTTTCCCAATGTGAGCAGCGTCACGATTTCGCACGTCTATCACTGGGACAAAGGCAAGCTCACGAACGCCCAATTTACGCGCTTGATGAGTACCTTTCGGATTGTGCCGAGATTCGAGGGTTGCGTGAATAGCGCCGTCTCCAGCATCCTCCCCGTTTTGCAACGGCGTCCTCTGGTCCGCGACGTGACTATTCGAGGCTTGTTTGATCCAAGCACCACCAAATGTATCAATTTACCAAGCGTCACGCGGCTCCGCATCCAATCTCTGACCTACCCGACTCGTCGTGAAGATGTCCATCAATTTCTCGCTTCGTTTCCGAGCCTCGAAGAGCTTAACCTGAGCGGCAATTCGGCGGGCCCGTTGTTCGGCCAGGGGCTCCCGCTACAAGGCGTTCAATGCCCAAAACTCACCAGAGTCGAATTCACAAACTTCTGCACGTCCGAAGACGAGCTCGTTGACTTTGTCCAGCAGCATGGCCGCCTCCGGCTCCTTGTCCTCGAGAAGGTTATTTTATACATGGGTTCGTGGAAGTCTTTTTTGGCTCGAGTCCACAGCCGTCCCGCGTATCCAGACATTCGGCTCGGCGATACGCTGTGCCTTAGTTCCCTCCCCCTTACCTTTAAAAATACGTGGCCATTTGGCCCAAGAGCAATGCCAGGTCGGGAGGCGTCGCAGGCTTTTGCTAGCCAAGGGGCACAAGGAGACGATGACCATACCTAGCACTAAAATAGCAATTCCATCAATCCATGTTTCAGGCACACAGTCTTTAAGCCAAATCTGCTGTGATTGTTCTACATGTCGTTCCCGACTATTCACGCTACCCTGCGAGCAGTCAACCGTCAGCGGGCGATGCGAATGGTGGGGCGTGGGGGAGGGCCGGGTTAATAAATATTCCGCCTAAGCAGCAGATACGACTACTCGCACACAATTTAATCACGACAACATAAAACCTATCTACAACCTCGCATTTTCACTCAGTCGGATACCACTCTTTACCAGCCGATATGCTTTCTAGACCAGTTCGGGAGTCTATTCTCGAGATTAACGCCCGTTTATGGGTCGTTGGAGGCCGATTCACCATCTCTCGACAACCTACGGCACCGTCGGATAAGCCATTCTGGAGTGATGGCGCTGACGAGTTCTTCACCGTTTCCGAACTCGCAAGCCAACAGGCGTTGCAAGGTCACCCACTTTCCCCCGAGAGCCCAATTACACTCGAGAACGATGCAGGCGATGTCAACGCGGCTTGGAGAATCGGCGAGGCCTTTTTGAAAGTGCAGAAGAATTTCTGCCACAGCAATGTATTTCGCCACATATGTGGCTGGAATTCCATACCATGTTCAACCCCGCTTACTATGGTGCGCCAACCGGCCCTAGCCACGGCCCACGTCGGCCTTATTCTCTCATTCATACGACGCATATTCCCTTACTGACCGAGCATAAAAGTGAATGGCCAGAGGGACCACCCACGCTGCCCTGTGAGCAGTCAGCGGGCGATACGAATGGTGGGGCGTAGGGAGGGCAGGAAAGGTAAAAGTGTGCTTTGCGGCCGTAATGCGACTGCGTGGCAGATTCTTTAGGTCATATCTTAGCCGATCCATCCTGTGCAAGGCTATTTTACTAGTAGAGATTGGCGTGCAGGTTCCCGACGATGGAATTTGACGCAGGTGTGAGTATTGGGAAAACAGTTGCTGGTAAAAACAAAGCCAGGTTTTACTGGTAACCACAGTGTGGTGCTGCTATGGAGGGTCGCGGAGTTCTGTAGGGCTTTACCAGTAACGTGTTGGTGGCGGCAACTCTTTACCGGTAACAGAGAAGGGAGATGTTACCAGTAAAGACGGGTAGGATATTACTGGTAGGAGGATTTTACTGGTAGTGAGGCGCGAACGTTTGCCAGTAAACAGCGCCAGAACTTGACTGGTAACGGTCGCCCGTGGTTTTACCAGTAGATGGACGGAGACTTTTACTGGTCATGCTTGCAGGGACTTTACTGGTCACTGTTCAGCGTTATAGGGGATATTACTGGTAACGCTTTACGGGATTTTACCAGCCAAGAACCGCCAGGATTTTACCAGTCAGACGGGCAGGGGATTTACTGGTCTAGAGCTGAGAGTGTTTACCAGTAAAACAGCGCCATAACCTGACTGGTAACGATTCGGCCGACTTTGCTAGTAAACAGACAGGGAGTTTTACTGGTCATCGTTGAGTGGGTTTTACTGGTCGCTGCTCCGGTTTGGGGGAGATTTTACTGGTAGCAGTTTATCGGGGCTGAAAACGGGTAGAATATTACCAGTAGACAACGGCGCCAAAATTGCTCCAGGCGGTTAGATATTTTTAGAGGCTGACCAGTAAACTTCATGCTCTGGTTAGATTGGCGTGGTGCAGTTTGGAAATTTGGAGGGCTAGGGAACATGACTGGTAATTTTTTTCCGTCGAGATGCCCTTGTGGCGGCTATGCAGCATCCCGTATCCCGTTTTCCGGATTCAGCTTTCTTCCCACAAGAATTGTGTATACTAAGTTACTTCCAGAAGTTAACTCTTCCACCGAAGCTGGATGTTCCAGCAAAGCGTAGTTGTTCGATGGTAAGCAGGGAACTGTTTACCGTTTACAGGAAACTACTCAGTACGATTCTCCTGAGGAATTCTCCGAGAAAAGAGAAAAAAAGAAAAAAGGACTTACACAGAAAACAGATACAGAGTTTGCTTTCACAGATAGACAAAAATGGGGCTAGACTAGCACACCACCCAGTCGAACTGTTTGCGTAATGGATTAAAGGCCAAACCCGGGTCTGCGGCCTCCCTTCTTCATCGAAATAAACATGTAGTGTAGTGGATTATGTAGGCAGGATTCTGCCCATTCACAGCGAGATTGGCAGCATTAAGAGAAAGCGTTTTAATACGACAACTAAATCCACTGGGTAATTTCATCTAGCACACTACACAAGCTTTCCATCTCCCCCACAACGTGTTTATTTGGCCCGGCATCCTGGCTGGCGTCGACAGGCCGATGATCTCGCCGCCCAAAAACACAATCCAAGCCCTAGTCCTACACCAGTTTCCATACGCTGTAAGGGCAGTTGCTGACGGGCTCCACGGACCCCGCGGTGGCCTCGATCCGCAGGTCGAGCTCCGAGTCCATATTTTCCACGTCGATGTCAACGTAGCGCAGGAACCGGCCACCACCACGACAGGCCTGCAACGCGGCGAGTGGCACTAAGCTGTCCGTTATAAACTGACCATGGCTTCCACGGTAATGTAGCCGTGCATTTTACTGCCGCAGCCTTGCTAAGAGGGTGAACAACGGCGGTCCCGTCCGCAAGCGGCACTGTAGTTCGACTCGTGCCACGGCCTGCCCGGAGGAGAAGGTCGGTATACACCGAAGCTCGATAAAAAAGAGACTGGCGGTCATTTTTACAGCGGCGGTCCGTAGATACTCCGCGTCATAAGGTTCTCCGCAACACTCGACCACGACATCCGGCGAGCGGCGAGCGGTGGCCTGGGCCAGAGCAGGGTCTGCAGACATGGTTGTAGCACCGTTGGTTACTACACGGCCTTGGATGTCGATCACCACGCGCGTTCCGTTGAACTGCTCCACTCGACGAAGCTCCCAGTCCAAATTCTTCCCATAGGACACTACTGTGTTTCCTGCTCGCAGCCGTAGCGCGGTGAGCCGTGGCAAGTGATATACGCAGTCGGCCAGGTCCCACTGCTCGGTCACCATCATCTGTACGAAAAAGGCCCCTGTTCTAAGTGTTAGTCCCAGGCCGGGATGCGGATTCACGGGGGAACTCACCGATATCTGAGCCGACTATTACGTCGAAGCGATCCCGCAAGAGGGACATTGCCAAACCGACGAGTGCCTGGAGCTCTTTGAGAAACTGCGCGACAGCCATCTTCTGTTCCAGCAACCCGCCCAGCCATAGTACCCTCGAGCCTGCCGTCGGAGGTTGTAGGGTAACCCATGTGTCGCAATGCATACGGCATAACGGACATTTGGCGATTTGGAACTGCCATAGGTCGGACAGAGACGGTTCGCCGCCGAGCACGACGCAAGTCTCGCAGAGCTGGTGCCCGCAGGGCAGCGGTGCCCGCCGCGGCTCGTGTACGAGGCACACGAGGCATACATGCGTGCTGTAGCAGCCCATCCAAGCCACCTGGTACTTACTCAACAAACGAAGGTGCGCCTCCGCCGACGAACGAGAGCGCCTCTCCACAGCAATACGGACAAAGGCTTCGCGGATGGTCGGCGCCTGGAAGTCGGCACCTACGCGGAGTAGGGCGGCCGCGTAGAACGTGTCGAACGTCGAGGCCGGGGTGAAGACTGCCCTCTAGTTAGATCCGAGGTACACAGGACTAGGGCCGACCGTCACTTACAGTACATACCAGGTGGGTGGGCGTCGAGATCCAGTGCCGACGCGATCACCTCGACATGGTCGATCTTTACTACATAGCTGACCTTGACGAACTCGGCCATATGGTCCGCCAGGTTAGTGGGTGGCGGCCGGTGCCGCCTCGCAAGGCGCTGAACGTCGACGGGGCCGTACGGGCCGCGCACATAGTGGGCCACGCCATTGCGGAGAAGCCATGCCAGATGGCGGTCGTGGAAGGCCAGACGCGCGCGCTGCTGGAGGCGGCATACTTCCGTCACATGCTTTGTCACAGTAGCGGGGGTGGGGACGATGAGGCCGATGCCTCCAAAGGCCCTGAACAGCTTCTCGACATCGGCTTGGGTTCGCGCCCGATACGGCTCCGCCGTACGAAGCAGAGCCGACAGCTTGATCACGAGCATGTCCTACAAGGCCGGAACCGTCAGCGATGCCTCTCCTGTGACAAGCAAGAGGCACGGCCTGTTCGCCATCGGCTGGTTCATGGCCTACCGCGCCCATCCGCCTATAACGTCGGCCACGCCCAACGGGCCGCCCAGGTCGCTCATGAACAGCAGGATGACGGATACGAAAGGCGCCAGAAGACGCCAGTACATGTCGTAGGCGAAGCGGGCAATTCGGTGGTGCGAGTCACCCGGCACAAGGTCCGTCTGCAGGTCGTGTTGAGCCACCGAGCCGCGCGCAGACGGAACAGCGTGGAGAGCATCGAGTTTCTTCATGTCGTGCAAAGCGCAATCGGCAACTGTCAGCGACGGAGAGAAGACATGAAGGCGAATGCCATCGGCGTGTTTTGTCTTACGGAGGCAGGCCGTGTCCAAAAACTTCGTCTTCTCCTTCCCCCCGACTACCAAGATGAGTTGGTGTCGGTGGGCGTTGGGGAGGATTTCGTAGGCAGTTTGATTTTCTAGCAGAACTAGGCCACATGGACCTGTTCTGACCTGGAGCCAGTCGGACGCCATACTGTCGGGTTGTCGTGTAGATCGTCTGCTAGGGTGCGTTACGCAGACAGTTGCGCAAACGCCGGGCTAACTTATATACCCCAAAGCGCGTAGCCTTTATTAAAACCCCTACCCCCCCCCCCCCCACCACAAAAAAAACCGTTTCCTGTTTACCGTAACCCATATACAGGTACGCGTGTAGTATTTAACACCAGAACACCGGCCGGAGTCCCCTGGGATAAGCAAGCCAAAGCAGCCAAGAAAGCTAGACCTGCAAAATCATGGAACTTGTCGGAGTTGTTCGGTCGCCCCTGGCGTCCTTCCATGTATACGGGCAGTCACACCTCGGTCGTGACTATACCAGAGACGATGTGGGCCATTTGTCGGACACCTTCAGAACCTCAGGTTACTTTCCTACACGGGAGGAGAACCTTATCGAAGCGCTCATCACACAGAGTGATTTTTCATCCATCCTGGCACAACTGGGCCTAACACAAGCACAGCTCGCTACTACCCTTTGCCTCCCAAACGAAACAACCAACGCGACCGACACAAACTACCCGCTTCTCCTCGACTATCCCTTAGCCGTTCTCCACGGAAGGCGACGTGTGGCAGCAGGTATACGATCCAAACAGACCAACTGGTGGGCTACCAAGCTCTTCTGCGTCAAAGGCACATGGGTGAATTTCCCCTCAGCCATCACGTTCAACGAAGCGGCAGACGCCGAGCTCGTCCAGTACAAGGCCGAGTCGTTCTCACACGAGGCTGCGTACTCCGCCGGCACAATCTACCGCGGCGTCATCGAGGCCCGGCGCCACGGTGACGAGGAAAGGGAAGACCTGCTCCGGGACAGGTTGACGAAACCAAGGGACGTCAGCTTGCAAGGTCTGTTGAAAAACAAGCGGCTCAACGCTGCCTTCCAGAAGCTGATCCCGTTCCCCGGTCTTCTAAAGGGCCTGCAGCTTAGAAACATCCACAAAGACCTAGCCCTGCACTGCGACGAGCAGATCGAGCACTATCTCGGCCACATCTTGGCGACCTGGGTCGGCATAACAGGCGGAAATGCGAGCCTTGCGCTGGCGACGGACGCGGACACGGTGAAGCATCTACAGTTTCGCGCCCCCTCGTCTTACTCCCGCGATCGATACGACATCTCCCGCCTAATAGTGAACCACACCGTCTGGAAGCGCGTGACCGACGTCGACACCCGGAAGCGTCTGGAACGCCAGCTCTTGTCTCTGACCGTGGTCATTCCGAGCATTGAGACTCTGCATGAAAACATGAAGTATCTGCGGCTCGGGATGAAGGTCGTGCGTGACCATTTCAAACAGCACACATCACGGGAGCTGCCGCGTGGGGCTACGTCGGCATCGGCGACAACAACCGTGCCCACACTCTATGAGAGCCTAACGCGAGATTGGAAGGCACCGGCAGCGGCCCCCCAGGTCCCAGATCTGCAAGGCATTCAGAACTTGACGCCCTACACGGCGTATACTGCGCTCGTCTTGGCTACCCTCCGGGACTTTCCCCACTTACAGGCCGAGGCGCCACGGCAAGAAAAGCGAGGACCGAGGCTGCCGACGAACGTGTCTCAGTACCATAAGCGACGTCTTACGCAACTCGCCGTAGCCTACGGGTTCGACAACTCCCACATTCAAGACATCCTCCAGCGCGTGCACCCTTCTCAGGACGCGCCACGCAACGAACACTGCACCGACCGGCTCCGCAACAGCCCAGGGCCGATTGCCGACTGGCGAGGTGGCCGACCGTTTACAAAAGCCTACCTTGCTCTGCAAACCGATGGATTTCTTCATATCCTCGCACGTCAGCCGGTCGATGTTCTCTGTCCGGCCTTTGTCCTCTGTGACTTCATGAAGGCATTTTTCGATCTCTCGCAACTCACCATCACCAGCACCGTGGACGAGCCAACTTCCAATAGTACTGACCCTTCGGACACGATCATGGACAGCACCATGGGTGAGCCAACCACTGACGTCCCCGACATCGCGAACACTACTGTCGACAGCGCCGCGGCCGAGCCAACTTCCAATGGTGCTGGCCCTTCGTACACGATCATCGACAGCACCATGGATGAGCCAAAAACCGACGTCCCCGACATCGCGGATAGTACTGTCGACAGCGTCGCGGCCGAGTCCCCTTTCGAGGACGTTTCCATGGGGGAAGCCGTGAACAGCGGAGGAGGCGGTACAAGGGCTTCTAACAACCGGCGCTTTGCTGGCAACTGGGCCAAGCGGTTACCGCCCAACAACGGGCCGCCAGGGTCAACCTCTGGCAAGACTCGGCGCCTCGCGACTCAATTGGGCGCGGGGCCCGGCAGAGCTACGAGCTCTACACCGACGCCAACAATGCCGCCACGCCGTGGGGGCCGGGGAGTGACAAAGCAAGCTCAGCGCGCCGACACAATTCCTCAAAATGATGCTGCACTGTCGGGGTTTTTGGCAGATGTAGTGCAAGCACAGACAGGTAAATTCCACTTTCCTGTACAAGCTTCGATGCCCGAGCCCGACACCCGAGGCGCCGGGGGCAATGGAAACCAGACCATGCCCCAACGCCTGAATGTACGACCACCCCAAACAGCCTTGTCCGGAGATGCATTACTATTTTTGAGGGCCGTGACCCGAAATGCACCACCACCCTCAACTGCTGTAGCCCGAGATACACCACCACCGCTAACGGCCGTGGCCCAAGATGCACCACCACCCCCAACGGCGGTGGCCCGAGGTGCACGGCCGCCCTCCATTGGCGTGCCCCCGATACGAGAAATGCGGTCAACAAAAAAGCTGAGAAAATTGCCGCAGGATCAGCAGGCGCAGGAAAGTACTAGGTGGTTCGTCAGAAACGATCATAGAGAGACCCCAACGTCGCAAGGGCCGGTGTACTCCGCTACTGTGGGGCTCTCTACAGATGAGTTTGCGAATAACTTTGCGTATCAGTTGGCGGGTCAGGATACGGATGAGTTTTCTGCAACACGCCTAGGGTATAGCATTGAAGACCTAGAAGACGACGCTCCGTCGCGGAAGCGAGGGGCAGAAGTGCTCGACGAGTTGCCAGAGTCTGCCACCCGCTCAAAACCTTCACGTGTGACGGAAGAGAGACAGAAAGAGAGACAGGAAGAGAGACAGAAAGAGAGACAGAAAGAGAGACAGGAAGAGGAAGAGGAAGAGGAAGAGGAACTATAATGTTTCGGTAGTTATATATAAAATATCGATAGAAAACAATTAGGTAACGGTAATAGTTTAATAGGTCGGGAAGAAACCCCAGCACCGTAGAAATGAGCCTTGAGAAGGGCAAGTACACTAAACTATGCACCGATCATGAGTTAAAACTAAAAAAAAAAAAAAAAAAAAAAATTAGGCGGCGGGGAAGATACTATAACAAGTTTAGACACGTCGGACAAGAGAGGACTCTCTCGTCACAGGCGGTCCAAGTCTCTCTTCGACAGGAAACCCCGACCATTCAACAGAGTATTTAAGCGGCTCTGGCACAGAGGAACATAGACATCGGGAATGGTCGGGGGCTGTATACGCGATCAGTCGCCAACGGATCTGCCTTGGTTCAAGGGGGTTTCTACCCCTAAGCTTATCCGACAGGAAGACGATAAGGATCACAAACTACACCTTACTGTGGGTGGTGGACATTATCATATAGGAAGAGGGAGTCAAGTAAATGGCGGGGACAAGTAAGGGGGAGGCAAGTCAGAAGGGAGAGTAAAAAGTAAAGAAGGAAAAGAAAAATTGAATTCCAAGTGGGCTACGTACCTCCCATCCAACCTTATCTTCACAAAGGCCAATCAATGGCTTCTCCCGCCACCACTCGTCTCTCACACTTGGGCGACGAACGTTAAACGCGCCTGCTTCACGGCCACCAAAGATCTTCTTCGTCTTCCAGAGAGTGAAAGAATTGGTGCAGCCCCTGCGCGTCGCGCAACGAGTTGTTCACGACCTCTTCGCCACCTTTGCCTTGGGCTCCTCCATCCCGGCGCAGCGGTGTGCTCGCTTCTTCTTGTAAGCCTCCGGGCTCAATTCGTACTGGGTACGAGGAGGGTCAACAGGAATGTCGAGCCTGACGCAGTTCGTCGCAAGCAGCGTACCCAGCGATCTCTCTTCTGTGGTTGCTGTCTCACGTTCAGAGTAGTAGGCAGCGTCGAAGTGGCCGGTGTCAACCTGCTGGGGTTCCTCCTTCACAACAACGCAGTCCGGATCGACAGGTGTAAGGGCAAAAGACTCGACGTCGCTGTCTTGGCTCTCTAGGGCATGGGCCACGGGATGCTGGCTCGCTCTAAGGCCAGGGAGCGGAGGGAGCAGATGCTCGTCGAGGATGGAGCGAGGGAGAGTGCCCTGGGAAGCAATACTTCTCTGGTACTGGTAAATTTCCGACCCTTCGTGGCCCCAGTTTGCTCGGTCCGGTAAGACCATGACGCAAAAAAGAAATCCCCTCATAAACTCTTCGTCCTGCGGATACACCCCCGCCGTCTCGTCGTAGATGTCTTTCATATCGATGGCGGCGTCCCACACCTGTGCCAGGTGTGCCAACTTGTCTTTGACGGTTTGGTAGAAGAGACTGCCGCGGTCGAGCATCTGACGGCAGTCGTCCTCCAGCTCGGCCGGTTGTCTTGTTTGCAGGTCCCAAAAGAGGCTCTGCTCACAAGGACCGAGAACTTGATGTGTGCGGCTTTCCTTGACAGAAAAGCTGACCTTGTTTCCAAACAGCCTGATGTTTGCAGCGGCCATTGTTCCTGTGTGGTTTTAGATTTCTGCGAATAGGTGTTGGGCGAGCGGGACGTACCAGCGTGGGTCTGTGGGTTTGTGCGTTACGTGGTGGAAGGAGGGATAAAAGTAGTCGACGCGCGTGTTGAAGGAAGGTTTAGACGAGGTATCGTTTGTGTTTGTTTCGCAAAAAAGCCAGCCCTTGACATCCATTGACCAGCTCTCTTTATATGCGTGTGCAAGACTCGACGTTGTTTAACCTAGCTCCCTGACGGCAAAAAAACTTGAGATTCGTCCACCAAAAATGTACACCAAATTTGATAGGTTGTGAGTCTCAATTTTTTTGCCGTCAGGGAGCCTAGGTGTGCTCCGTGATACTACATGGAAATGAGACGGCTGCCTTGACTGGCCGAGAAGCTACCCGCGCGGTACTGGAAAATGTTCGCTTCACATCATGGTGGGAGGGGGAAGGCCCTTCACAAGAACCGAACCTCGGCCAAGATGTGTCGCGTTCGCCTAGCACCTAGCACACTTGCGCAGCCGCGCGCTCCAAGGAGTGCAGTGTAGCCCCAATTGTTTCTCCTTTGCGCTCAAAATAGTAAGTTTTGTATTGATCTCTGAGCTTTTGAAATGCGTACATGTTTTGCGGATAAGCCGGATGTGACAGGATGCGGATAAATTCCAAGCGATACTTCAGCCGATTGTTTGCGACAAATGGCGCCTATACAGGGCGACTAGCGCCAACATACCACGTCGCATCCACTAAACTAGAGCCTCGTCTGTTGGTTCAAACCATCGCCGCTCTGGAGTGCCATTGGACAAACGACAACAAACACGCTCAGTCTTCAATATCGAACTCGCTATAAACGCGGATTTCCTCCGAGCCTGCCGCCGCCGGCTGTGGCGGCTGAGACTACGTGATTTCGATTTGGTAGGCCACGCATGTTGCTTTAATGGTATTGGCCAGTTCGGCGAGATATCTATCTGCCTGCATGATCCTACGTCGTAGCTCGGTATTTTGTTCTTGGAGATGTGCGACCTGGCATCGAAGGCTTTGGATCATGGCCTGTGAAGGTTGCGGGTCTGTGCGACATGGAGGGTTACTCTTGGCTGATCGATTTTTGTCCGTGTGTCTCGCTAATACTTTGATTGGCAGCATACTTCCGCTCAACGGTAAGGGTGGAAGGGCTTTGTCCAGCATGTCGATGACAAATAGGGCCTCGAAAATAGTGAGAAACATCAATAGTTCGTCCAGTTGAGGGGCAAAGATCCTGTTCTTTTATCTTACGCATCCGGTCATTTTCCTTTTCCAGTTAACAGAAAACGGAAAGCGGGAACTGGCCCGGCGCTACCGAGAGAGTGTGGGGCGCATACGGAGAATATCACACGGTGTTTATTTCAAGCTAAGCTGGACTTTGAGCGACGTCAAAGGCGACATAAGTGAAAAATTTGTCTAGGCCTTTCATCATTTTTTCCACCGTCTCCAGAATCTAGGCCTATACGACTCACATACCTAGGCACTCGGTCTACATTGTACTAAACGATACATCCAGGCGAACGAGCGTCTACTGGATACCGCGGATACGAGCCTCCATTCGCTCTAACCTTTGTCGAGTGGCCGAACTAGCAATCAACAAACGTACACTGCTTAGGGCACAAGGAATATAGGACATACTCTAACACTTGCTAAGGCTGTAAGCGAATGTTCACCGTCGAGTTAACAACGGTGAGCGCTTCAGGGAAGGCCCCGATGTTCATGGCCTCGGATCCATCTTGCAGCTTTCCAGCGTCCGTACAGCTCTGGCTGGCGGCAGCCTGTGGGGCAGCTGAGAAAAGGGACTTCCATTCATGGTCTGTCGCCGTCGGACTCAAGCACGGGAACATAACATCTTACTGGTTGTCGATCAAAGGTTATAGATCGGGTATCTCGATATCTAGCAGAGTGTCGCTGGCCGAACCAGCGCCAACAAAGTCGGCGTCAAAGTTTGCCCACGTAAGAACAGGGTCCATAACCGTCGGTGAAAATAAGAGATGGGGATTAGAAAAGCTAGTAGTTAGATAGAGTGAGCAAATAGTGGCAGCATACGGGAAGATTGAGCGTCCTTTACTTTTATATCCCGTCTTCCTCTCAGAGTCTACGCGCCGAACAACATCTGTCTACCGTTTTCCGTTTTTGGTTTTCCTTGAAACAAATACCGTTTTCTGCAAACCGTTTTGAACGTCAAGAAAGGTTTCCGCTTTACCTATATAAACGTCTGGTCGTGCAGCAATCCAGCCGAGTTTGTGTGCCTTTCTACTGCAACAGTCTCCGTCCCACACACACTCCCACGTCTCATCTTCCCAAAGTCCGCTTTTATTATCCCTCCTCACTCGACGGGTCGACCGATTTTTTTTTTACCACTAGTTCGCACAATGAAGATCTTTCTTTTTTTGAGCACGCTATTTGTTTGTGCATTCTGTTTAGACGACTACACAGGTTGCCTTGTATCCCCCGAGCTGAATATCACAGCCGGACTGACGCCACTCACATTCACGTATGTTTGCCGCTCGTCTCGCTACATGTCCATTTCCATTCATCCGCGTGTCGATTCTTAACAACTGATGAGGTTAGGGTCGATGCATTCGTCAAGCGCTGCTCCGCCTTGATTGTCTTTGATAATGACGGTTTCCTCCCGATTGGCTACGACTTCGAGTCCGCACTTTATGCCGGTCAGCAAGAAGCAACCTTTACGCTGCCCGCTGGTGTGCCATCGGGCGGTGCATACATCATATGGTATGACACCTCGATCCAATCATAGTCAACCTTTCTAACAACCATTAGGCAATGTGTGGGCCAAACACCAACCTACTACCGCGCAACCATTGAGGGTGGTCAGGGATTCCCATCCCTCGCACTGCATTACGACAAGCTCTTCGCTTGCGTTACGCCGCTGCTACACACCACTACAACTTTTGAGACGATCACCCAGGGAAAGACCGATACCACTCGGACTCAAGTTTCCATATTCACGTCCTTGTCCACTTCCTACCCCTCCTCGACAGGTGCTTGGAGCGGTTCGCTCCCTACCGTCCAAGTGCCCACCGGCACGCAAGGAGATACTCAAACTATCACCAAAACGACGACTTCCTCCAATACGAAGACGACTAGAGCGCCTACCACCGGAACGCAGACGACTAGAGCGCCTACCGAGACGCAAACGATTAGAGCGCCTACTACCGGGACGCAGACGGCTAGAGAGCCTACCACCGGAACGCAGACGGCTGGAGCGCCTATCACCGGAACAACGACTCCCGGAACGACTATGACCGGTGCTACTAGGACGCCAACCGCTAAAGGATCTGTCACGGGGGCGCCCACTTATGTCTACCACGGCGAGTAGATATACGCGCCTGGAAGGATACGGGAGGATGTTTTAAGGAATCGAGTGTTTACGAGACGTAAGTTTTCACGCAGTTTGTTAAAGTATACCGCTAGTCGTTATGTTTAACATCCTCCCTATCTATTAATAAACGTGCCTTACGTTTTCCACTAAAAACCATATGATGTAAAAACGACAAAATGAAGACGGCGCAAAATCATGCCGAATGTAGTAAAAACAATCCGACTTGGTTGCATTCTAATAAAATAAACCAAAAATAAAGACGCTCCCCTCCTCCGGCTAAATAAAAATAGGCCACCAACAACAACAGATGTGATAGTGACTGCATACTGTAGCCGCTGAGAGTGAGCCTACGAAAAGCATGTCAACTTGTTTTAGTTGGATGAAACTTGCCTATATAAATGACGGACTTCAAGAATGGTTTAGATGCTTTCCTATAAAGACATCATCACATCATCCAACATCATGGCTTCCCTTGTTCCCTGTACGGCCACGGCCACATCGTTTCTCTATGCTGAGCAGAACTCGGTGGTCTGTTGCTGCCGGAAAACCCTGGCCTTTGAGAGGCTGTTTGGTCGCCACAGCGACACTGTGACTCTTCTCGTTTCAAACCCTACGAGAAACTTTGTTGTCAGCTGTGACAGAGAGGCAGCTATTGTTTGGAATCCCGAGTCTGGGGAAGAGAAAAATCGATTCCCGTTACCAGAGCGCATTACTGCTACAGCTTGGATGAAGAACGGCAATGTCATTCTGGGTGAGCTCGCGATTATTTCTTTTCTTATGTTGGAGTGGACTCTCATTGTATTAACAAAACCAATAGGGAGCTACCTTGGGAAAATTTTCCTTTTTAACCCGGATACGGGTAGTTCCGACTTCAAGCTCACCCTGGACAACGAAATCACGGCCATTGCCCCTGCATTCGTCTTGGGTAGTTGGATCTTTGCTGTCGGGTGAGTCTAGCAGATGTCCCAGCGAACCGCACAAACACTTACAGAAATAGATATCGGAACGGATCATTCCTTCTTTACAAAGTTAACAACAACATCGAGGTCGTCTTCAACATTCCACATAACCCCTCGCCAATTGCGGGTCTCTCGTGGCATGCCTCACATCCGCTATTAGCAACGCATGATGCCAACGGCAACCTCAGCACGTGGAGGATTGACAGCATCGCCCAAATCACAGAGAGACGCATTACCGAGCGACAACGGGACCAATCTAGCCATTGCTGGATAGGCTGGTCGAAGCAAGGCCGCCTTATATATTACAGAGACGGGTGTGTATCTTCCTGTCTAAGCTTCTGTCATATCTTTAGATTAACGTTGTATTTAGGCGAGCGCACTCTTGGGATGTTCGTGGCCCGGTTACGAAGAGTGAGCCGATCCCTATGCCTGATGGTGTCACGGGCATAATTATCTACGGGCCCGACGCCAAACTCTTTACCGTTTCGGATGACAGGACCGTCCAGTTGTTTGACTTAACCAACGGGTGTATACTCACCACCAGACAACACCCACGAATTCTTCCTACTACACGATCTCTGGTCATTTGTGATACGGTTCCAGTGCCTCGCTCGCCCCGTCGTTCAAGTATTACGTCTATTACAAGCGGCGTACCAAGCAGAGCCTCAACAGAAATCACTGTGATGTTTTCTACTAGTGCTACCGGGTGGGATTCGGACGACGATAGAGGCTCTTATATAACAGATTTGGCAAGTGCGGTCGGATCATCCGTCTACAGTGAGGAATGGCCATCAAGCCCGTTCTCATACGATACAAATGGACAGTTGGCAAAGATCCTGGACTCGGAGAGCTCAACCTTAGGACATCAGAAATGCGACCTTCCCGAAGACGACTCTTTTCCGGCTCCGACGTTTGACTGTAGCCCTAGTGCAGCGATAGTGGACGACCTTTTCCCAAGAACGAGAAGTCGTATGCTTCGCTCGCGGCTCCCACGCGGCCGTACACAAGTGGCTGGAGCTCAGATCGATTACGGGAAGGAGATCCTAGCCATCGTTTTTGACTGGCCGGGCACGGTGGAGGAGCTTTTGAAGAGCGAGATGAGTCATGCAACTTCAATTGAAGCTCGACACGCCATGTTAGCAGCGTGGCTTAGTGGGCTCGACACATTTGGGGGGATTGCATAGGACGATGTGAATGCAAAACAACAGCTTGCGCACCGCCGTCTGCAGCTCGACGATATCCATTCGGCAGTCTCGTTATTACTTTCTGCTCGCCTACATCGCCAAGCCATAGACATATATGTGGCAGCACGCCGCTATATGGAAGCCATGGTAGCTTCTCTGCTGTTCCTTCCATCTTGGGACTACCAATCGGGTCTGCTTTCGAAATGGGCGCTGGCTGAGCAGCAGGTTGCACCCGAGTTGTCCCGTCGCTGGTAAGCCTCCTCACTACTGAGTTGAAGATTTTAAAGACTATCTGAATTATGATGGATTCTAACTTGCGCAAAAGTCTTTGTCTTCTCGAAAATCTAAAGACCACACCTCCGCGGTTCCAAGAAGACACAAGACCGGTTACGTATTACAGCCCACAACGCGATTTGGCCAAAATAGCTCCTCTACGGCTGGCAACGTCCTTTGAAATGTCTACAGCAAGCTCACCTCAATCACCCAACATACGATCAGCGCTTCCGGTTGCCCGTGGTACAGATGTACGCCACCCAAACATGCCTCTCTCGGCTGTGCCAAAGACAGCTATCGAACACATTGAACGAGTAGAGTGGCCTCCTAGACAAGGTCGCAAACTCAATAGGATGGTGTCTAAATGGAAGAGGAAAGTGAGCCGCGAGTCTGGCGATGGCACGCCAGTACCGATAACGGCTTACAAGGATGACAGCAATGTCCTTGGGAACATGATCTAACAAAATAAAGCCTTTGCGTATCTTTTGGTCGCTTGTTATATCAGCTCAATGTTTACATTTTAGGAATATGCGTTTACAGACATGAATTAGGAATAAAGGGGGTGTGCAAAGTTTTTGTTGTTCTTTCGTTTTTACTTCTCTTTCCTTTATTTCTTTTTTTTCTAACAATTTTTCTTTCCTTTTCTCTTTTCTCTTTTCCCTTTTTTTCATTCCTTTCTTTTTTTTCTTATTTCGTTTGTTTCCCCTCTCGTCTTTTCTGTTTTTCTTCTTTTTTTCTTTAGTATATCACTATCTAGCTAAACTACGATAGTGATTTTTATTTATGAGAGAGTATTACACTGATACCACATTCCCCATAGGAAGGGAAGGGGAAGGGGAAGATTTTTGCATACGTGGCCGGTTGGTTACGCTCTGCGTCGTTTCTGATCTCAAGGTACTGTTGACGAAGGACGACCTCGATCTTTTAACGACACTGCCAACCATTAGAGCGAAGGTATCTTTGGCCGCCCAGCTGCTTTAGGCTAAAATCTTGCAGAGACAAGAGGCTCTGACTCTTACAGCGGCAAATCAGAAAAAGCAGAGACAGCACAGGCAGTCAACGCCCAAGTTGTTACCGTCGAGAAAGCCAAACGGGGGGAGGCGCGGAGGAGAGCAAGACTGGATGTGTTTTTCAATCACTAAAGAGGCGGCGGCCGCGCAGCCACCGCCCCCGCCTCGCGGAGGGCCTGTATTGTTTCGCAGCTTGCAGCGCAGCTTGGCAACAGTTCCGCTGCGTCTGGCAGCGTTATCCGGAAGTATCGTATGTCCGCCCTCTAAGGCACATTCCACGCACCCGGTCACGCACATTTGCGCAGCTTGAGAACGCCACTCTCCTCTGTGCTAAAGACGGCCGTTGAAGACACGGTCGTGGCAAGCCAGCTCAGCAGCCATCTGGAATGGCTCCTGTCTGCGGCCTCGCGCTTCTCAGACGACACGCCGCCTGCCCGTGCCAGGGGACTTGTTCTTGCCGACTCTGAAGCTTATCTTGAACACGTCTAACAACAAGAGCTGGGGATCCATTTTGTTGCCATTGGCTGGAGAAGTGAAGAATGTAGAAAAAGGAGTTTCGCGGAGCCTGGAGAGGAAGTCCCATCGATTGCTTCACTTCTCCTTCCGCCCTCCCCCAATTTTGTTTTCTGCCCATTTGATTTCTGCAGTATTTCTCATGTCGTCTCGGACGGTAATAAGTTACGTGACGGTCAGCCGTAGACGACCGGTTTATTACATTAAAGTAACGAAGCTCAGAAAAGAAACCAACGGCTGTCGGTGCTCTCAAATACCCGCTTTCAACTTAACGTCGTGTTTATAAGGGCAGATTCTTGTTTCATCGGCCGGTATACGTGTATACTTTTAAACAAGTAGTTTCTATTCTTATTTTTAAGACACTACGATTACATAAGCATCCGTCTGAGATTTCGTGAAAAGCAACTTCACCACTGGTGTCCGCTCTCGAGTCCGCCAGCACACTGGTCGACATGTGATTCGCTAAAAATAATTAGGAGGCCGAAAACCGTCCCCACAAAATACCAAAAACGGACTCCCAAGCAGCCCCAGCATATCGGCCCAAGCAGGCGTTCGATCCCAGAAAGAGGTCACTTCGTCCGTCAGAGCCCGACGACTGGGCGACGATATTCTGTCGTCCGCCCAAATCCGTTTTCTGCTTTCTGTTTGCTTTTTGTTTGTTTTCTTTTTTTGTTCTTTCTATTATTATTATTTTTTGCTGTTTTCTGTTTTCCGTTTTCTGTTTTCTGTTCGGCGGTTACTTCGAGAAATAATATGAGATACATGTGTCTTTAGCGTATGCAACTAGCGAGGCTTTTCAAGGGTCCAAAAACTGTCGCCGGTCATGAAGGCGAGGCCGCGGTGTCGCCGTCGGGGTTGCCACGCGCTTTCTGCCTGCCGCCACTCTTTGGTTTTTCACGGCACATCGAAGACGTGGCTGTGCTGAGTTTCTGTTTTCTTTCAAAGGGTGGGGGGGTTTTGAGAGGGGCAGCAGAGGGACCTGGGTAGCACAGTTGGTATGAGATAAAGGGGGCCTCCAGGCACGTATTTTTTTTCTTCCGTCCTCACAACTCGCTTGGACCATCATCTAATAATAGCTAGTTCACCCATCATGCAGAGGAAAGGGGGATGTGCAAAAGAGGAAGGCTACACCGCGCAGTGCTGCGAGGTACCTAAAGCTCAGCTGCCAGGTACTTTGCCAGGCCCCGGCGGCGGCCTAGACGGCCCACGACGAGCGAATCAGAAAGCGGGCTCCAGGACGGCGTCGCGTGTATTCCTGTATCTATGGCCGTACGTGAAATATGAAGCCAAGATATGCCATTAAATACGGAGTATTGCTTGCAAACCGGATCCCAGAGTCCAGGTGGCAAGTTGAATTCGAAATCGAACACCCAGCCGTGCTGAAGGATATCACGATCATTGCCTTGATTCAGCTACCCGCTCGGTATCGCTGTAATTGTTATACCACTGCTTGGCGAATAAGGTGAAAAAATCGACGCATATGTAAAAAGCGACTCGGTGCCCTGGATAATTGTATATCTGTTTACTGTGCCGGTTTGTGTCCCTGTCCTTGGCTGCGACGGAAGTTCTGTCGGGAGAGCCTCCATAAGGAATGACGTTTACGGAGGATTTATTGTAGAGTAATATGTAGTATGCAGCCAATAGAAACTACTCGGTAACAAAGAAGAATGTAGTGTATCCCGGAGCTGCGCCAGAAGCCGAGTACATGCCTTTACGTGTAAATAAATACATGTGTACCCAGTCAGTCCTTTTCCAAGTGGCTGGGGAACAGTTCAAAGTAGCGCACTGGAGTTTTGATGGACGGACGTGTTAGTCTACTAACATGCCTTCGCTTCTTGCCCTTCGCCGTTTTCATCGACGTAGCTGTCATTCTCGTGTTCACCAACGATGGTCTGCACCATACAGCAATTTGTTGCACGGAAGCTTATTATACAATCGGTCCTCCATCGAGAACGGCCCAGATAGCCAGCACGGAAACCGTGGACACGGTACCGGTATGCGGCAGGAAGAAGAATGGGGCAATAGGCTTTCCATATCGAGTCCTCGAGACTATGGTCTGGGAAGCGGTGTAACAACCATTGTTTGCGCTACCTTGTTCAACGCGTGATTTCATGTCCTTGACTAAGGATAACCCACAATGCCTTTGAACATGTTCTAGGACAACAACGTATTCCAACATATGAACACTGTTTGACTCAGTCGACCGAGGCAGCGTTGCGTGTTCAATGTGGAGTTATCCGAGGCTCCCAAGACTGTCCCGTGCACAATAATGGCAGTCTGACCACCGTCCTCTATGCACTACACGAGATCACGGCGACACTTGATACGGAAACAGAGGCGGCCGTCCACGGTATTGTGAGAACGAGTTTCAAAGACTAAGGGGCAGGATGGTGCAAGCTACAAGGAACGCACTGCCCGGCGCCGCTCGGCAAACCACTCCGGCCAGAATGTCGTCGTGTAAGGGATTGATGGCATTCTGGAAAGAGCAGACCCGGAGACCTTAAACGGTACTCTGCACTCTGCAACCTGCATTCTGTACTTTGTACCCCGTCCAGCAAAGCAGTCATTCAGCAGTGTGAAACAACGTACTGTGTTTGGCCCGTCGTCCCCACAACTTTCTCAGACCGAGCTTGTGTCCATGGCCATAGATTTTAAGAGCCGGAAAAGTCCCTGGTTTCCAAAGTGTCGGGAGTCAAAGGACAAGGAAAGAGTATGAGAGTATGAGAATATGAGAGTAGAAGAATAGGAAAATAGAAGGTCGCATAAAGAGGAACCGGAAAAGACCAGAAGCTTGGCCAGACCTTGTTATAAGAATACACGCAGATAAGGGCAAATTAAAGATGAGATTGACACGGCTTTGCATGCCACAAAGGCACAGAAAACCGGGATCCAGGATCCGACTGTTATGAGATTGGCATTGAAAGAGACAGGGGTCAGAGATGGACTCTGTGATTAGTTGGCCCAAGTAGGTTTAGATGTATTTTGGAATTGCTCGTGTGGAGAACAAGGGGGCAGGAGCTTGCACCTCTCAATGCATTTCTTTCCTTGTCTTAGCCCAATAGAGCCATGCGCTGAGGCTAAGGCGATTTTTATTTTTAGCTTCATTTTACGGCGTACCTGGCTCTTTCCTTATTTTGTCGGGTTGTTGCTTCCCTGTTAACTTTGTGTGCTGTATTTTACGCGGGGCAGGGAACGTTCTGGGGAAGGAGCTACCCAGACCCCGTGGAAGGAGCTACCAGACGACCCTGTATTATTCCCCTTGCCTCAACAAGGCTCGACTGACAAAACAATCAACAACAGCGACAGCCTCTCACTTTGTGGCTTGGCTTGTCCTCGAAGCACCCCTGACTTTGACTCTCGCTTCCCTCTTCATTCGCCACTGTACCCAGCCTCTGCTCATTGCCATGCAATGCCTTTGTTGTTCCTGACATCTCGCAGCGTTATAGGTTTGGCGCCCCGTTTCTTGTCGCCATTCCCCTATATCAAGGCATAAACTGGCACATGCATGTCCAACATCTAGATGAATACGAAGCACACGACATGCACGCAGACCGGATGCACAGAGAAAACACGAGCGAACGAAGGTGGGTGGTGTTTCGTGATCTACCGTTTTTTGCGCGTGCACAAAGTGGATCGGAACTGCAAATCACATCGTATCGGCATTTCGTATCTCGACACCGCACTGGGCCCCATTTCACACCAACATTTTACACCAGCCCTGATGACGGCTTAGACTGCCACGGCCGGATCGTCAGAGACCGCAGCCAGAAAGAGAAAGGAGCAGCACTCTGCGACACCGTATCTGCACATCGTCACTGAATGGACTGCTGGGACTGAATGGACGGGTAGACAAGACTCGCATACGAGCTACAACCAAAGATCCCCACTCGACTTTTCAGTAGATCGACTTTTTGATCCCCTTTCTACCAGTTCTGGTGCCTTTCGAGCCCAGAGTTACGAGAAAACACGCCGATAGCTCCGCCATAGCTCCGCCATAGCTCCTCTTTTGCCCCATCCTCGTGACGAGCTCTTGTCATTACGAGACCACCCGGAAGAGTAACCAGAAAAAGGACCAAGAAGAAAACGCGAGACGTCTACTCTGGGGGTCAAGCAAGCCAAGGAATATGACAGCTCCGGCGACCGGCACATTAGCAAGATACGAGAGATACAATGCAACACACCTCTTTCCTGTGTACGGAGTACCGTTATCCGTGCTCTGGCACCACAGTAGCCAAGGGCGGCGGGGACACGACGGGGTGAACAATAGACACGATGCGGAGACGATAAGGCACGATAGTGGTTCGAGCTTGGGCCCTTTTGCCTGCCAGGGGCTCTCGTGCTTCTCGCCGCCTCTTGGCGAATGGGACGCTCCTCCTCCCTTGTCTGTCATTTCCACACAGAACGTGCACCACTGTCGCGTTTTGGCTGTTTCTGTTTCGAATAATTTCTTTCCTTTCGACTTCTTGTTTCTTTACCTTTCCTCTTCCTCTTCTCGCTCTCTTTTCTGAACTGCTGTTCACGTCGTCACTCGTTGTTTGATCGATCCTGTTCAATCGTGTTGTTTACTTATTTTTTACGTCATTACACCACAGTCGCTTCCGCTTTCTTCTTCTCGACTCTCGCTACTTTGTCCTCGGGTCGCCTTTTTTGTTACTCGCCATTTAATATCAATTTAATATCATAATTCAACCAGCCGGTTCATCTCGACCTCGACCGTCCGAAAAGAAATCAAAACACCACAAACGAAGCCGCTTACTCTAACCCATCTCTTAATAAAACACGCGCCGTCAGTTTTGCCGCCTACGTTTTCCTCGTCTTTTCTCACGACATCCATCTCCGGACCCGAAATCAACAAACAAAAAACATCACCACAGCCACAACCAACTACCTCACTGTAAGTTGACGATAGGCGCATATGGACTCATTTTGTGTGTGCCTTTTTTTATTTTCTATTTTATGTCGCACTCGAGTGTTGCGTTTGTCGGTGGGCCCCTCGTTTCCCCCCCGGTTGTCCACCCTCTCAGGAATGTGCCGTCTCACTGTCCGGAGCACCAAGGTTGTCGGCCAGTCTGTCTGTCTAGTCTGAGCATTCTCATCTATTCGCCTCTCTGTTATGCTTCCTTTTTTTGGCTGGTATCTGGCATTCCGCGCCCTAGACCAGTTCCAGAGGCCGAATTGTCCGGCACACGACGGTGCATTGTGTGCGGGAAGGGAAACGTGGAAAGCTCATGCAGTCCTAACCACAACAAATCAACAAACAACAATTGGTCACACAAAGGGTTGGAACTGCAGGATGCATGTTGGCCAGGCAAGATGATTGAGGAACGGCCAAGCGCACATGCGTTGCGTTTGCACAGCAGGAGAATATACGACGCATTACGAAGTACTATGCAAAGAGATTGGCAGATGAAAGATATTTTGCCCGGGGCCTCGTCATCGGAAAGTGAATAAGCGTTTTCTTTCTCAAGCCCGAGCTCTTTCTCTCGTTGTCTTCTTTCTCATCCTCTCCAGCACTCCTTTTCCACCACGGTTGTTGCGTACTTTTGTTTCCGTTTTTGCTACCCGTTTGCAGTGTTCTTCCCTTCTCGTCTTTCGTTTTATTCCTGGGCCCGACCAACGCTGACTTTTCAAAAGACTACAATGCCTTCTCTCAAGCTCGCTGTCCTGGCTGTTGCCACCGCCCTCGTCTCCATCGTCCACGCCGACTACTACATCCAGCCCGACTCGGTCCCTCTGTCCTTGCGTCAGTACTGGTGCTCCTCTGAGATCAGCACATGTCCCATCATCTGCGCCCAGAACAAGCCCTACAGCACCAAGACCAACACCTGCGATCCTGTAAGTTGTTTTCTTGCTTCTTTCGTCGCTTTTGTCGTCGCTTTTGTCGTCGCTTCGCTCTTTTCACACTAACAAAATAGAAAACCCTCACCTACGGCTGTGTCTGCGGCGACGGCCTCCAGCCCAACATCTCCGAGTACTCCCTCACCCTCCCGTACTTCGTCTGCGAGGAGTGGGGCAACCAGTGCGTCACGGCCTGCGCTGGTGACAACTCCTGCGCCAGCGACTGCCGTCAGAATCACCCGTGCGGCGCCCTCGACCCCACGCGCGCCAACGCCAGTGCCTCCGCCTCTGCCACCGCCTCCAACACGGCCTCCGCATCCGACACCATTTACACCGGCCTCGGCAGCGGCAGCGGCAGCGGCAGCAGCTCCGGCTCGCCTAGCACCACCAAGACCAACTCGGCCGGCCGTTCCATTGAAGTCACACGAGCACTCATGGGCGCGGGTCTCACACTGGGCGGTCTTGCTGCAGGGTTTGCTCTGGCTCTGTAAGGACGGGGAACGAAGAGATTGAATGGTGGGAGGAGGTGCTTGTGTCTTTGTCCGTTCATCCGTTCCTTGCGTGGCGATGCGACTCCCCTATAAAGTATTTTCTCTTGCCTAAGCAAGACAGAGCATCATATCAGCTCTTTAATCTAATTCAAAGGCTCCCTTCATTCCTTTTTTTTGTTGTCTTTGGCTTGGGGCCTCATATCGGTTGCTCTCCTCTGTATTAATTCGGCGTTTGCTTGAATCGCTCTGTTTTGTTTCGTCCCACGTCTTCCGATCCTTCATTGTCACTCACAGTCATATAGTCTACCACGACGCACTTTCTCTTCTTCTCAACAAACCATATGTGAATCCAAAGAAATGCTCTCCTCTATTAAACAAAGATGACGTGCAACAAGCTGGCGGGACACGAGCCGGGTTGGAACCATACGTCGATACACGACTTACCTCACTTTTCTCCCTCCCTACATGCCAATGGTAGAGTGTGTCCTTAAAACGTCAACAAAACGCTGACGGTATGCAGTCCGGCAACCATCTACGTGTTTCACTGTCTCGGCTCAGAGCTCCTATTTGTATGCCAACGGGCATTGCTCCGTCTTCTGGTCCCACGATCGTGTGCCAGCCAATTGCGGTCGTCCAGAGTGCCACCCCTCGTAATCCTTGGCGTGAGGCGGCCAACAGCGACATTGCCGACGGTGAGGCTGTTGGAATGCAAGGTGCGGTGGACTTCCAAGCTGGCCAGTGCTACAGATCGATGGCATCTGCCAGACACGGACGTGGAAAAATGATGCATACTGAGTAAGAAAATCAAAGATCGGTCAGAATGAAAGACATTGCCAAATACAGTCCCATATCGACAACAAAAGGGCTGGAAGAGGGCTGAAACAAGACGGGAAAAGGAAAGAAAGTAGACGAAACGAAACGACCTGTTCCGTCGACACGGATCGGACAACGTCATAGGATTGGCTGTTGGGACAAGACTGGACGTGGTTCGGTTTGAGCTGTACTGCCCAACTGGACGTCGACATGGCTTTCACGTGTCAGACCAGGCAACTTTTACGCTCCCAAAAATATCTTTGGGGGCCACCTTCCCCCTGTGCCTAATGATTCGCACCACTGCAACCGCGAACGGGCCGCAACTTCTCTCCCTGTTTCTAACTCGAGTCGGAACGACGGCAATTTGCCAGCCCGACAGTGCAGGTTTGCGCAGGACGATGCACTGTAAAATTAAGGTTGCTGCCCACAATCTATTTGGACGGGGGGCTCTTTTACCAGGAAATTTGGCTGCCAATCGAAAAGGAGACAGTGGCCAACGAACACGAGTCCTGAAAAGCACTCTAGTTCTTGGCGCGCACCAGGTTTAGGGAGCTTTCTGCGTGGCCAAAAGCGGGGCAGGCACCTTGTTACGCAAGGCTAAAATGAAAGTTTTCTAGAAAGGCAAGAGCCTGTGAAAGAATAGAAAAAAAAATATGAGAGAAAAGGGGGCTCTTTCTTCGCGCTGTTGCTGTCCTTGCCTTTAAACCCCTTTGCAGTCCGTTCTCCGCCACGTCGTACTTTCCTTCTTTGTCTGTTGACGTCCAAGACCGACATCCCGAACTGGACTGCACCTGCTCCCGACCTCTCCTTCCTCATGCATCCATCGCGCCTGCACTTCCCCTTTGCCTCTTGACCCCTTCTTTCAATCTCGCCGGCTCCTCAACCAAGACCCGGCGCCCCACCTCAACCCCAACGGCCGCTGCACTTTAATTCGCTCTCCGTGTACGGCAAGAGAGCAGACTGCAGCACTGCTGCAAGTAAAACAGGAACTGCCTCCCCTCTTCGACACGGCAGAGGTGGACTAGACACGCTGCACGCATCGCGCTACAGCACCTAGCCCGGTCTCCTCCAGCGTCCCGTCCTCCGCCGCTCGTTCCTGCCTCCAGCCGCGACAACCCTCCTCTTTCCTTCCTCTTAAATTTCCACTTTTTCGGCTTCTTGTCTCCTCGCCTGCTCTTGCCCTCGTGCCTCTTGCTTGTTTCCTTCTGTCGTCTGTTTTCTCCTCTTTTCCTCTCTTCCGTTCTCCTCTTTCCTCTTCTCTGTCTCCGTTTTTGCTTCTCGAGATCGCCATCCTTCCCACCTGCGACCTCAACCTCACATTCTTTGCCCAACATGGCCCCCAATACGAGTATGTCTATGGTCTTTATATGAATTGTTAAGAGGGCGTTCCCCTGTCCCCGGGTTTCACATGTGCACACCGCAGAACATTGACAGCTAATTGCAGCGCAATTTCTTCCTTTTCCCGCCACCACTCGTTTAGGAAAACGCTCTGTTGTCGACAGCATCTCTGACGATGCGCTCATCCACCTGAAATCCTACAAATACTCGAGTGTCGACAAGTCGCCATTGTCACACTACGTCCTGAATCCTTATGTACGTCATCACGCGCCGAATTTGGGGAGCTGAGGAGCTGAGGAGCTGAGGAGCTGAGGAGAGGGGACCTGGAAGGAATCGACGTCAGCTTCGACCCCAAATGGGCATGTGACCAGACGAGCGCCTCAACAATAGGAACTGTAGATTCGATCCAACTGTTCTGCGTCATATACTAACGCCTCTGCCGCACAGTGGAATGCCTCCGTCAAGTTCCTCCCTATGTGGCTGGCCCCCAACATGGTCACCTTGATCGGCTTTCTTTTCATACTCGCCAACGTCGCCTTGCTCGTCATCTTCATGCCCGACCTCGTCGGCCCCGGCCCGTCATGGCTCTATTTCAGCTTCGGCATTGGTCTGTTCATGTACCAGACCATGGACAACCTCGACGGCAAGCAGGCCCGCCGCACCGGCACGTCCAGCGGCCTCGGCGAGCTCTTCGACCACGGCATCGACTCCCTCAACTGCACCCTCGCCAGCCTGCTCGAGACCGCCGCCATGGGCCTCGGCACCTCCAAGTCCGGCGTCTTCACCGCTCTCTGCCCCTGCCTGCCCATGTTCTTCTCGACCTGGGAGACCTACCACTCCCACACACTGTACCTGGGCTACATCAACGGCCCCACCGAGGGCCTGCTCATCGCCGCGGGCATCATGATCCTGTCAGGCATCTACGGCCCGGGCATCTGGACCGACAGCCTGGTCAGCCTCATGGGTGGCGAGGAGCGCGCCACCCACCTGCTCGGGGGCCACATTGTGAAGTACCTCGGCGACTACTCATTCCGTGACGGCTGGGTCGCCACCATTACCATTTCGCTGCTAACGGGCCACATTCCCTTTTGCATCCTGCACGTCGTGCAGGCGCGCCGCGCCCGCGGCCTGCCTGTCGCCCCTGTCTTTATGGAATGGACCCCGATGATTGTCTACACGCTGTCCATTGGCGCGTGGATCTACTCCCCCCACTCCTACCTGCGCAGCGACAACCACCTGGTGCTCTTCTGCCTCACGATGGCCTTTGTCTTTGGCCGTATGACGACCAAGATGATTCTGGCCCATCTGACGCGCCAGCCCTTCCCCTACTGGACCGTCATGCTGACGCCGCTCGTCGGCGGCGCCCTGCTGGCCAACGTCCCCGTGCTTGGCAGCGTGCTCGGCTTCGGCGACGACTGGGGCGCCATCAGCGCATCAACGGAGCTGGCATACCTCTGGGCCTACTTCTTCTTCGCGGCCGCCGTCTACTTCCGCTGGGCGTACCTGGTGATCAACAGCATCTGCAACTTTTTGGGCATCAACGCGCTGACCATCCCCATCGAGAAGCAGCTGGAGAATAAGCAGCGCCTCGCGGCGGAGGCAGCGGCGGCGGCGGCGACACAGACGCCCATGTCGCCCTATGTCAACGGTGCAGCCGGCAACGGCAAAAAGCTGCAAAAGGTCCATTAGTCGGCCAATATCTCTCCCTGACTGACAGGCTTTCCTCACGCTTCATTCCTGTTTCCCTGTTCTTCTTTCATCCCTATTTTAATATCTCTTTGTTTTGTTCCTCAGGCCCCCTGGTAGACCCAGAGAGGTTTCAATTGCATGGTCGGCGGTCTCTTCTTTTTGTTTTGGTCTTAATGGGCAGCGTGGTTTAGCATCTTCGTCTCTTATTCTTTTATTTTTCTTTTCCACCTTCTTTTCCTTCATTTCCTTTTTTTCACTTTCAATGTTACCTTCTTTGGCGTTCAACCGGCATTTCTCTTTTTCTACTACAAAAAAACCAATGGGCTTCGCTTCTTCCACCACACTTTTCTCTCCTTGTTTTTATTTCATTTTGTCTTTTTTTGTATTTTCTCTATTGTCCTGGTTACATTAATTAGCTTTTTTTTTATATCATAGTGTACATTCTTCTATGTCATCGGCACGTCAGAACGAGCCACAACGCAAGACACAGCACCAGACACCGGCACCTGGCTTGCTCAGGGTTGTTGAAATAGAAAGTTTCATTTGCAGCGTAAAAAAGGGAACGTCATCTGTTGTACTCAACGTACAATGCTGCACCCTCTTTTTTATCGCATTTTCAGCCGTCACAATCTTCTCCCATGCCTGGTGGTTTACATAGTGAGCATAATGTGGAATTCACACCTTAGCGAGTGTATTGACCAAAATCAATTGTATGAGCAGTGGGAAGGACGCAGGAAACGACGAATGCCGTGGGCTTTGTGATGTATTATGCATGCTTAATTGATCATTGCTCGGGTTCATTAAAATTAAAAAGTAGTATCACAAAAGGGAATAAAACAGCGCTGGATACATACACATGAAGAGAAAGGAGAAAAGAAAAAGAAAAAGAAAAAGAAAAAGAGAAAGAGAAAGAGAAAGAGAAAGAGAAAAAAAATATCCCCTAGAAAGCGACCTCATGAAAAGAGAAACTCTTTCAGCACTGGTGAACCCGCAAACTCGGGGTTCAGCAAGATGCAGTTGAGGAAATACTGCAGGCCCAGCCGCCGCTTCTCCAAAAAGTCTGGTCGGAACTTGCCCAAAACACTCTTGGGCGGCAGTGGCGGCAAGGCACCACCGCCGCGGGCCTGCGGGAAACTTGCGAGGAGACGGCGGCGCAGAGCGTCAAACTCGGAGTAGCGCTTGTAGATGCAAAAGGAGTGGCCGGCGGAGGACGACGACGAAGGCGACGACGCATTGTTCGGCGACCGTGGCGCATTGCCGTTGTTGGCGTAATATGGGTTGCCGCTGCTGCCCTCCAACGTCTGCACCCGAATCGTCCAAACGACAAAAGCGCCGAGACGCGGGTGGGCCACCATGGTACTGCTGTTGCCGGCACCAATGACCACATGGTCCGTCACGTCGACGCGGCGTGCCCAGCAGCGATTGTAGTTTATGTTCTTGGGGGAATGGTTGGTGGTGCGCGGAGCAGCGAGTGGGCTGGTGTTGCCGCTGCCGGTATTGCCAGGCGGCGGCCCGGGGTGCCGAAGCGCAGAGGCCGTGGGAGAGAGCAGAGCGGACGAAGAAGACGCTGGAGCCCCGGTAGCAGGAGTGGCTCCGTTATATTGCCACCCGCTGCTGCTCCCATAGCCATCGTCTTCGGCAGCTTCGTTGTCCTGGAGCGTAATGAGGTTGACATTGCCGTCGAGTGTCGACGAAGACGTGTCGCGCCGGTGGTGGCCTTGGTAGGAGGTCTGGACGTTGCCAGTGGAAGCAGCAGTGCCCCTGCTGCCAATGTAAAGGGAGGATGGGTTTGTACTGCTCGTGGACGGTCGCTGTGTCGCCGAGGATATTGACGACGCCGTGCCCTGGCTGCGGGAGGACGTGTCGAGTCGCCGAAAGAAGGGAGCGCTGAAGAAGGAGGTTTCCGCGTTCGTACGGCCAGTGGAAGCGGCGGCTGTTGCAGGCCGTCCGACGTCTAAGCTCGTGTTGTTGCCTTGGGATCCATCACGGCTGTGTGTCCAGTACGGTGGTGGCGGTGCGGGAGGTGACGCCAGGGGAGAGAGTGGTGTTGGCTGGACAAATGGCTCCGGTTCCGCCTCCTGTACCGTTTCGGGCGCCTGCTCGGATGTCTGCTCGGAGGTTTGTAAAGGAGGTGAGGGAGGGTCTGCTATGGTTTCGTGTGTTGGCTCGGCGGCTATCGCAGCGATCGGCCCTGCTGTACTTTCTGATTGTGTGGCGCCTTCGTCTGCCGTCGATAACGGCGTCGAATCGTCCTGTGTAGAGATATGTAATGGGTTGTGGCCATGGCTCTCCACGTCCTCGCGGCCTCCCGTCTCGTCGGGCTCGCGATATGGAGGGAAGGGCGCCGGCGGGTCGTCGTCGTCGCCAGCATCTTGTTGGGGGCCGTCTATTATGCGCGGCACCGTTCTGTGGCCATTGGGGAGTGCGCTGTTATCTGCTGTCCCTTTTGTTGGCTCTGCCGTCGAGTCTTGTGAGTTTTGTATCGCTCCGTCGTCAAGCGGCCGCCCTGGCGCCCGTTGCGCTGTGTTGGCCGACGGTGTCGACGAAGCCATTTGCGCTCAAGCCATGGACCGTCGGCGCTGTCGATCGTGATGGGCAGTGTTGAATGTGTGCAGAGTAAAGAGTGCGAGGCGAAAACAGAGCGAGAAAAAGAACGCTGTGAATATGATCGACTGGAAAGGTGGGTGGAGAGGCAAGAGCAAAAGGCCGGGAGGGGGTTAACCAGTGGTGACTTCCGCCATTCGGCCGGTGTGTGTTGGAGGCGAGCAAGAGCGAATGGTGTGATGGTCAAGTTGGGAAAGACCGTTGGCTGTTGTTAGGACAGGCAGGAACTGGCCGCTCTTTTGGCGCGCGACAAGCCCTGTATTGATTGCACCAGGCTACTTAGCTTCTGTTTCCTTCCCTTTTACTCCAGGGATTTGGACCGATTTGTTGGGGAAGGCACGCGCTAGCGCGTTGGAATCCCGCACATGCGGCGGATGGGGAACAGACGGCTGGGTCTGGGCCGGCAGTCGCGATGGAGTGTGACCCATGACGCAAGTGCATCGGTCGTGATGTGAGATTTATATAACTTCGTTTGTCTGTTATACAACGCGAAAAAGCCACCGACTCCCCTGCAAATCAAGACCCGTCCTTGGGGCCAAGCACAGGCGCTGCAAAGCCTGGTACAGGCGTTAAGCATGTCTGTATAGGTGTGCACCGTCTGCGCTGCCGTTACTGCCTGTGCTGTCTCCTCTGCCTGCGCTACAAAAGGGTCTTCGTCCAAGTCCGCCCCGCTGGTTACGACTGCTTTTGCGATCAAGTTGATACAGGAGTAGTTTCTGACTGCAGGCTGGACCAAAACAGCGAAAGTGCAATATTATTAGTAACCAATCCCAGCATAAGTTTCACAATAAACTGCATTATGAGCAAATGATGGCCCATTCTTGCCTCATCGCCGTGAATATAAATTATTAGAAATGCGCTTCCAGCGTTTGTTATTTCTACTACATGAAAGATGATGGGAAAAGCGTGTGACGATACAGGTCGTCGTGTAAATACTAAGAAAATAAGCCTTAAAATTATCCTCCAGGCCATCCCAAAATGCCAAATATCCCAGATATGCAGTTGTTAATATGATTCGGTCCCAAAGCCCAGACAAAAGAAAGAAAAGAGGTGAATGAAGTGAGGGTCAGGAAGAAGGAGAAAAGGACAGACGACAAGCCTAGTCGGGTCCGAAACGAGCAGCAAAGACGAGCTCCACAACCGACTAGCACTGCTCGCCGAGGTAGAAATCGGCAAACTGCAGCTGCGCGGTCACACCCGACGTCGTCGCCTGGCACTGGAACGTCGCCTCCGTGCAGTCGGCCGTGTAGGTAAAGTCGACGGTCCGGTAGGCCTGGGACACCTCCGTGTCGCACAGCACGCGGTTGTACTTGACCTCGCCGTTCACCGTGCAAGTCAGCGTCACCATGCTCTTGCCGTAGACGCCCAGCGACGACAGGCGGTAGTGGAAGTAGCCCTTGTAGGCGGTGCCCTTGACGACAGCCACCTGCTGGTGGAAGGCAAGACCCTCGGCCTGGCCCAGGGTCACGAGGTCGAGCTCGAGGCACTGGGCGTAGGCCGCGCCCGTCGGGCTCGAGCCGCAGTTGGCGCCGAGCGAGCAGGTGGGGGCGCCGGTGAGCACGTTGGAGGGCCAGTACGAGATGCCGAGGGAGAAGTCGCTGTCGACAAACAGGTTGTCGGTGCTGCAGGAAGGCTGGCCGGGGTTGGTGGTGAGGCCACCGCTGGACGAGGGGAGGGCCGCCGAGGAGGACGACGACGCAGAGGCCGAGTGGGACGCGATGGCAGACGACGAGGAAGGAGTGGGCTCGGAGGAAGGAGCGGCCGATGAGGAGGGGATGACGACGGGTGGCGCCGACGAAGACGACGAAGGAAGGACCACGGAGGGAAGGGCCGACGACGACGATGCAGGCGTGCTCAAAATTCCCGAGGAGGAAGGAGCAGCCGACGAAGGCACGGGCGACGAAGACACACGTGACGAAGGTGCAGCGGATGCCGACGACGAGACAGCGACAACAGCCGCAGAAGACGACGACGACACGGACTTGGGGCGGCAGGGGCTGGCGAGGATGGGACCAGCCAACAGGAGAGTCGACAGAGCGAGGGAGTACTTCATGGTGAGAGTGGCAGCGGTATGAAGTGAAGAGAGTGGGATATTATATAGATAGAAGGAGAAAGAGATGGACGAAGCTCGACAAGACTGGCGAACGTATGTTATCTATAGCGACAGATGCGGTTACTTTTTTTCGAAGAATGACTGTGATGGTGATGGTGTGAGAGAATGGATATTGCAAAGCTTGCAAGCGAACGAGTGAGGCTGAAAATAAAGAGCAATGGAGAATTTCTCAAAAAAAAAAAAAAAAAGAAAAAGAAAAGAAAAGTAAAAGTAAAAGAAAGAACGAGTGTAGGTCTGGATTGGGACAACAAGGAAAGAACGAATGTAGATCTAGAGTAGTCTGCGTGTGCTGATGCTCTTCTCTCTTCCCATCACTTTCACGACGGGGATATCGCAATATATATTCCGTACTCTGTTAAACGACGACGTCGACCAGAAACCAAATGAAACCAAGCAGCCGCCAAAACGGCTTTCGCCTGGGCACGTTCCAGGAACCCAAAAATAAACACTTGGAGGATGCAGCTGAAATACCGTGTAAGAGGCCGACACTATCGAAGGAGGCGAACGACGTGAAACGAAACAAACAAATCTACGACGTAGAAAGGCTTGAGCGACAGCAAGAGTTCGTAAGGCGGACGCAGATGGAGCAAACGCCAGCAAAAGCGACCTGTGCCCTCTCATGTTAGTGGACATATGGGGCGCTATTCTCTCCTCATCGCCCCTTCAATTTCATCTTGGGACCTTGGGAGGATCCCTCGTGCCTCCTCCACTTCACCGCGACCTGGCCACCTTGGTTTTGTGCAAAGTCGACGTTGTCTCTGATTGTCTTCTTCTCGTCCTGTCGTTTGTGGGCTGGGCGATTTGCGCCCGTCGTCTACCGGCCTATCGTCTGTCGATGGGCGCCTGTGAGCCAATCGTTCCTGAAGCGCGCGCCGACGCTCTTTTCTCGCGCGTCTACGGAGCAAATGCAGAGTCTGAAATATGACGTACTGGGGTCAGTAGGCTTCTAGACCGACGACTTCTCCACTGCTCCAAAACGGTGGCAGGGTGGTTGTGGTCGGTCGTCGGTACGCGCCGGTAAGAATGGAGTCTAGCGCCTACTGATGGGCTTGTAGGCGTAACGGGCAACACGACCGGGGGGGAGGTAATCTTGCCGCTATTTTTGGAAAGTTTTCTGATATTTTGTTTGGGGAAAGCTGCCCGGCGGCTCTTGGCAGGGGACTTTCTTTTCTTCCGGGAGCTTGCTTTGCCAAAGAACTCTGAACGAACGACAGCAAGACCCACTGGGGCATGGCCTCAGAACAGGCCATGCAATTTGGTACACGGCCAGCTGGTGGCTTTTTTGCCTTTTTGGTGTGGCTGCATGCCCTCCCAATCTGGCGTGGTCTCTTCTGTGGGCAAGATTGCCTTGTTACAGATTTGTTGACTTTCCCCTTCCGGGGCGCACTCTTGGACGACTCCATCACGAAAGCTCAAACACCTTGTGGACGGAGCACCGGACTGTGTTGATTGTCCGACGAACGTCGTACACATACAACGTATCTTTCCATGTTTGCCCGTGAATGGAGAACACACGGTATTACTCGCGTAAGTTCTCTTTGTATTCTTCTCCTTTTCGAGTGTTCAACTTACGGGTCTCCATTTTCCTTTCTCCTGCATCGGGCACCGTCGTATCTGATATGCCCCCGACGCCGATGGTAGCCATTTCGTAGCATCCTGCTGGGTGGCCTTTTCGGGCCGCCTTCTTGTTGGCGTGGGTCTGTTTGCTTGGGCCGGCTGAGATGCATGTTTGAAGCTCGCGCGCGCCTGTTCTCGGCGAAGCTAAGAGGGGCGAGCTACTGAGAAGAAGACGAAAAAAGAGCGAAAAAGAGCGAAAAAGGGCGAAAGAGGCGCAAAAGAGCTCCGCAGATGGCGTTGGCAAGGGAAGATGGAAAGATGCGACCGACATCACGCAGAGAACCGATATTGGACAAAGGTAGCTCCTTGGCAAGTAGAGACGTATGTAACATGACTTCAATATAGTTTATGAAAGAATAATAGCCATACTCCGAACAGAAACCAGATGTCCCAACCGGGTATAATGCGTCTATGCGTCTAAAGCTTTATGAAAACAAGTAAAATGAGAACAATAAATAACCAACTCTTGTAAAATCGACGTAAACGTAAATGCAATCGCCATGTACGAAACACCGCAGATCGTCGTATCATTCGCCTTGGGCGCCAACATGGCCGTCGTCGTCGTGAGAAGCGGACCTAATGTGCAGCTTTTGCAAAAGGCGGCCTGTGGTCGATGTTGCTGTCTTTTCATCCTCTGCTTGCTCGGGCTTTTTTCCTTGGTCATGCTCACGGCCCCCGTCATGGTCATGGCCATGGTCGTGATTGTGTGCGTGTGGGTGCAACTTCCGCAGCAGCTTCTTGCCCCGCTGGCGCGTCCGCATGTACGCCTCCAGGCCGACCAGGACGACATAGGCCTTGGACACGGCCACGTGTCGCATGTCCGCGCCCTCCTCACGCAGCGCGGACATAAACGACCGGAAGTTGGACACGGGCGGCCGGTAGTGCCCAGACAGGGGAGAAAGCGCCACCAACCGGCCATTGCGGATCTTGATGAGGCCGGCCGCCGAGATGCGCGCGCCCCGCAGGAACGACGAGTGCTGGAAGGTGCCCGAGTCCTTGAGGCCCACGTACAGCCGGAAACTCGTGTCGGCCACAAAGATCCACGTGTTTTTCTGGACCGACTTGCGCAGCAGCGCGTCAACCACAGTCGCTGGCGAGAAGTGGTGGCTCTTCTTGGCCACGGCCCTGCCGCCGCTCTTGCCGCTCCCACTGCTGGAAGGCCGCGCGCCCACGGCCTCGTCGTTGTCCGGAATGTTGTACTTGGCGGCGCGGGCCGCCTCCAGTTCGCTTTCTGAGACGCTCGAGTCAGAGTCAGAGTCCGAGTCGTAGTCGGGCTCCGAGCCGGAGTCGAAACGGCGGTGGCGAGGGTGCGGGTCGCCGTGCTCGTGGTGCTCATGTTGCCCATGCGCATCGCCCAGTACAGGCTTAAACGCTGGCGTAGGGTCGTCGACCGGCACAATGCCGTGGATGCTGTCCTTCCACTTGGCCGTCGTGTCGATCCGTGCTCCGTTCTTGGTCCAACACAGGCGGCCCTCCTTGTCAATCTTGACCTGGTAGTACTGCCGCTCCTCGCGCGATAGGTAGCGCACCTGCTCGCGGTCGAGGCGTGCGCGTGGGCAGGCCGTTGCGTCCACCAGCCGCCCCTCGCCGTAATCGAGCCAGTAGAAAAAGTTCTCGTTGGTGTCGGACCGCTTCCACTCCTCGTGGTACACCCGCAGGTTGGCGCCGTAGCGGTGCTTGGGGTCAATCATCTCGAGGAAATACTGAAGGCCCATCATGAGGGCGTCTTTGCGGCGCCGAACACGAGCCGCCCCCGTCCGCTGCCGCTCATTCTCGCGGCTCTCCGCGTCCGAGTCGCACGCAGAGTCATAGTCGGAATCATCGTCGTCATCGTCGTCATTGTCGCCATTGTCGCCATCGCCCGCCTCATCGTCCGAGTCCACATCGCCGTTTGCATACTTGAGGATGCCCGTGGCCTTCTTCCAGTTGCGCATAGCGCGTGTCGAGCTCGCCTCTGTGCCGTCAAACAACTGCCGTACCGGTGCGGTGGCTTGCTCTGCCGAGAGGCCTAGCTCGGCCCGCGCCCGTGGCCGTGTCAGCTCGCGGTACCGCGCCTCACGAATGGCATGCACCCAGCGTGTGTTGGCATTGATGTTAAAGCCCTTCATCTCGCGCCGGGCGCGGTAGCCACGGTAGTGCCGCTGGATCACAACGGCCGCCCGAGACTGCGCCACGAAGACATCCAGGCCCCGGAAGAAGCCGACGTGGTCCTGTTTGCCATCCTGTTTGGCGTTGTTGCCCTTCTTCTCCTTGTCCTTCTTTCCCTTCTCCTCCTTCTTAGCGTGGGAGGAGGTCGGCTGGTTGCTGCTGACAGGCGAAATCGCTGCTGCCGCCGCCGCACGGTCGCAGGCGACGAGACTCTGCTGCTGGCTCAGACGCTGCTCGCGTGACCGCCGACGGTGCTCCGTCTCGCGGTGCTTCTGGATCTCGGCAATGCGCTCGAGCTCGCCCTTTGAAGGCACGACGAGACTGTCGAGGTACTCCTGGTGCGTTGCTTGGGACTGGAGTGACGCCCGGTCGTTGCTGTCAACGGATGTCTGGGATGCAGTGGGCCGGTGGCAGGCGGAGGCTGAGGTGGAGGTGGAGGTGAAGGACGTGGTGGTGGTGGTGGTGGTGCAAGTGGACGTGGATGTCGTTATCGTGGACATGCTGGTTGGGGGGATGTCCAATGACATGGCTTGCTGGGCAGGAGCGGTGGGTGGTGCACCTGCTGCCGGGTTGCTCATTGTTGCATGTGTGCTTTGGAAGGTGCAGATGTGGAGGGCGCGGTTAAGGAAGGAGCGATTGAGACAAGTGAAGCGTGAAAAGTACCGAGAAAATAAACGGCAAAAAATAGAGTTGGGAAAAAGCAACGAGACGCTGTCACCACCAGCACAAGTTAAAAGCAACAGCAAGCTCGCTAATGAAGTCGGGCAACGCCGTTTGGTCAAGGTCTGGGGAATCAGAGACTGGCCAGGATTGGACAAGATTGCTGGAGATGGTGTGGCGATTGGAGCTGGGCGTCGAACTTGTCCGATCTCTTGGCTGCCTCTTGCCTCTTATTGTGTCAGTTGGCTATTTGCCTCTGCCGGACGCGTTGCCATTTATACAACTTGGGGCCAATGACGCCCGGCTCCGGCTAGTCACTCTTGCCCCGGCGCAAAAGCCAATGGCTTTCTCTAGCAGTTGCGACGGCAAGGATCGACCGATGGGCAGTATGCACTTTCTTGGCAATGCCGCCTAGCTGCCTTCCTTCTCTTCTTTTAGAGTCTGGCAGGGACAGTTGGCGAGGCTGGGACACTTTCTCGTGGCTTTTGCCATATGTGCTTATGTGGCTGCACAGGATGCGCATGTCTTGGCACAGATCACTGGGGTTTCCCGTACATTCAGTGAATCGGACACCGAAGAATACCGGTGCCTGGTGTTCTGCTGCGGCTGGTCGGGTTGGACGTCTGGACAGTGAGCTTTGGCGCGCTGCTAGTGCTATATTTAATCCGGTTATGGGGCATTGTGTGGAGAGAAAGGCCCCGTAGGACGTTGCTGGCTGTGGCGGAGGACTAGGCAGCATAATTTCCTCCACCCCTCGAATGACTAAGCATAACAGGACACATATACAGTGCAAAATAGAATTTACAGTATTCATACGGTGAACAAGTTTCTATTTAGTTGATAAGCACAGTGCGCAATCCTTTTACCATAGAAATCGTCAACAGCCGGTAATCAATCAAAGTATTTCCGACAGATACTCGCGCCGATAAACTTGAGAAATTGCACTGTACACGTTCGACACACCGGAATGCTCGTGTGAGGCGTTTGCTGCTGCACTTTATTTCAGCGCGGTTTGGCGGTGACTGGGAGAAATGATCCCCTCCTACCCCTATTTCTTAACTGCCCACAGTAATTCGTATTGCATAGGCGGGACAGCTGCGTAGAAACAGGGCACGGCCGGAATGTTAGCGTATGCTGACCGCCTACAATTGGCGAGATGGGCACCTGGAAACCAAGAAAAAAGGGGAATTTGAGGTGGGGTGTTCATCAGAAATTGCATGGTTTGAATGAGGGAAAGAGCGTAGGACGGTTCCCTGTGCTAGGAAAAGACACCACACACCGGGAGGGGAACGCAAAAAAGCAGTCAGAGTCACAGGTGACCAAAAAAAATTGACCATCAGAAACACCACAACGCGAAATCCATATCCATCGACAGCACGCCCTCAGTCACTCGCTCTCGACGCGCTCCTTTCCCTCTCTCCCCTCTCCGATGGCCACGATGCCCGATTCGCCATGCTCGAAACATTGACGATTTTGCCAATGGCTCCGGGCACGCGGTCGCGGCGAACCGACGTGCTGCACCGTGCGACGCCAGTGCTGTTGCCCAAGCCAAACCAGCGGCAGACTACGCTGGACCAGCACCTGCACAGCGCCGGAGTCCGCCCCAGAAGCGCTGGAACGCGTCCCCCACCAGCGCTACAGCAGCCACTGCAGCAATCACAACAAAGGGCACCACGGCAGCAACAGCAAAAACAACAGCAAAGACGACAACAAGCACAGTCTCAATTGCAAGCATCGCAGCCACAGCAGCAGCAGCTCTCGTTTGCCATTGCGGCACCGACGCGCAGCATCCAGAACATTCTGAATCATGCAAACTCGATGGGCTCGATGAGCGCGGCGCGCCCGAAACGCAAGATCGCCGCCGACAACGACGAGAGCACTGCGAAGCTCGCCACGAATGGCCACGCTGGTGGCAGTGGCAGGAGAAGCGATCAGTTCGACGGCCAGATCCATGCCGGGACCGATGCCGACGACAGCGACAACGCCCTCGACTCAGCTCTGCGGAAGCGGCCGCGGCTGGCTGTCGAGATTGTCGACGTTGCGAAATCTCCAGGCCTGCAAAGGCCCCCTGGGGCGTTGGCGCCGGCGTCCCCGCCTAATAAGGCAGGCGCGGCGAGCAAAACAAACACAAACACCGCTGGCAGCAACAGCCTCGCTGCAGCCGTACCAATCGCACCTTTTCCCAACACCGCCAGCACCGCCAGCACCACCACACCCACGACCAGCAGCGCTCCGCACTCCTCCTCGACACCCACCACGGCCTCCACTCATACGCCAACGCGGCGCCCCATCGCTGCACGACAGCATCCCGCCGTATCCGCGACCCACAGGGCACCTATCCTCGACCGTGCAACGCGTGATAACGCGACGACCTCGACATCCACAACCACATCCAGTTCTTCTCTGCACAAACACGCTGTCCCACCGGCCGCCCCGTCGCCCAACCCTCTCCCCTCGGACGCGGCTCGTTCACACCGCCTGAACTCTGGACGGTCGCTGCCCAAACCCGCTTCCCAGCTGGCGACGAAACCGCCAAAGGAGAAGGCCGTCAACGGTTTCAAACAAGAGCTAAAAGCTCTGCAAGTCTCGACTGCCGAGGCTGAGGCTGTGGCTGCCACGCGCGGGCCCCGCGAGGGTGGCCGCAAGCTGCGCTCGCAAGAGGCCACGCGGTTCAAGAGTGACTTGGCGGCGTACTTCCCCGACTATGACGAGGTCATTGGGAACGAGCCAAAGGAAGAGCGTATGTGCCATCTTTCAGTTCCTTTTTTTCACCTTTTTCTTCTTGTGCTTGTCTGCTCTCTTCGAATGTATCAACTAACATGTCGTTTGCTTAGACATCCTAAACATCGACACGCCCATCATCTTTGTCGAGTCCACTCCGGCCCACCCTGCGACAAACCTCCCCACATCAACAGTCTCGACACCGCTGGCCGCGTCGCTTAGGAGCAGCGACCGCGCGGGATCTGTACGTGTCAAAGGGTATGGTGACAAGTTGTTCTACGACGTGTTCGACTCGCACGTTCTCGACTTCACCTTCCTCGGCAACCAGCATAAGAGCAAGGGTGCCGTTGACCCTCTCCCCGACTCGTACTTTGAAGCCCACCATAAGCGCGCCGAGCGTCTGGAGCGGTCCATCCGCAACACGGAAAAAGGACGCGCCCAGCATGAGAAGGACCAGATCATGCGTCTTCTTGAGGGCCTTCAGGGACCCGATTGGCTGCGCACCATGGGCGTCAGCGGCATCACGGAAAGCAAGAAGAAGGCCTTTGAGCCTGCTCGTGAGCACTTTATCCGCGGCAGCCGTGCCATCCTCGAGAAGTTCCGCCTGTGGAGTGTCGAAGAGAAGCGTCGGAAGCTCGAGAAGGATCGCGCCCACGCGCTAGAAGTGAAGGCACGCGAGGCGGCCGCGGACACCGCCGCTGCGCATCCGCATGGCAGAGGCAAGGCAAAAGCCGACAACACTGCGTCAAAGTCGTCTCGGGGGCGCCGAGACCTTGGCGGCAAGGCCTCAGGCAAGCGGGCGACTAGAAAGAGCCTCGACGACAGTGACGTTGCCGGGCAGCCGCATGACGAGGTGCACGATGACGAGGAGGCTGCTGAGGACGCCGGGGATGACGAAGCCGCCGAGGAAGACGAAGTGGACGACGACAGCCAACCAGACTCCAGCGACTTTGACGCGGTCATTGCGCAACAGCTTCGCGAAGAGGCCTTGGCCCGCTCCCGGCTGGCATCCAAGGCAGCCGCCTCAGCCAACAAGCGCCGGAAGCCGAACCGCGCTGCCAAGCAGGACGCACCTCCGTCCCCCACGTCACCTCTTGCGCGCCCGCCGTCGCCGTCGCAGCCTCCGGACGAAGTGACGTCGTTCTTTCGCAAGCGATACCAGCGGGATGCTGCGCTTAGCCGCGGGCGCCGGAAGGGCCGTACGGTGATGGCCTGGGGACAACCGGTACCTGAGCCGGCCGAGACCGATTTTAGCCTGCCCGGCGAGATTCTGAACCAGACTGGCGTGGCTGGACGCGGGAGACGAGGCGGCGCACGCACTGGTGCACGGGGACGGGGTGGTGCGCGAGGCGGCGTGCGTGGCGTTGGTCGCAAGTGACGTTTTGATATCCCTACATCAGTGTTTGTTCGCTGAGTGTTGCTATTTCCTGTGTTTTATTTGTCTCGCGTCTTGGGTGGCCATTTTTTTTCTCTTTTTTTCTTCTTCGTTTTGTGCCCTCGGTGTCCCTTGCAGCAGCAGCTGCTTGTATGATGAAACGTGGGTGTCGGTTCCCTTGAGATTTGGCGAGTGGTTGTGGACGTTGCCTCTCGTCTGTACTGTAGTATCTGTATAATTAGGCGTCTTGGAATGGGAATTGGCGGCACATTGCCTGCTTCTTGGGTCTGCTACTGGATGCTTCCTCCTGGTGCTCTTGGGATGTTCTGGTTGTACAGTGTCTGGCGTAATGTGGTGAAAACTGTGACAAAGCGAGGTCTTAGATGGCGACAGAATGCGAGTTGAGGAGCTTAAGCGTGCAATGGCTGTCCGCACGGGCCAACCAGGCTGGGTCGTGCCTTCCAACTTGCTGTACTGCACAGAACCGCTAGTACGATGACTTCGTGTTTAGTCTCGTCACGTGCAACTCCATCGCACCTTCCGCTCGCAACGAGATAATAATAAAAAGGCTATGCGCGCCCCACTTTTGGCGACGATTGGAGTTCGCTCCTACCACCACCGACGTTCGAAATCGCTTGCTCGTGATCCTCTCAAATCGATGACCATTATCCCCAGACCCCTTTACAATCCCTCGTGCCTCTCTCTTATCTCTCACAACACCCGCGACTCCCGCCTTACCTTGGCGACGTTGTGAGGGCGCGCCGTGCCACGCGCGTCAGCCAGCTGTCGAAAGTGTTCACCACACGGCCCTGCACGCGCACACGGCGTTGACATCTTTGGAACGGCTCACAGCAAGGCAGCAGCTCGAGCCTCATCTCTAGAAGGCTCTTTCAGCCAGCTGCTTCCCCCGTTGAGCTTCGACGCCGCTCATTTCTACGCTCTCCTGCCGCCTTCGCCGACCGGGTCCTCTACCGCTTGCTGCCTTCCATGTCATGACATCGTGCATCACAGGTCGCCCTCGACGACCAGCCTTCTGTCTGGAGCCGCTGAAGCTGTATCTGCTTTAGCATTTCCTACCATATCCTTCTTTACCGACCCGGCCAACCCCCTCTCTTGCCCGCGCAGCTCGGCTCCTCACAACGATGCCGGGCATCCTCCAGACCGACGGTGCCAACGGCGTCGCGCCCGGCTCCGACCCATTACTCGATCCCGCGTCCGACGACATACTGCCACCCGTCGAGGAATTTGTCGTCGTTAACCAGGAGGTCTCCATTGACATCAACTTCCGTGAACAGAGCATCCAGGGCGAGAGCCGCATCACAATATACCTTACAAATCCCGACGACGCGCCAGACGAAGTCGCCCTCGATGCCCGCCAGTGCGAAATCGATACCACTCAGATCCGCGTGAACGGCAAGGCCGTCCGCGCCACCTACCGAGACCCCTACGAGTCCCTCGACCTCCCGCCATCATGGGACCTCACGCCGTCCAACTTCCCCGTCCTCAAGAACCGAATGCGGAATCTTCTGCCAAAGCGACGGCGCGATCTGCCAGTCGAAAAGCGCGAGCAGGTCGGCTGTAATCCGGCAGACCGGTCCCTGCGCGTGGCTCTGCGTCCAGAGCCCCCCAAACCCCCAGCCAACGCTGCCCCGGGGGCTGCAGCGGATGCCAGCTCGGCTCAGCAACCAGGCAAGCTCAAGGTTCGCCTGTCGACCGCTGGACTTGCGGACACATCGGCAAACGGACGCGGCGGCACCAAGCCTGATTCTGACCAGCCGACCGACGGCCTGTTTGAGATTGTGATTCCGTTCAAAACGACACACATTCGCGATGGCCTGCACTTTGTTGGCGTGGAAGACAATGACACGCGGTTCCCCCACGTCTACACACGGCATTCCCTCGAGCCAGGCATGGCCGCCTGCATATTTCCCTGCCTCGACGACCCCGGCTCGCGTTGTTTCTGGAAGATTCATATCAAGACGCCACGAACCCTCGGCGATGCCCTGATGCAGCAGCTCGCATCAAATCAGTCCATGAATGACGCGGCGGCGGCGGCGGCGGCGGCCGACGCTGCTGCTAGCAACGACCGGTCCATTACCGTGCACGGCAGCCAAGGGAAGCAACAGGCATCATCACCAAATGGACAAGGTGCAAAGAGTGGCCGCAGGCAGCTCCAGCTCACGGAAGAAGACAAGCTTCTCGACATGACGGTGGTCTGCTCGGGCAACCTTGTCGGCGAGAGGGTTGACGAGGCCGACGAGTCCAAAAAGGTCATGACCTTTGAGATCACGGACCACGGCGCGGCGGCCAACCAAATTGGCTTTGCGGTCGGCCCCTTTGAGCACGTGGATCTCTACACGGGGTTTCGTACCGACGAGGACGACGAGAAGCTGGGCGCAAGCGCCCTGAAGATTCACGGCTACTGTCTGCCTGGACGGCAGGTCGAGGTCCAGAACACGTGCGTGTCGCTCACGACCGCGGCCGACGAGTTTGCCATGACGTACGGTCGGTACCCGTACGATAGCTTCAAGCTCTGTTTTGTCGACGACATGGTGTCCGACACGACACCGCTGCTGTCCTTCTCCCTCTGCAGCACGCGTCTCCTCTTCCCGGACAGCATCGTGGAACGGGATTTTGATGTGACGAGGAAGCTGGTGCATGCGCTGGCGTACCAGTACTTTGGCTCGTACATTGTCCCGAACCAGCGCACCGAGCTGTGGCTCACGGTCGGCATCGCCTACTACATGACCGACCTGTTTCTATGCAGGCTGTGCGGCAACAACGACTACCGGTTCCGGATCAAGACCATGACCGACCGACTGGCCGAGGAAGACCGCGACCGACCGTCCCTGCATGATCTCGGGACCTACACGTACTTGGGCGACTTTGAGATGGAGTTCATGGCCCTCAAGGCGCCCCTTGTCCTTTTTATTCTCGACAAGCGGCTGACAAAGGCCGCGGGCTCGGCGAGCGCGAGCCTGGCACGCGTCATCTCAAAGATCATCAGCAAGGCGAACACGTCTGGTTGGGGTGACAACAACAACGAAATCATCTCGTCCGAGTCGTTCCGCCGCGTCTGCGAAAAGACGAGCCAGTACCAGCTGGAGGCCTTTTGGAACCAGTGGGTGCTGGGCTCTGGGTGCCCGTGGCTGACGATCAAGCAGCGGTTCAACCGCAAACGGCTCTGTGTGGAGATTGGCATCCACCAGACCCAGGAGACCGTGGCGGCCAAGCCGCGGCCGATGCACCACGCCGAGTTTTGGCGGGAGCTGGTCGAGAAGCGACACGGCACGTACGCACGCAGGGTGCAGCGGCTGTTCACGGGGCCGATGACGATCCGCATCCACGAGGCCAACGGCACGCCGTACGAGCACATTGTGGAGATTCGCGACGACGCGGCCTTTACGGGCGGGGCGAAGTTTGACATTCCGTACAATACCAAATACAAACGGCTTAAGAGGAACCGGCGGAACCGAGAAAAAGCCGCCGCCCTGGCAGCCAGCACCGTGGACAGCAGCGGCGCCAACGCCGAGAACAACGACGAGCAAATTGTCTTCTCGCTGGGCGACAAGCTGGACACGCCGGACGAGATGGCTGCTTGGGGTCTGATTGACTGGACGGAGCAAGACGAGAAGAGCATGGACCAGGAGTCGTACGAGTGGATCCGCATCGACTCGGACTTTGAGTGGCTCTCCAAAATTCACACCAACATGCCTGCGTGGATGTACCTGTCGCAGCTGCAGCAGGACCGCGACATTGTGGCGCAGCAGGACACGCTCTTGTACTTGTCCCGAATTCGAGAGCATGCCATGTCGGCGACGATCCTGACGCGCACGCTCTACGACGACCGCTATTTCCATGGCCTGCGGACCATGGCGGCCGAGAACCTCACGCGCCAGGTCTGGAAGCTGTCGGACACGGCTGGCGGCGGCGGCAGCAGCAGCAGCAACGACGACGACCGCGCAAACGGCCACGGCGGTGGTGGCGGCGAATCGATTGTGTACCGCGGCCTGGAGCAGCTGATGCATGTGTTCCGCCACTTCCACTGCTACGACGACGCGACGGCCAAGCCCAACGACTTTTCCGACATGCGGCGGTACTGGGTGCAGTGTGCCGTCATCGATGCCATCTCCAAGGTGCGCTTTGAGGACAAGCGGCCGCGCGAGGCGCAGCGGTTCCTGCTGGACATTCTGCGGTTCAACAACAACGCGCAGAACCTCTTCTCGGACCATCTGTATGTGGCCCGCGTCATTGTCGCCCTGGCGACGAGCTTCTGTTCGACGTCGTCGGCCGCGACGCAGACGGGCGCGAACAGCAAGAACAGCAAGAACAGCAAGAACAGCAAGAACAGCAGCGCGGCGGCCAAGCCCAAGGACCGCGGCAAGATGGACATGGTGTTGACGTTTGACGACGGCATGAGCGACGACGGCGACGGCGGCGGTGGCGGCAACGGCAACGGCGACGACGACGACGCGTCGGACGATTTCAACCACCTTGGCGCCGATATCGACCGCATGGAGGTGGACACGGAGGACCAGCAGCTGCTGGAGGCGGCGCTTGCCGAGATTGAGCGGTACCGGCGCATGGACGAGTGGACGAGCTCCTACCAGAACGCGTGGACGACGGCGGCGCTCGAGGCCAAGCGGAAGCTCATGAAGACGGGTGTGATCCCCGTGGACGCGCTCGAGTTTGTGCGCTACCTGCAGGACGGCACGATCGACGCGGTGCAGCTCAAGGCGTGCGAGGCGCTGATCGACCTGGGCCTGATGCTGCGGCCGGCCATTCTGAGGCTGCTGCTGTCGACGATGACGACGCACGCGTCGCCGTTTATGCGCGACCGGCTGTTCAAGCTGTTCTGCAAGGGCCTGGCCTCGATTGCGTTTGGCGAGCACACGGGCTCGTCGTCGCCACCGGGTGGCGCGGGAGCGGACGACAAGAAGAAGCAGGACCAGGCGGCCCTTGTCAACGGCACCACGAACGGGGCCAATGGCGACACAAAGGCTGGCGATGCGGCACGCTTGAAAGCCGAGGACGAGGACGGGCAGGAGGAGGAGGCGGACGACGACGACGACGACGACACGGGCGGCCTGATTATCGAGCAAGGCGACGCGATCACCAAGAAGCACCAGGAGGAGCACGCGCGGCGCGAGAACATTGACGCGGCGGTAGCGGCACTGCGCGAAGCCGTCAAAGGCAACCAGGAGCTGCTAGCCGCCATGTGGGATGCTGTGCTTTCGCCGGTGACGGGCTGCACGGAGAAGCGGAACCTGATGGACCTGCTGGACGTCATGTTTGACGGCGACCTGTCGCTTCTTCTTACGGTGAAGCACCCGACAATGTGGACGGCGGCACGTAGGGCGACGCCTGGCGGTGTCATTGATTTCAAGAAGATTGCACGACCCCTCAAGCAAGCGGCTCCGCCGCCGCCCGCATCGACCGCCGCCGCTGCCATGCAGCCTGTCCTTGGTGCCGACCCGGTCGTGGCCACGGCGGCGGCGCCGGCCAGCACCTTGCCGCCACTGAACACGCCTGGCGCAGCAACGGCCGCACCCGCCAGTGCGACGGCGGGCGGTCCAGCAAGCACTGCTGCGACGCCCGGGCAGCGTACTGCGCTGCCTGGCGCACCGTCCAAGAGGCCGACGATGCCCAAGATCAAGCTCCAGACAAACCGCGTCTCGATCGGCGGCGCAGGCTCGCCGGCCCCGTCACCGGCTGTTGGCACGCCGATTGTCATCAAGAAGCCGTCTGTGGCTACGCCCGCGCCAGCCGTGACGCCTGCTGCGCCAGTGTCGACGTCTGTCCTGCCCTCCCTGACGCAGCGCGAGAGCACGGCGGACTCGATCTCGGTCCAGCCTGCCCAGCGAAAGAGCTCCGCTGCAGCGACACCGGCTGCCGCGTCAGCTGCCGCGGCCAAGGCCAAGTCGCCCACACCGGCCAACGACTACTTTGGCAACTTTACGTCGCGGCTGGGCAAGTCACCGCAGCCGGCGCCATCACCAGCTGTGTCGGCGGCATCCGCGCCGGTCAACAACAAGCGCAAGCGGCAGGACAGCCAAGCCGGGATTGATGGTACCGGTACCGGTGCTGGTGCTGGATCTGGATCTGGATCGGGATCGGGATCGGGAGCGCCGCGGCCCCGCAAGCTGCTGAAGATTGCTGTGCCCCTTGGCTATCAGCAGAAGCTCAGCCCACGGGCCAGTCTTTGGCTCGAGACGAACCGGACGGCGTCGCCCGGTTCGGCAGCCGACGGCGACTCGATCCGGGCGGCCGGCACGCCCTTTGGCTTGACATCGCCGAGGAAAGCCTCGACGCCGCACTCGACCGCGTCCAAAACGCCGGGCCCCGTGTCGGGTTCTGGCTCGAGTTCGGCGTCGGCGCATAAGCCGCTGCCCTCGTCCAAGCCACAACCTCGGGGACCGACGCCGACGTCAACATCGACAACGACACCACCACCGCCACCTGCCTCGGTCTCCAAGTCTGGACCGTCGGTGAAGCGCGAGTCGGCGACGCCGGATGCCGTCGTCAAGCCGGCACGCAAGCCACTGCCCAAAGGGGCAGCAACAGCACCAGCACCAGCAGCAGCCGTCCAGGCACCACCGGCACCACCGGCAGCTCCTCCGGCGGCAACAACGGCACAAGCAGCACCAACCACGGCGGCCACGCCAGCGACACCGGCATCGAAGCCCATCTTTATCAAATTCAAGAGCAAGGCTTCGAATGCGTGAATGCGGTCGTCACACTCCTCTCTCCTTCTCCCAGTCTCCTGTATCCTTTATTCTCTATCCCTACACACCCAACATGAATACTTGCTTTTGTTCCCTTGTTTCCCTTCTTTGTACCAAAAGAAAAAACGGGCACAAAATACGCGTTTCTTTCCTCGTACCTGTCTCTTGTCCCTTGTCCTTGTCTATTATTTATGTCACCATTTACTACGGGGTCCAACCATTATTTGCCTTTTTCACAGGGCCGGGGGTGTTTTGTTTCCAGTGTTGTTCTCTCTCTTTTCTTGTTTTCTGAAAATGCATGAGCTACTGGAGCTACTGGCTGCGTTGTTCTTGTTTTTCTTCCTTTTGTGTATAGAGACCAGCATCTTGCCATACACCTTTTGCCTTTTTGCTTGGGACCTTTCTAGCTTTTCAGCTTCTAGCTTTTAGTACTTTATTCTTTCTCCTTCTCAATGTTAATTCAACAGGAATGAGCAGTGTGTGCCCGCCTTGGCCTTTGCCGTGCGTTCGTAGCAATGTTCCTATCCTGTCAACGAAATCCTATTGACGAGTCGTAAGCGTGTCGACGTTGTAGTAAATTGCTCTCGATATCCTTCGCGTATGCTTTCATATTGAACTTGGCCTTACCAACGCCATTTGCCTCTATCCTCTGTTCTCTGATCTTTTCTGATTTTTCCAACAGAAATGCAAACGAATTAACCAAATACCAAAATGTAAAAAAGCGGGCGTCCAATGTCCCACTCCATATGACGACATATCCTGTTTAAATGCCCGGAAGTACCCAAGAAACCCAAACCGTCCAAAATGATGAATAGCATTACCCAATATGCCACACACACACTTGCTCTCTCTATCGCCGCACTCGGTTACCTGCTCCACCGCCGACGCCGATACGCTCGTCCCGGCTCCGTGTCGAGCGCCCCTCGGAGGGCGTCGTGTTGGCCGCCGCTTGCTGTTGCTGCTGCGTCCGCCGGGACGCGCCGCCGCGATCGCCGGCATGCGGGTGGCGCGTGACGGGCGGCGGACCCATGGGCGCCGACGAGCCGGGGTGGTAGGTCGGGTGGCTCTGGTGGACGAGGTGCTGGGTGGCGGTGGTGGTTGCGCTGGGGTTGGTGGCCTGCTGTCGTGGGTGGCTCGGGTTGACTGGGGGCGTCGTCATTTGGGCCGCGGCCGAAGGCCCGTGCTGCTGCTGGGGTGTCCGTACCGGCGGTCCGGCTGCTGCTGCTGCTGCAGCTCCTGCTGTCCATCGTGCGGCGGAGCCAGTCGCGGCCCCTGGGGCTCCTCGCCGGGATGATGATGCCACCGCTGCCGTCGATGCTGTGTCGGGCGCCCCAGATGCGCCCCGCGGCTGAGCTCGTGCTCGCGACGGTGCTGGCGGGGGTTGCTGGTCCTCAATGTCCATCTGGCCGCCGTCGTCCGAGTCGTCCACCAGCAGCTCGTTGGCCATGGCATTGAGTGCGTCATCGTCGTCTTCGTCGTCGTCGTCGTTGGCTCCAGCCACCACGCCTTCCGCCGCATCTTCGTCGCCCCCCGCCTCCTCCGCCGCTGCCTCCTCCTCCCCCTCACTTTCCTCCTCCGCTTCGTTGAAACCGCCCGGGAACGGGCCCTGCTCGTGGTGCCGCTGGCCTTCTTGCTGCGTCCATCGCCAGGCGGCTCGGCTGGCCGCCGCAGACGACATGGCCGCCGCCGACATGTGGTGGCGCTGCCGCTGATAGTGGTAGGCCTCGGACGACATGGGCGGCGGCGAGGGCGACGAGGAGAACGGCGGCAGGTTCATGCCGCCCATGCCGCCCATGCCGCCCATGCCGCCCATGTTGTTGGCTGGAACGCCGTGCGCGTCCTCGTAGAGGCTGCCGGCTACCCCTTGCGGCTCGCCGTTGTAGCGGGCGCACTGTCGTTGCTGCTGCTGCTGCTGCTGCTGCTGCTGCTGCTGCTGCTGGAGGATCTGGATCTGCTGCTGCTGCCGCCGCTGCCGGTCTTGTTGCTGCAGCTCTTGTTGCCTTTTGATCCGATCTTCGTACGCTGCCACATCCTCTGCCGTGACGGCCAGCACGGTCGGCGGGCGCCGGAGCATCGTGTTTTTGTGAAGCGGATAGAATTAGATATTAAGAACAACGGCAACAATATCGAGTGAATTGCAGCGCAGTGGAAAAGACGGCTGGTTGTATGTTTGCTGTTTGCATGGCAATGTGGAGCGAAGCCACTACTGAGCCCAAAACGTCACTACGCGGTGGGTGCGCAGTTCTGGGGTCGCGTAAGTAAACAGTAATGGTGGGGTCGGTACGAAATACTTCGTACCGACTAACTAAGTTGTATGTCGAACAGAGCATTGCATTGGACCCCAAAAAGCTTACATAATACCACTACGGCCGCGCTTCACTACATTCATTCCTACACAATCGTACAGAGTACATCGTAGAGCTTCATGCCTTCTTTCTAGTATTCGCAGTGTGCAAATAATCCCATTGCGACATTATAAACTCTGCACCTTGATCGAGGTATCTCGCATCATGTGCAGCAGATATATATAGACACGGTACCGATCTGCATGCATCTGGCCACAAGAAATGCCTCCAGAATGCTCGTCCAATTCCTTTGTGCAAACGACGAGAATGATTTTTAAAGGTAAAACATGAAATCGGAGAGAAGAAACAACAGAGAGAAGAGAAGAGAAGCGTGGTATGAAATGCGAAAAGGACAAAACCAATGGTCAATGGCAATGAGAGAAAACGCCAGCCTTGGTTCCGAAGTTCCGATGATGGTAAAAAATAAAACGGTAAGGAAAACCTGCCGAAAGTAAAAGAGGGCAACTCGTCCCTGGGTAGTAGAGAGCAATAACGTATAAAATAGAAATGGAGGTGAAAGACTCGAAAACAATGGTACCATTCTAACGGCCAACAAATGGTGCGACAACGCCTCATGAAAATGGGTTCGACAGAAAAGGACACGAGGAAGTGGTATGGAGAAAACGCAAATGCACACATCGCATAATAAAAAATGGAGTATCATATGAAGAGAGTCATGTCATTAGACTAGGCCGAAAATGGCGAGAATATGCGTACACATGCAAATATATATTCATCTCGCCTTGACTGTGGGCGTGCTCCGTAGTAGCGCAACGCTGCTCACCACTGCCGGCGGCGCGACTCATCAATGCTTTGCCGGTTGGGGTCGCGGCCCAGCTCCGACAGGTCAAAGACCAGAGGCTCGTCGTCTGTTTCGCCGTAACCGCCGCCGCTGCCGCGCAGGCCGGACGACGACGTTTCGCCCCGCTGCTGTTGCTGCTGGGTTTGCTGCGTTGTTTGCTGCGTAGAGGTGGTGGACGCCTGCTGGTGGCGGCTCATGTACCGGCGCCGAGGCGAGGAACCAAGACTGCTGCCACCAGCAACTGTGGCCGAGCGGAGTACCGCCGCGGAGGACGCGTTGTCGCTGGCACGGTGGGCGTGGTCGTCGTCGCCGTCATGGCCGCCTCCACCGCGGCGCACGCCAGCCGAGCGGGACAGGGCACTGCCGCTGGCCGGACGCAGAAGACCCGCCGCAGCCGCCTTAAGGCCGGCTTGGCTACTGGCAACACCAACAGAGGCAGCACTTTCACGGGCGACTGCGCCAGCGACATCATCCGTAGATGCGTGATGGTGACCCGGGCCTTCCTGGTCGAGGCGGAAGAGCGCGCCAGGCGAGGGCGGCTCGCGGCTGCCCGCACCGCCGACGCTGAGACTGCGCTGTGCAAAGGCCGCCAGTTCGGCCGCATTGTCGTCGACGTGGTGAACGGCGCGCGTCTTTTGGACCGCCGAGCTCGAGCGGCGGCCACCGAGCTGGAGAAGGCGTGGGGACAGCGGGATGTCGATCGCCGTCGTGCCGCCCATACTGTCCAGCTTCTCGTTGTTGCTGCTATCCGCATCGCGGCCTGCATGGCCCTCACCGCCCTCGGCGTCGTTGCCGGCAATTGGGCGGGGGCCACCAGGCCGCACGCGAATCTGCCCTTGGTAGTCAACAATGGCATTTTCGCTCAGCCGTGACGGCACGGCAGGCGTGTGCGGCGCATGTGGCATGTTTGGCGACAACGGCTTGATGGGCGAGTGTGATGACGGCGACAACGACGTAGACGTGTGGCCAACCGCCGCAGCACCTGCAGCAGCGCCGGTGGTGCTCGAGGCGCCCGAGGCGCCCGAGGTACCTGTTCCCGTTGGATGGCGGCCTGACGAGCTCAGCGAACGCGGCATCTGCAAGGACGAGTTCATAGAATCCGTCAATGCCACGTTGGACTCGCGCATCAGCTGGAAGCGGGACAGCTGTGCCGCGGTGCGACGCGCCGAGTCGACGCGCTTGCTGCTGGATTCGAAGCTCTGGAGCGTCTTTTTGCTTTCGAGTGCCTTGAGGAACTCGGAGATGTTGTCGTCGTCGGTCTGAAAGGATCCGGAGCTGGCAACGCCGCCGACCTCGGCCAGCAGCCCGGAGCCGGGCTGGGCCATGGACGACGCCAGGCTCTGCCTGCCGCTGCTGCCCTGGTCATCTTCGTTGCGGCTCGCGCCGCCGAATGACGACCTGCCGCGCCGGTGCGTAAAGCTGCTGCTGAAGCGGCTGCCGCCCGCGAGACGGGGTGATGAGCTCTGGCCTGGATCCATCACTGCAGCAGTCATGGCGGCCGATGGGCTGCCCACGGAGGTCGAAACCTGCGGGGCAGCACGGAGCGATGCGGCCATGCCAGCGGTGAGCGAGCTGCGGTTTCTAGCCTGGGCCAGCGCGCTCAGCCCAGACATGGGCCGCGAGCCAGAGAGAGGCGACGAGGGGACCGGAATTTCATCCTGAGCCGTACGCGGTGATCCTGAGAGCGATCCAGCCTTGAAGGGCTGGAACGAGATGGATGTCCTGCGTCCTGCGTCCAGGTTCCGGAGCATGGGTGGTTTGGTCGAAACGGACGATGTGGGCGACAGACCAGCTGCGCGCCCGGCAGCAATTGGGAGGGAATTTGGAGGGTCGATATGTGGTCGCTGCTCCAGGCTCGAAGGACGGTACGACCCCGTTGGCGAGCTCGTTTCGGAATCAGCTGTGCGAGCCGCCTTGAGGGCGGTAATGGGGCTTGTGCCGAGCGCGTCGGCACCGTGAAATGTGGACAGGCTGCCGTACGTCTGCTGCAGTAGAGGCCGAACCGACGGCTCGGCGGCATTGCGGCCGCTGCGCTGGTGGGACGGAAGCGAGCCAACGACTTCGGCCGACGACTCCCGCCGCCTGTGTTGCTGGCCAGAGGTCTGTTGCGTCTCCCGCTGCTGAGGCAGGTAGATGTTGTCTGGACGCTGGGACGGTGGCAGCGAGGGGCGGAAGTAGTTCTCGTCAATGCCCATGAAGCGTGAGCTCAGGAGCGACTCAGAATCGTCGATGCGGAAGCTGCAGTCATTGCGGTAGGTGACGGAAGCAGAGAAACGCCCTACAGGAATCTCGAGGTCGCCAAACATGTAGTCTGTAACTACATCTCGGCCGTTGTCAAAGTTCAGAGGCTGGCGGAGATTGTCGAAGCGACGCGAGGCGATGCGCGCCTCGGCCTCGGCACCCGTGAGGATGCGGCAGCGCACCTTGAGCGCCGGGTGCACACCCTTGGTGGACGCCTGGCGGGAGAAGCGATAAGCGGGCAGAACGTGTGTAGTAACAAAGAGCGAGCGGAAGAAGACGATGCTGCGCTTGTAGATGGTGGGCAGAATGGGACCGAAGTCCTCCATCTCGTACTCGGCACCGCTGGTGCTTGTGCTGCCGCTCGTATCGCCGCCGGCGCGGCCCTTTCCGGTTGCGGATTCGTGGGCACTGCTGCTCCCGCTGCCGCCAGCGCCACCACTGCTGCTCTTTAGTAAGCCGGGGATGCACTGCAGCTCAATCTTCCAGCGCTCGAGGATGATTTCGGTGGATCGGGAACGGGTTGTGTTGCTATCGGACCGGCCGCTGCTGCTGCTGCCGCTGCCGCTGCCGCTACCACTGGCCGACATGTCGGAGGAGTTGAGCGCTTCGAGCGCGTCCCAACGCTTGCCGTTATCGTCGATAACAACAAGTGCTTGGCCGGCGGCCAGTCGAGAAGCGTCCAGGTAGGTCTCGATTATCATAGGCGGTGGCCGGTGGTCGAATCCGCCGCAGTGTTTCCATGTTTTGAGCTCGTCTTTGAAGTCGTCAATGTCCTCGGTTTCGATTTGAAACTAGAGCGATCAGTCAATACAATGCCGAGGCAAAATCACTGGCTAACAGTCTTGGCCGGCGTATAAACGTACCCATTTATTTGTCTTGCGTCCACGGCCACCGCCCGAAGGCGTGGTCGGGATGCGGGCCTGAAGGATAAGCACGGCAGCTTTGAGATGGAAGTTCTGTAGCGACGACAACGGTTAGTACGGGAGGGCATGGAGTGGGAAAACGAAGGAAAGAAGCCAAGAAGCAAGAGTCTGCGCACGCACCTGTATTATTTGGTCCAGCTTTTTAATAGATTCTTTGGTTGGTCCCCCCGATGCCAGAGCTGTTGTTGGCGCAGCACCACCATCACTGCCACCGCCGCCGACGCCATCGAAAGATGGACTCGGCGGCGCAACTTCAGAGGCAGCGCGCGGCCGGCTGGCGAGTGCGTCTCTCGGGTTGTTTGTGCGTGTGGGGTTGGTCTGGGCTGCAGTCGCGGGTGAGTAGCCGCCTCGCGGCGGCCGCGACTGTTGATGCATTGTGCGGTTGAGTGAGGGCGTGTGTGTGTATGTGTGTGTGTCGGAGAAGAAAGATGCTGGTGTTGTCGACGATGGGCAGAGGTCGATGTCGATGTCAATGTCGAATCGTCTGGAGGCCTGCTCTATTCAGAGGCGTCGACGCAAGCCAAGCGGCTCTAATCTGATGGCGCTGGGGTTGGGGGTTGGGGAAGAGAAGGGGATGGGAGAAGGGGAAGGGCACGGAGGTGAATTGGGAAGGGGAAGATGCGAGGTCGATGCGGCGAGCTACATTTATCTGGATTGCCGTCTTGATGGGAAAAAAGAAAGAGATGCGTGCGCCGAAGGCCGAGGTTGGGACGACGATGCAAGGCGTGAGGGTGCGAGGCGTCAGGGCGAAAGGTGTGACCTGAGTCGTGAGAGTTGTTCGTCGACTGTCGAGCTGGCGAGGCTGATGGCTGGCGGATGAGGGTTGATGTCAAGTCCAAGTCCAAATCGCCTCTTCGGTCGCCTCGGTTCACGCTGCTCGTCTTGAACCTCTGCTAGGCTGCTGCTTGCTTCAGTTGCCAGTTTCTGTTGTTTGCTTTTGCAGCTGCTTCTTGTTTGTGCTGGTCCAGCTGGTGCTGCTGTTGCTGCTACCTCATGCAGGACGGGGCGCGGCTGCAGCTGCTGTGTGGTTTGACGGGCCTTGGCCTGCGGGTGTGTGGCTGGCGGACCGGGGTGTGCGTTTCCCGTATTTGCGTGCAGGTCGTTTCGTGGTCGATCGTGTCGCCGCCAAACAGATACAAGACACAACAGAAAATGACAGGCCGAGTCGACAAACTGCAACGCAGTGCGATGGGAGATGGTGAAAAGAGGCAGAGGAAAAAGGCAAGGTCCAGTAGCTCCGCTCCCTCAAAGGCTGGACAGATCGGGGTGTTGGACGATGACGGTTTTGCCGGCCGATACCGTTGTAAGGCGGTCTGGGCTGCTGCTCTGCTGTGTCTTGCGTCGCTCAGTGTTCCTCGTGTACAGTGTGAGAGTGTGAGCGCGTGAGGTTGGCCTGGCGTTTTGCTGTTGACCTATGTGAATGGATCCCGGCTAGGCCCCTGTAACACGGTGTCTCAGCGGGGAAAGTCAAGAGGGTGTGGGCCGACTTTGGTGGGAACTGTCTCTGACGACAAACGGGCTGGCCTTGGTATGAAGCGCAACGCACGAAAACTGGGCGACTCGGAGAAAACCAGAGACGAACGCTGCAAACAATGCTGCAGCAAGAGGAAAGGAAACACAAGGGAAACAATAGGGAGACACAGAAAAATGAGCAGAGATGGTGCGATTGACAATGTCACCAAGATAAAGAAAGAAACAGGACAAACGGATCAACACAACAGTGTAACAAGACAACTAGACAGGGCCCTTCCAGAGTGACCACCTGCACCAGGTGATGTGCCGACTAGGGAGAGAGACGGAAGACAAACAAAACAGGGGATGGGGACAAAGCAAGAAACGAGAATGACCAGGACGGGAGGAGAAGAGCGAGAGGAGAGTCGAGGCCAGATAGGGGGGACTAAGGCTGCATGACTAGACCAGGCGGTAGGCGGGTGCCGTTGTGCTCGCTCTGCGGCACTGAACCGTCCAGTCTAGCGCAACGGATGGCTGATGTGGGATACCCGTTACGATAACAGAGGCGATGGCGCAGGGTGCGGTGTGTGGAAGAGCGTTTGATGTGTTTGTCTCTGCCCGAGTACGAAATACAATTTCTGTTTCGTTTTTGTTGATGTGATGACACAAAACGAATTAGGCAACCCCAAGTACCACTGAGGTGCTATGGCCAGGGATGAAATGCTCTTTCCTGCAGCTCGCTCTTTCCTCTGGTCGCCTATTCGGTAGTTCCTTCTCGATTGGGAACTGCGATGTAAAGGCCAGGGAAGGCGTGAACCAGCTGCAAGGCAATTAGAAGGTGGATGGGGCAAGCGCCAAGCAAAGCGCCATTCCCAGAACAGTGTCCAAGAGGGCAGGAGCTAGACAGGCCAGTGACTGCCTAGGCACAGAAATAGGGGATTGACCAGACCAACCCACAACTTTGGGGGGACGAGGGGAAGAGTGCGGGCAAGTACAAACAGGAGCATCCCGCTCGCACCGTGTGCACTTCTGCGAGGCCGACCACTGATATGTCTGACTCAGTAGTGAAGGGAGAGACAGAGCCTGAGAGCCTAGAGAGCCCTAGTGCGTGTTGAAGCACGCAGTAACACCACTGAAAGATCCCATCCGATGACGAAATTCTCCTCGGAATGTACCGGTTCTATACACAGCGCCAACAACAGCAGCCTTTGCTGAGAGATGAAGACAGCGTAATTACATGTTAGGATAACAAAGAAGAGAGATGCAAGTTGATGGCAAAATGGTCGAGATAATGCATCTTTTCGGCGGGTATCAGAATGGCGCAAAAGGCCGAATCTGGAGCCAATAGATCAACTGACACGAGTTTTACAGTGGGCAATCAGGTGCTCTCCACTCCTCGTGCACTGTATTACTCCGTAAGATATAATATTACAGACTGGCACGCCACAGCCCTGTCCACTGATTGGGTGGTCGGATCGCTGTAATTCCCAGCACGCACAGCGCTCACAGCGAGCACCACATGCACTTCCTCATCGCTTGCTCGCCTCGCGACGATAAGGGGAATCGCAGCGATTCCATCTAGCACCGGGCTTCTGTCGAGTGTACATCCATCTGTCTTACGGAGTATGTATGATAGGTTCGAGTGATAAACACGGATCGGCACAGGATTCGTCGAGGGATTTTTGGCGATTGTACCTATCCTGGGATGAAAACATATCCAACAGTCCAGTGGTCATTGAACAATTCGGTCTCATTGTTTCTTTAGTCTGTTTTCTTTTTCCCTTCCATTTTTTTTCTTTTCTTTTCTTTTTGTGGCTGCCGAATTCGTCGTTGAGATTGGTCAATGTTAGGCCATCATCCAGGCAGATGCTCGTTTCGAGCCTCAAGGCAACAACACAAATGGGCATCAAAAGTAATGCCAACCTTTGTCCATTAAACTGCTCCATACGTGCATCCTGCCGACAGGTTGACACTGTTGGAGCTACTGCGGGCACCCGCAAACGAGACCCCAAACGGTGCATGAGTGAGATTTATGACTGGTTGAACGGCGTTTGTGACTCCAAGCCACATAGTAATGACAGCAATCTATCGGCAGCTGGGAGTCATCAGGGAGGTCAAGGGTAGACGGGGCCTTCATAGAAGCGACGTCGAGGGCAAGGGAGGTTTGGGTTGGCAATGATTGACGCGGTGGTGGTTGTTGAGCGGACACAAAAATGACTGTCACTCTTTTATTTTCTAATTATTTTCTTTAATTTCCATAATTTTTCGTCTTCCAAACACGCAAGGATTCCCCCTTGGATGCCTAATAGGCTCACAACACAGACGCCCGCCTCACCTTTGCAATGCAATGACATTGGCCAACCAGATCAAGCTCGAAAAGCATTGCGACCTCGAAATAATGACCGAGTTGGCTTCAAATGCCAGACCTGTGTTGCTTTCCTATCATGTGGTTTTGTTGTTCCTTTTTCTGTACATCCTGACTGCATATTTTGTGCTGCTCCATCTGGGGCGAGCAATTATCAAAATGACAACATCACACAAAGTAGGAACCTGCTATGGCTGCATGCATACGCCAATGCATCGTATATTGTATATCGTGAAATTGTGGACTTGTGGACATGTGGAGATATCGGTTGAAACGTGTCGAGGTAAATTAGGCTGCCCTCTATTCTCCTGTTGCCTCATTCTCTGGGCCCATAGAAGCGCAACAGATCCCGCGAAACGCCATGTAAAATAGTCTAACACATAATCAAACCAAGAAAAAGCCAAGCCAGGGGACTGGCGGTGTATATACAGTTGCTGGAAAAGAAAATTCGACAGTTCAAAACAAAGCAGCCTGCAAAGCTGCGGGTAATATAGACATTGAAGACAATGGAAGCAACGAAAGCCACGAACATGGTCAAAACACGTAGCAGAGTGACAGCGACGGGGGACAAAGCCCACCTCGTCTATGCCTTGCCGCCTCGTCCACCACCACCACCCCGTCGTCGAGAAGATCCGCCTTCTCCACCGGCAGCAGCTTCCGCATGGTGCTGGCCGAGGCCATCCCCACCACCACGGCCCCCGCGTTGGTTGCGACCTCCACCGCCGCCACCTCCACCCCCTGTCCCTTCCCCTCGAGTCGCTGCTTTGTTGGTCGTCGATGGCCTGTGCTTGCGAGACGACGTCGACGCTGCCGCACTGGTGTTCTGGCGAGCATCGGCTGCTTTGGCACCCCTCCGTCCCTCACGGCCACGCCCCCCTTCACTCCGGCCACCACCACTTGAACCACTTTTGCCGCGTGACTGCTGACGCCGTGTCTCCTCCTCCTGCGTCCGCTGGCTCTCCTGGTCCCACCACTCCTGGAACGCCTGCTCCTGCTGAATCTCCTGCAAGCTGCGCTTGGCCACCGCCTCCTTCATCGTTTCCTGCTCGAGCTGTTGCTGCAAAAAGATGTCTGCCATGGTCAGGCCCAGCACAGGCTCGGCCTTGGGCGCCGGCTTGATGTACACTTTGGAGTGCGGTGCGAGCGGTGCAGCATTGGCTGGCTTTGATGACGATGAGCCGGTCGCGCTCGGCCGCGGCTGGCCGGCGAAGCGCGTGTCTGGCGAGGCGGTCCGGGGGCTGTGATGCAGAGGCTTCTTGCCGCGTGGCTTGGGCAGCGATCCCAGTGCAGGGTCGCCGGATCCGGACGGAGTGCTGGTGCCAGACGTGGCCAGGGGAGACGTAGACGGCGGCGGCGCAAGATGCGTGGTCGCGGGCTGCTTGGCCGGGCCCGCTGCCGAGGGCGATGATTGGACTGCGCTCTTGTCCCAGGCCGGGGCCTTTGGTAGGCTCTTGGCAAGAGACTGGGTTTGTTGTAGGAGCTGCTGCTGTTGTTGCTGCTTCTTTCGCTCCTTTTGTGACATCTTGGGCGCCGCAATTCTCGGCAACGAAACAGCCGGCGCATCATCAAGACCGGGTCGCTGTTCTTTGAGACCGGCCGACAGTGCAGATTTCCGGGGGTCGATGAAGGGCGCCGAAACCGTCTCCGTCAGGATCGAGCGTATATTCAGCCGCTCTGTCGGCGGTGTCGCCGCTGGCGAGCCCCACGGCTTGGCGCCGGTTTCTGCTGGCGTTTTGGGCGTCATTGTCGCTGGGGCCGGTGCGGGTGCAGGCGGAGCTGCACCACGTTTTGTAAGAACACCTGGGCGGCGTGCAGGTGTTGTTGGCGGTGCGAAGCTTGAGACGGGCGACGAGCCAGCGATATTGGCGTTAACCGCAGGCCGCGAATGGGACGGCGAGACACCAAAACCGCTTTCGTCCCGCAGAGAGACTGGCGCCGTCCCATCGTCAGGGCCGTCGTCGGTCCTCACCACAGCCGGACCGCTGCGGCTGCCCGGTCGCGTCCCTGCCAGGGCGCCGCCCGTCGCTTCGTCCTCTTCCATGCTAAACATGAGGTCAGCATGCGACGCCTTGGGCCGCAAGACAGGGCTCATCGGCTGCTCGTTTTTGTTCGTCCGAGACTTTCGTCTTGCGCGCTCGGCGCTCGGCGAAGCGGCCGGCATGAACAGGCTGCCGCTGCTGCTGTCGTCCACACTGCCAGCACGGCCCTTGAAGGAGGACGAAAGCGTTCGGCGGTCGTCGTCGCGGTGTGCCGCCTTGAATGCCATTTCGCGCACCCGGCGCTGCCGCTCCTCGTCCATGTCCTGGGCCAGCTCGGGATACTTGTGCAGGAGATCGGCCATGGCACGGCCACTTCGTGCAAAGGGCATTTGCGCCAGTTGGTTGTCGCGGACGACGGCGTCCAGGTCCTGGAGCAGCTCTTCATCGAGGTCGTCCAACAAGTGGTTCTCCAGCATCGTCTCCATCTGCAGACAAATGTATTCGAGAGCCGCATCTTTGAACTCGCTGACAACACAGACGCTAACGGTGTTGAGCAGGTGCGAAATGTTGCGTGTCGTAGCAAACTGGCCAATGACCAGCTGGCAGATCTGGGACAGGCGGTCGAGCATCAGCTCGTTGGCAATACTCAAGACGTCGAGCACGGCATCAAAAAAGGCCTCGAGGTCCGGTGATACCAGGCCGTCAAACAGCTCGGGGCCCACGTCGGCATACAGGTACTGAAGAACAAACTGGAAAGCCTTGGGGTCCATGTGCTTCAGGTCTAGCCTGATCTTGCTCTTCGTCACGGACTGGGTGGACGTCTGGCGGCGATTGGCCAACCATTGACCACCAGAGCGGCCGTGGAAGAGACCCTCGAACCAAGGACAGCGTTGGCACAGGAACACACTGTGCACAGGCAACTCGGCGCCGTTCAGTTCCAAAATGGCATCACCATCTTCAAAGAAGCGGCTGTCCTGCATGGCTACCCGGAAGTCGTCGTGCATTGTCTGTTTTGGTTCCGTCTGGATGCGCACGGCAGCTTCAAGCTGAAGCATGTTCAGGCGCGTCGCCGCCTTCATGACCTCCGTCCGGACGTGGCGGTAGCGATGCGCCAGCGGCTGCGCCTGGCGTGCATAGTTCCACACCGGGATGACCTTGTCCTCGTACATGTATAAAACAAGGTTCAGCAGACTGAGCAAGTCCAGGCCCTGGAAGGTGATGACAGCAACACTGTCCCCGCCGTCGGTCTGCTTTGTCTGGATGGACAGCACCTCGGCAAGCTCAAACGTGCCGTCGCCGTGCCGGCACTGCGCCAGTGCATCGCGCAAAACACTGCTGCGCGCAGAGACGATCCAGCTGTGCACGGGGATCCGAATCTCCGGCGACTGGGAGGTGCAGACCAGAACGCCCGGGGCAGGCGAGCCTCGATGTTCAAATTCCCAGTTGGCGAGATGGTCCGTCAGGTCGCGCTCGAGGTCGATGGCGCGCAGGATCTGGTAGGCCACAGGGCCAAGGCGCTCCTGGAGGGAGGTGGCGTCCCAGAATTTGAGCTTGTCAGCGTCCTTTGTGTCCGGCTCCGTTGATGTAAAGTCGCTGATGGCCATGAGCGGGCGGACGTCCTCCCACAGCGACTGCTCCTCGACGCCAATCTGCTCTTTGATGACGTCCGAGTCGCGCCGGATGGCCGCAAAGGCACCAAAGGCGGAGCTGCGCACGGTGGTCACGTTTGTGATGTAGGGCACTCGCTGGAACTTGTAGTCCTTCTTCTTCTGGTTCTTGATGGCACCGCCACCGCTGACATGCGCATCCTTGGCCTTGGCACGCTTGATACGGCGCCACACAGCGCCGGAGTGCGAGCATATGATGACAGAGCCTTGCTCGCCCACGTCCACAGACCGCACACCATCTTTGTGGGCATTCCAGATGCATTGCGGCGTCGTCAGGGCGTCGCGGATTTTGGAAGGGTTGGTGGTCGACGTAGCCGACTGGCTGCTCTCGGCCAGGTTGGTCAGGCTCATAGTGAAGAGATCACCACGGCTTGTGACGGCGGCAATCGTCTCCCCACCGGAGGCAATGTAGTTGATCTGGTTGCGGCCAGCATCGTAGCGCGAGGACATGTTGAAGTTGCCAAGACGATGGCCGAAGGTCTCTGTAAAGGGAAACTTGACAATCTTATAGCCGTAGCTCGTGAAGACGCAGACGGTGTGGTTCGCGAGGAGACACGTCGTGGCCTTGTCGATGGCCGATACGGAGACGATGGGCGACGAGAAGAGGGAGGCGGCCACTTTACGCGGAACGGTCTGTACGTCGAGCGAGCGCGAGTCTGCATCCATCAGTGCAAGCTGGCCGACGTTTTTGCCCCAGCAGTAGAGTGACGATCCCGTGTGAGCCACGGAGTGCAGGGCAGACGCAGCCACGCCCAGGATGGCCTCTTTCCGAAGAGGCCCAAACACTTGCCGCGGGGTGGCTGTCATGGGGTCTTGATCGCGCTTGGGCGAGGGCGGCAGGGCGTAGCCGAGCTGCGAGAAGGTGTTGGCACCCCAAGTCCAGAGCTCGCCGTTGTCGGTAACGGCCATGCTGTGGTTCTGGCCCAGGGCGACCTGGACAATCTTCCGGTCGGTGAGCGGACCCTGGACGGGCTCGAAGGAGAAGCGGGTGTTTTCGTCGCCGAGGCCCAGACGGCCGCCGCGGCCAATGCCGCACATGTAGAGGTTCGACACCGGGTCTGCGGTCAAGATAGCACTGTGCAACTTGGACAAGACCACGTCGTGGATCAAAAGGGGGCGGCCTTGGATCAGAGCGGGTATGTTGTCGATGCCGTCGGTCGGTGACGGCGAAATGTCGGTTGGGTCGAGCTGCTTGGTTTCTTCGAGATGCTCCTCGTAGAAACGGCGGACCAGGTGATCCGGTCGCTTGAGGTACACGCGCTCCGGGAACTGGCGGTCGTCACCATCGCCCATTCCGAGGGTCAAGTTCTTGTTGCTGCCAAAAAAGAAGAGGTCTTCGCCGTCGACGAGTGCCTGAAGGTTGGCACAGCCAGTGGGGTGATTTTGTTGGATAGCGTGATCATCGTCGTCGGAGTCGTCGCCGTCAGGTGCTGCCGTGTTGTCCAGGGCGGCGAGGCGCCGTTCGCCGATGATCGAGTTGTACAAGTCAAAGGGACTATTGCCCTCGTGGTCCTTGGTCTTGATCAACTGTCCGATACGGCCCACGGGCGCACCCAGGGTCTGGCCAGCAATGTCCTTGCGCTCCTTCAGGAGGAGCAGCCGTGCGATGGAAATGTTGCCGGCATAGAGGGCGCGGTGCAGCGCATTCCAGCCGCTTTCTGGGTCTTGTACGTAGATGTCGATCGCGGGGTGTTCGAGAAGCGCTTCGACGAAAAGAATGCCGGTTTCGGAAGTAGATGCGGCAGCACGAAGGAGGAGAGTCAAGCCGGCATGGTCCCGGCTGTTGATTTCAGCCTTGCCAATGGTGCCTCCACCACCGGCCCCAGCCTTGGCCGGACCAAAACCCGCACCGAAGCCGGACGCTTTGCGTGGTTTGCCGGCAGGAGCCCTTGGCGACGTCCCGTGGGGGCTGCTTCCGGCATCCCCGGAGCCACTAGGGCCGCCACCACCTCCTCCGGCGCTGCCGCCGCCGCTGGCGGCGCCTGCATTCGCGTTCCAAACAGCAGCTGCCTGGGCACTGTGGCCCGTCAGGGCGAGCAGGCGTCGAAAGCGCTCGACATTGTCTGCAATGTAGCACGACCAGAGTTGACTCATTTAGGCACAAACACAGTGCACCGGGGGTTGCAAAGACTGGAATCTCTGCAAGCCCCTCCTCTCCTGCTTCAGAAGCGCACCTCGCTGTGATTCTCAGGGACCACGGCGTATTTAAAGGCGCGAGAAGGAAGCGAGTTGAGAAGGACCTGCAACAGCCGTCGTGCGGTCGGTGTAAATGTCGATAGATGGCGAGCTGGTATGTTGGCCGGATGTTGAGCACGTTTGCCTGGTGGCGTTGAGAGAGAACAAAAAAAAACAGCAGATCGGATCAAGATGCGCCACGCAAGGCTGTCGGCGACAGGAGCCAAGACAAAAGCAGCAATCTGGTCTGGAGGGCGTTCGAAAGGTTGGCAGACGACGGATGCGTCTCACAGGTTACGGGCAGATCGATACGAGCAGGACGGGATATATCGTTCTCGGCTTCAAGTTGGTTCGATCCGTTATGTCCGGGCAAGGACGAGGACGGTATTGAGGTGGGTGCCGTCGACGAGCGAGTGGATATAAGAGTCGACCTTGTCGAGTTGAAAGACGGTACAGTTGATCAGGGGACAGGAAGAGGTCGAAGAGCGGCGTCGGCGGCAGTGTGGTTGGCGCAGAGGGGGATGTCGAGTCTTTAAGTGTTTTTTAATGAGGTCAGAATGAGCCAGAGGCAAAATAACAACAAAATAGTGTCTTAAATTAAAGTGTGTGTGACGCGCCTGCCACGATTGCTAGTGAAATCAACCCGATAAGTTCCAGTGAAAGGAAGGGGCGATTCGAGCTGCCAGCCAATCAAAGCGGCAGGTGCGCCGGGTTAGGGTCCCCAGAGGCTCAAAAGCTTCCTTTCAACGACAAAACGCCGCGGCCCTAAAGTGCAACGGGAACACGCCAGACACGCCGTGAAAGATCGCTTGTTTGCGGATGCGTCGTCATTGATGAACACGAGCCATGCCAGTCAGATGCCACGCGCTTTGTTAAGTCTTGTTTATGATGTTGTGCATGACCTACAATCGGGCATCGGGGCCACCCAAGAAGTCGTTTCACGTGTTTCTTCTTGCCGAGCGTGATATGCGCCGGTCGCGACTGCCTTGACCTTGTGCGCAAGCCGTCGCGGTGAGATCAGGCCCTACGTTTGGCGGGGAAGGAACAGGGCTGGGGGCCTGGGCCCGAGCCCTGATCGCGCTTTCTGCACAACATGTTCCACCCCGCCGGCATGCATCTCGTTCAGTGCTGCATGCTCTTAAATGCACTGACGGATTAGTCATTTAAACGGGCCACACCTACCTTGTGCAAAATCCCACCAAATTCTGAACAGGAAGTAGGCATACTGACTTGCACTGGGCTCTTACCTTCCAGGAAAATGTTGTCCTGTAAGTTTTACCAAAAAGCTTTCAAAACGAGCAGGAGCAAGCTTCAAGAGTCGCAGCAACGGAAGTCGTAGGTAGCGACAGCGTCCAACTGCGCTCGCTGCGAAGCTTGGCTTCTTTGCTACAAGCGGCAAGTGCGCTCGGCGGTCTTCACAGTGCCGTTGATGCCGGTTGTCGCGCCTGCCAGTACGTCCAAACCAGGGAATAGAAGGAAAGAGCGGCCGCACGCTAGACCTGCTAAGATTACCGATACCGGGTTCTTTCTATTCTGTGTTCCAGCGCTCTTCGCCGCCCCAGCGCCCACTATGCTCGGCCCCCCACCCCCAAGAATGCACCCGCAGTCATCTACGCAAGAAACCGCGCAATTGCACGCCGTGAGTCCGCCGATCGCGCACGGTAAAAGAGCGCCTCTCGCGCGCCTCCGCTGTGGGGATAGCAAAGGGACCAACAGGGGACGAATTATCGATAGCTTACACTGGGGGTTTCAACAGCGGCTTTTCGCGGCGGCTCGCACCTGCCTTGCCAAACATGGGGTGGTTCCTTCTCCATTTTCGCTTTTTCCCGCATTTTCCTATTTTTTTTTGTGAACCCCATAATTTTTTTTCCTCCTTCCGTTCTGGAGTCCGATACACGTACGGGGCATTTGGCTTGACGCCAACCCATTCTTTCTGGCGCAATCATATCGTCTGGCCGTCCCCTCCTTTTACTCACCTCTGTTTTCCTCCGCCGTTCTTGTTTTCTCATCCAGCGTACCTGGCTCCCTTGGATAGCATCATTGTCGTGTTTGCTCGCCTCACCCGTCTACCCGTCGCCGGCTCCTCCGTCCTCCGTCCTCCGTCGTCCCTCCTCGCCCCTCTTCGACCTTCTTCTCCGAGATCCGTCACGATGTCTGACCAGCCTCTCCCCTTTGTTTACCAGTTCGCCGCTGGGTATGTTTGCCAATTAGTTCAGAGACTGCGTTTTGTTGCTATTGTTGCTTGGTGTATGTTGCCATTGTCCGGCGCTGGATGCTCGTGATCGCCTCTGGGGCTGTCTCGGGGTATCTTGCGCCGGAGGCGATCGGAAAGATGTCCGTTGCTAACCGATCGTGTGTCCAGTGCGGTTGCCGGCGTTTCTGAGGTGTGTAGCAAGCGACCTGTTCCCGGCGGCTTGTTCGGGCGTGCCCGCAGTCCTACGAGACGGACACTGACATGGTGCTGCCAATAGATTCTTGTCATGTACCCGCTGGATGTCGTCAGTACGTTTTGTCTACTGTCTCCTGTTCTCCTTTGCCTGCCGATTCCGAGTCACGCCCGAGCCCTACTAACCTTACCTTTTCCCTGTACAGAGACCCGAGTGTACGTCGAACACGGTCCTTTCTGGAGACGATATGGAGACCAGCGACAGGAGGCATTGAAGATACTGGGATGCTGACCATATTGCAGCCAACTTCAGACCGGCAAGGGCACTGGCGCCGATTCGTACAATGGCATGGTCGACTGCTTCCGGAAGATCATCAAGCACGAAGGGTAGGTCGTGCCGACGAGACATTCGAGCCAGGTATTTTCATTCTCGGACCGACCGCTGACTCTTCGGTTGCAGCTTCTCGAGACTGTACCGTGGTATCTCTGCCCCGATCATGATGGAGGCGCCCAAGCGTGCCACCAAGTTTGCTGCCAACGACGAGTGGGGCAAGTTCTACCGCAAGGCCTTTGGCCAGGAGAAGATGACCCAGAGCCTGAGTGTCCTGACCGGCGCCACGGCCGGTGCCACTGAGAGTTTCGTGTAAGTGTTTTGGGTGGTCTGAAGATCTAAAGTCCTGACGGGCTGAAGAGAAAATGAAAGTCCCGTGCGCGGCCTAACTTTCCCCTCCAGCGTCGTTCCTTTCGAGCTCGTCAAGATTCGTCTCCAGGACAAGGCCTCGGCCGGCAAGTACAACGGCATGATCGACGTCGTTACCAAGACGATCCGCAACGAGGGTGTGCTCGCCATGTACCAGGGTCTTGAGAGCACCATGTGGCGCCACATCCTGTGGAACGCCGGCTACTTTGGCTGCATCTTCCAGGTGCGCCAGCTGATGCCCAAGGCCAGCAGCAAGCAGACCCAGATGCTCAACGACATTATTGCCGGTTCAGTCGGCGGTACGGTCGGTACGCTCCTGAACACGCCCATGGACGTCGTCAAGAGCCGTATTCAGAACGAGATCCGAGTGCCTGGTGTTGTGTCCAAGTACAACTGGGCTTGGCCGGCCGTCGGCACCGTCCTGAAGGAGGAGGGCTTCGGTGCGCTCTACAAGGGTTTCCTGCCCAAGGTGCTGCGTCTTGGCCCCGGCGGTACGTTTTTTTGCCTTTGTTGTCTATATCTGCCTGCTCTCTTTACATTCATTTTCTTTCGACACGTCATACTGACAGCGCCTCTAGGTGGTATTCTCCTGGTCGTCTTCCAAGGCACAATGGACTTCTTCCGCAAGATCAGAGACGGCAAGGCATAGATGTAGACGAGGTGGTTCGTCTCCTCTACTGTTCCTTGTTTCCTTGTCATTTTGGTTTTTGGTTGTTTGTTTTTGGTTTTGGACGAGGGCACACGTTGCACAAAATACAGGTTCTTCCCCTACACTGGGCTGGCCGTTTGCTTTTTGCGTCTCTTATATTTTTGGTTACATGGCATGCATTGGTTTTTCTGCCTTCCCATTGTTCTTCCTTCTTACCGATTGGATATTCATAGAGAGCATATTATTAGACGAAAGAGAAGACGAGCCGCACACGTCCACCGACAACGCAAGAAGCAGACAAAAAGCCAAAAAGACAAAATATGTACAGAAACAAAGTCACTACATTGTACCATTACACGTTTTTCATTGTCAAAACACAGCGTGTCCCATCTCATCGAAACCACCAGTTGACTGAAGAGTTGAGCCGCCCATCGCCGTGCGCGCTCTGCACGCTATGCCACCATCCTTTGGGGATAAACAGCATGTCGCCCGCGTCCAGCCGCGCCTCATGTATCGTCCCAGCGCCGCGTGCCCCGTCCTCCCCCCACACGGCAGCGTGCAGCAGCTCCCGCTCCGGCCCTTGCATCATCTCTTCGCCCCGGATGCGCGACGACACGCGGTGCGCCGACGTCTGCCGCCTCTTGATCAGCTCCGTCTGCACGGCCCGAAAGATGCCCTCACCGCCGGCCGGTGCCATCAGGCGCACCGTCTTGCTGCTGGCAAGCTGGCAAAACAAGTTCGGGTTGGGGTCGCGGTGCCAGGGCGTATAGGTGGGCTCGAGGCCCCACCACAGGCTGGCGTCGTAGACATCGCCACGGCCGGCGTGCTGCACGAGGTCGGGCGCCGGAACGTCGTCCCGCAGCGAGGGCGGCAGTTCGGCGAGCGATGCCTGGGCAATGTACAGCTGCGTGAGTGTCCTGTGGGATGACAAAGACCCCGTCGAGGATGCCGTCGAGCACGAGGACGGCCCCAAGCTGCTGTAGTTGTATTCGACGGCCGCCAAAAACAGGGCGAGCGGTGCCTCCAGTCGGATGAGTCGCGGCACGTCGCCGTCATGGGCCGGAAGGGCCGCGACGTAGTGCGTCAGAAGCTCGGCCAAGCCAGCACGAACAGATTTTGTCGTCTTCGTCGTCGTCGTCGACGATGTCTCTGAAGCTGCCGATACGCCCGAGGCAAGCCATGCATGGAAATTGGCGAGAGCTTGCCTTCCTCCAGGGTGTGGCGGGTACATCAGCTCGTACGGCAGCTGTGTCATGGCAAACTGCTCGAGATACGGTGCCAGCCGCAGAGACGGGCCGGCTTCGCCTTTGAACCAGCGGCGAGTCGCCGGCAGCAGTCGTCGCGTGTTGCCGTGGCTGCTGTTGCTGGCCTTGATGACAAGCGGTCGCTCCTTTCGAAACGCCCGCTCTCGAAACTTTTCGACGTCCAGGTCTGCAGTGTCGACCACAGCGACGGACTCCACGACACGGTCGTCGCCTTCCGTTTTGGAGCTGCCGCTATAAGGGCGACAATGCGGTATGACTTTGATCCATGGCGAGAGGGTGCAAGCGGGACGGAGAACGGGGCACAAGTCAAGCCTCCTCGGTGAAAGCATGAGTATAATCTGGCCTTGCGACGTAGCGAGACGCAGCCGTGAAGCAGAGCGTTGGTGTTGAAGGAATGTAGACGTGTTTTGGAGGGCATCCGTGAAGTACGGCGAACAGCGACTACAAATATCGCCATATCGTTTAGTGCATATTATGCACTTACACGGCTTACATCGACTGCAAATTCACACTACAAAAAGCACGTCACATAGCACGCAGACGGTGAAGGACTGGATGATTAATAAAAACAGTACATGGCTTTTTCTATCTTTTTAAGTTTTTCACGATTTCCACACCGGTCCAACCGTTTTGCAGCGTTTGCAACAAGAAACGCAAAATGCCGAGGAAGAGTAAAAAGGAAAAGGGCCAGATGAAGAGGTCGTCACGAAACGGCCCTGATATAAACACAGTGAGGGAAAGAGGAAAAAGGAAAGAGAAACGGGGAAACGGCATGAGACGATAATTTCAAAGGAAATAAAAAATAAAATAAAATAAATACACAGCCAGAACATACTCCTCCCATAAAATGCATGTGGCACACAAAGTGGGCAAAACATCCAAACACATCTCTTCCGTTCCCACAGTCCACCGTCCCACGCTCACCGTCCACCATTTTGCTGCATCTTGAGAATCTCGTTTTGGTAGCGCATCTTGAAGCCGTTGGTGAGGGCGCGCATGTCGGGGTAGGCGACCTTGAGCATCTCGAAGCCCTTGGGGATGACGCGGACCGGCCAGAAGTTGACGCGCGTGTTGCGGTTGACCTTGAAGCACAAGAAGAAGTAGCCGGGATGCTTGGTGTCGGTGCAGAAGGCGTACGACGACCGGTTGGGGTTGGCGTCCATGTAGGTGGTAAGCCATTTTTCTGGGGGGTGGGTGGGGGGGTTAGCAAGACTTGGAACAGAAAGCGGTAGTACAGGAGTACAGCACGACAGGAGACAGCGTTCGCTGCCGGTCCCCGAGACAACTCACCTGTATCGGCACGTGTGCCGGGCTGGAACTTTTCGTTGCGCGTCATCTCGCCGACCTTCTTGGCCATGGCCTTGACGTGCTCGACAATCAGCTCGTCGAGGTCCGTGTACGAGTACTTGCCGCCAATGCGCAGCAGCCGGCCGACGGAGAACTCGTTGTCCTTTTGCAGCTCCAGCACGTCAATGTGCTCGTAGACGCCGTCGGCGACCTTCCACGTCACGACGAGGTGGTCGTTGCCGCGCGACGACGGGCGGATGACCATGTCGCCGACGGCCTGCGAGCCCAGGTACTCCTCGGCCTGCGTGGCGTTGAAGGGCCGGAACAGCGGGTGCTTGATGACGCGCTGGGTGCGGCCCGTGGTCTTGTCCTTTTCCTTGAGGTCCTCGCGGTCCTGGTCTTCCTGGCGGAAGTCCCACGTGCCGCGCTCGTGGTCCACAAACTTGCGGAAGGGCCGCCGCAGCGCGTCTTCGCGCACCGACAGCTTGCCGATAAAGTCCTTGCGGTTGAGCTCGAGCAGCTTGGCCTGCGCCGTCTGGCCGACGCGCAGGGCATCGCGCAGGCCGCTGCCGCCGCCGCGCGACGACAGGGGCGCCTCGTGCGCCTCGATGCGGCCCTCCATGCCGCAGTCCAGCTTCACAATGGCAAAGTCGTCCTTGACCACGCGCACGTAGACGGGGACGATCATGCCCTCGCACAGCGAGTCCTTGGTCTCGCCCGTGAACATGGTGAAGACGACGTCCGGCGGCAGCGTCATAAACTTGTGCCGCAGCTCTTCATAGGGGGCCTGCAGCTCGGCGCGGATCGTCTCGAGCGTCGCGCGCTTGCGCTGGTTGTACTTCATCACCAGCTGCTCGGCGTACTCCTCGAGGATCAGCTCGTTGACCTTCTCCTGCTCCTCCTCCTTGAAGAGCTTGCGCACGATGGCGCCGGGCCCGTTGTCGTCGACCTCGGCCTTGACGTCCTCCTCGTCGAGCTCGAGCGCGTCCGCCGCCATCTTGCGGCCCAGCTCGTAGTCTTCGGGGTGCACGCGCGTGTTGTCGAGCGGGTCGGACAGCAAGTTGGAGCTGTCGTACTCAATGTACAGGAAGCTGGCGCAGTTGTTCCAGACGCGCGGGCCCACGACGGCCAGCTTTCCGCTGTCCGGGTCGCCGACCAGCTCGTCGCGCGACGTCACCGAGCCGCCGTTGGCGTTGATGCCCTTGATGACGGCCGTGGCCTTGCGCGGGCCCAGGCCGGACACGTACGGCAGCAGGTTGGCGGTGTAGGCGTCGCTGACGGCCTCGTTGATGTCGACGCCGCAGAGGTTGACCATGTCGACCATGGCGGACTCGAGGGCCTTGGCCAGGCGCTCGGCGGGCAGCAGGTGCTGGCACGGGTGGAAGACGAGCGACTGCACGTCCTTGCCGAGGGCGGCGTACTCCTTCATGGGGTTCTGCAGGTAGCGGGCGAGGGCGACGCAGTAGCGCAGCATGGAGTTGAGGGACGGGTGCTCGGCGACGGCGCGCGGGCTGTCCTTGTAGAGGCGGGCGACCTCGTCGTTGACGACGACGACCTCGAGCAGATCGCTGCGGTAGTCGTTGGTCTCGGGGTCGTCGTACTCGGGGCCCATGAGGCCCTTTTCGCTGATGAGGCTCTCGAGGTCTTTGAGGAGCTTGTGCGTGTCGGCCGAGAAGCCGCTGACGCCGACGACGTCGGGCCGCCGGCGCTTGACGACCTCGGCAAAGGCCTCCCGCTGCGCCTCGTCGCGGGCCAGGTTGCCGAAGCGGCCGTGCTCGAGCACGCGGCCGTCCTCCTCGACCCAGGTCCAAAACACGGGCTCGCGCGACGGGTCGCCCCTGCCGTTGGACAGCGTCAGGACGCGGGGCGGCGTGCCGAGCACGAGGCCCTTGGGCTTGAAGGGCGCCTGGTCGAGGCGCTTGGAGTACTCGTCGCGGCAGGTCTTGAGGACCTCGTCTTGGCAGGCGGTGCGCAGCGAGTCCTTGACGCCCTTGGCGATGATCTTGTCGAGCTTGGGGAAGGCCAGGTCGAGCACCTTTTGGCGCTCGTCGTTCCAGGCGTCGGCGAGCTCGCTGAAGTTGTCCGAGGCAAACTCGGTGTAGAGCTGGCGGCGGAACTCGCGCTCGTTCTGCAGGACCAGGCGGACCTCGACCAGCCCGTCCTCCTCGGCCCTCATCATCTTCAGGAACACGTCCGGGCGGCGCGCCATGTCGGCGAGGGTCTGGTTGATGAGGTACTTGATCTCGTAAAAGGGGTGGGCCTCGTCGATGCGGCGCAGGCCCTTGTCGGTGCGGTGGCAGCTGACCAGGCCGTTCTGGTAGTAGGCGACGCGGAAGTGCTTGCGCAGGCGCGGGCTGACGTAGAGCTCCTCGGCGTACAGCGCGCGGGCGGCCTGGATGACGGCGTCGGCGGTGGCGTAGGTGTCGTCGGTCAGGCTGTCGGCGAGGTCGACGGGGAGCTTGGCGGGGTCCTCGGCGGACGTTTTCTTGCTAATGCGCAGGGCGTTCTGGGCGAGGCGGTCGACGGAGATGCCGTAGGCGGCGGTGAAGGCGTGGGCCTTGGCCTTGCGGGTGCGCTCAAAGAGGGTCGTGGACTTGGCGCCGGGCCGCTTGGTGACGACGGCGGCGGCGGCGGCGCCGTTGCTGTGGTCCTTGTCACCCGCCTTTCCGTTGGCTGCGCTGCTCTCGGCCGCCAGCTCGCGCAGCTGGGCGGCGTACTGGAAGTTGAGGTAGTCCTGCAGCTCCTGCAGCTCCTCCATGGTGGAGGCCTGACCGACGAGGGCCTCGAAGACGGGGTCGTCGACGCGGTGGGACGAGGCGCGCAGGCTGTCGTAGGTCTTGTCGAGCGAGTTGCGCTTCTCGATGAGCGAGCGGAAGCGGATGTCGAGCTCGAGGATGCGCCACAGGTCGTCCTGGTTGAGCAGCTTCTCGGCGCTGACGTCGTAGTCGCCGCCGTCGTCGCGGTCGTCACGGTCGTCGCGGCCGCTGCGGCGCGGCTTGGCGTGGATCAGGTAGTCCTTGCGGTGCTGGAAGACGTAGGGGACTTCGACGTCGTCCACGACGAAGAACTCGAGGACTTTGCCCACGGCCTTGCTAAAGGGCTCGTGCAGGCTCTGGGGCAGCAGCTTGGTGGGCCACATGAGGTTGATGACCCAGCGGGCCTCCTCCTTGAACTGCTCGGGGGTGATTTGCAGGTTGCGGAAGGGCTTGCGGTCGATCTGGAAGCGCTCGGGCTCGTCGGTGTAGCGGATGGCGTTGTCGCTGTCGGTCATGAGCTTCTCCTGCAGCTGGGACGGCTCGAAGACGTCCTTGAGCTCGATGCCCTGCTCGCCGAGGTCGCGGTCCTCCTCCTCGTCCTCAATCTCAAAGACCCACGCGTAGTCGCCGCCGTCGCCGAAGATCTTGTCCATGTCGTCGAGGGCGTCCTTGTCGAGGCCCGTGGTGTCGATGACGCCGCCAATGAACCGCTCGCGCGGGCGGGCCACCTCCAGGTCCTCCTGGCGCCGCAGGCGCTCGTCCTCGTCCTCGGGGAAGTCCTCCTCGATGAAGTCGTCCATCTCGTCAACGCCGCGGTGGGCCGGGCGCGCATAGCGGCCGGCGGCGGCGGCGTCGTCGTCGTCGTCGTCCTCTTCGTCGGAAAAGATCTTGGCCAGGTCGGGCCGCTCGCTGCGTGGGCCGTCCTCGTCGCGGTGGCCGCGCTTGAGCCGCTTGAACTTGGGCTGCGCCGCGGCCTGGCGCTCCCAGTCGGGGCGTGACTCGCCAATCAGGTCCAGATCCTCCTCGTCGAGCTGGGCCTCCTCTTCGCGCTCGGCCCGCCGCCGCTTCTTGCGGCGTTTGCGTTCGCGGCCGGTGTCGTCGTCGCCATCGTCGTCGTCCTCTTCGCTCTCGTCGACGATAAAGCCTTCGCGGATCTGGAGAGAGACGGAGCGTTAGTCACAGGATACACAAGATGCCACATGGGACGCCAAGAAAAGACAAAGGACGAAACTACAGCACCTTGGCGGCCTCTTCCTCGTCGTCGTCGTCGTCTTCCTCCTCGCTCGAGTCTTCAATGCGCGACGGCCGCTCTCGTCTCCGGGACTGGCTCTCATCCTCGTCCTCGTCCTCCTCGCCATCAAAGGACTCGTCGTCCTCCTCGGAGCCAAGCTCGGCCTCGCCCTGGATGAAGTCGTCGCGTCGGCTCATTGTGCCTTGGGCGGTGGAGGGGGTGCTGTCGTGGGTCGGTCGTGAAAAAGCAAAAGAAAAAGAAAAAAACAAAACAAAAGGACAAAAGAGACACCTCCAAAGGCACAACCGAGTCTCGCGAATCGGATGCCCAATGCCGACAGAAAAGCAATGCACACAGCCGATGATGCTAACAACAGACAGGTCGAGACAGGCCGGGCGTGCCGTGCAGTGATGCGGACGTGGAGGTCGTGGAGGTTGTGGTGTGCGACGCAACGATGAAGCGATGGAGCGAAGAAGGGAGCGTTGGGGTTGCTTTGGTTTGCGCCACGGGGGAAGGCACGGGCAGAGAGAGCTGTGAACGGAAAGCGAGGTCGACTAGCCCTGGAGCGTAAATTTTCTGGCTGGCAGACGCGAAGGGAAGGGGCGCTGCAGCCTCACCGAGGTGGGGCATTCTATTGGCGGATGGGAGGAGAGGACCCATAGTTGACGGGCTAACGCGCACTGTGTGACCGCGCTCGAAGAGTGTGTGATACGGTGTATATTATGTATACGCACTGTTTTTGCATCAACGCCTCTGTTGTATGGCGCACGTCTTTTACTGCCATTGTGCGTTGGAAAGGGAGACGATTCGGACGGCCGTCTTTGTGTAAGAGAGCTGTGTATGCAGTAGTCACGTAGTCCTACCGTATAAAGGAAGAGTGCCGGATATGGACGGCCCTTGATGTCGTTGTACGAGCAGCGAGCGGACGGCCACGGCTGGTTGAGAGGGAGGAACGCAGGGAAGAAATGCTCGTAAACAACTTGCTGCGAAACAGTGCAGTGCTGCGGTGTCTATGTCGTACTTGCACGCGAATACTGCACATTATTCTTTTCTGCATCAGAACATTTAGCATATGCGATCGAGACGCACCCAAACGTGCGGTAGCCCTCTTCTCAATCGTGTGTCCGGGTAGGAGGTCCTTTTCTATTTAAAGACGACAAGATGCATTCAAGATATTCAATACGGTGTACGGCAGACAATCCAGGCGAGCGAGACTGTCTCCGTGCGGCTTACAAGGCTGTCATATTGGGATTTGGCTCGCTGGCGTGAAGCCGTACAGTGGACCCACTCCTCTACAGGTCGCGACTGCCGCCCGAAGCAAGGCTGGCACGCCTTCCTCCAGCAGCACATCGCACATAGCGTCCATCACCAACGCCGTCTCTTTCCAGCCTCACAGTTAGACACTCTCACAAGACACTCACGCTGCACCTCCGTCTGTGTCCACCCACCACCCCCACGCCATGCCCACGCATCTGCTCACCTAGCGAACGGGCCGATCGGAAGACCATGTCGCTGAGCACGCAGTTCCTCAGCAGCATCCTCGGCTTCATCAAGAAGCAGGACGGCGCCTCGCTGCGCCTCTGGCTGCGCGTCGAGCCCGATGCCCCGACGCAGTATCTGCAGCTGGGCCAGGAGCTGCGCACGCAGTTCCGCGGCGATGCGTCGATCCACAGCCTCGTCGAGAAGTGCCTGCCGCTCCGCAGCGACGACGGCGACGGCGGCGGTGGCGCGCCGTGGCTGAGCTTCATTCTGTTCATGAAGGACTACATGCTGTACTGGCGCGACGTCAATTTTGACGATCTTCCGGCACTATACGCTCTGCTGAGTGGGCTACTGACGTAGGTGTTTGTCTCTTTTTGTTTTTTTTTTTTTTTTTTTTTTTTTTTTTTGTTTTATCAGTATCGTCCTCCGCGCATACAACTAACCAGGCAGATCTTGCGCCACTGCGTTTACGCACCCCTCCGGGCCCGTGATGCTCGAGACCAGCGTGGCCATCTGCGAGGCATTGGCCAAGCTGGCGATGGTCATGCACCACCGCCCGGACCTGACGCGCCGCATGCAGCCGTCGGCAGCAGCTGGTGGCGCTGGCGGCGGAGGTACGGCCGCTGGCGGCGGCGGTGATGAAGAGCGCAAGTCGCTCGTCGAGAGCACCGCCGACGCCATCCAGAAGGTCTGCACGGCGTGCGTCACCGACCGCGGCAGCGCCCGCTTCGCCCGCCCCGAGGGCCGCCGCGTCGCCGTGTACCGGCTGGCCAATCTCGTCCTCAAGCTGCTCTTTGCCGGCGACAAGGCCCGCTGGGCCGCGCAGATGTTTACCAACATCACCAACACGGGTCCGCCGCTCGCCTTCTACCCGGCCGCCCAGCGCGTCACCTACCTCTATTATCTGGGTCGCTTCCACCTCGAGAACAACCACTTCCAGCGCGCCGCCCTCTGCCTCGAGGCCGCCTACCGCCAGACCCCGCCCGCCTGCCGCCGCCACCGCCGCCTCATCCTCACCTACCTCATCCCCGCCAACCTGCTGCTCGGCATCTTCCCCTCGGCTGCGCTGCTGCTGCGCCCCGAGGCCGCCGACGAGCTGCGGCCCGTGTTTGCGCCCATGGCGGCCGCCGTGCGCCAGGGCAACTTTGCTGCCTTCCAGGCCACCCTCCACGAGCACGAAGCCTGGCTCGTGCGCCGCCGCCTGCTGCTGACCCTCGCGTACCGCATGCGCCCGCTGCTGTGGCGCTCCCTGGTCCGCCGCGTGTTTCTGCTCACCTATGTGCCGCCGCCCAACAGCGACGCCGTCGTGTCGTCGGCCGCCACCGCGGCGCGCGGCCGCGCCGCGCCGACGCTCGACCTAGCAGACGTGCTCGCCGCTGCCACACTGGCACAGCACCAGATCGAGGGCTACGCGCCCGTCGCACCCACGCCGCGGCCGCGCGCCGAGCACACAAACACACTCTTTATGCGGGCGGTCGCCAACAACGCCAACGCGGCGAGAAGCACAGTCGCGGTGCCCCCCTCCGGCGTGCGCAAGCTGCGGCCCAGCGAGGGCATGGTGTGGGGCAACCTGCCGGTGACCATGGCCGACGTCGAGAGCGTGGTGTCGTCCTTGGCGGCACAGGGCCTGATGCACGGCTTCGTCGCCCACGCCGCTCACAAGTTTGCCGTTGTGGGCGCCAAGGCCAAGGGTGCCGTCCTGGCCGGCTTCCCGCCCGTCGCTGAGGTGATGCGAGAGCAGCTACAGCAGAGCGATGTCGATATAAACAGCGTGCCGGCCTGGGTCAAGGCACCGTGAGTTGGGGACGTGCCCATGAACGGCTTTGTATATATTGCTGGGCGTTGGAGCTTGGATTTGCCTACGACATATACGTTAGTTACCAATGGTCGACGAGACCACAAAGACATAGACATAGCACATTTTATATACTAGGGACCAAAATAGTTGTTGTCAATGTTTTATTTGTGTATGTTCCGCAATACAGCAGAAATATGTTATATACCTCCGTCCCCATAGACACGACGCTCCAATGCACAAATGCCCATGACCAAATGCAAACAGCGAGGCTCAACAAAAGATAATAAAAAGACTTGTCACTTCATATCAAAATAAATCATCGACCAGCCCCCTTCTCCAAAGAAAGAGAATGTGGCACAATCCTAACATAAATGACCTAAGTAAAGCGATGCAAAGCAAGCAATGTCATCTTTTCCCTTCCAGCAAAAGAAATAAAATAAAAAAGTAAATGGTTAGAAATGGAGAAGGGTATATAGTGAAACAAAAAGAGCAACCATATGCAGCGGCAGGATAAAAAAATATATAAAAAAATAAAAGGGTAAAAGAAGTCTGCCGCGCATAGAAGCAAAATGGATAAAGTAGAAGAAATAGAAGGGGGACCCGCTTTGCTCATATCCGACCAGGACCATTTTCCTGGTCGCCTACGACAAAAGCGGGTAAGAAGATGTAAAAAGGGAATAAGGTATAAAATGCTCGTATGATAAAAACACCTGGTCAACCCCTGCTGCCCAAGAAAGAAGAATGGCGAATAAAAAAAGGCAACAGGCTGTCATCAACAAGGCAATGGACTCTCCTGTCTAGACAGGAAAGGCCACGGGTATAGAGGTAATATGTACTGGCCAAATGGAGAACTTTGCAAAAGAGATGGCAAAGTCATGGAAGGCACTATATGGCGAGAATGGTGAAAAGTGGAGGGGTAAAAAAGGGCGGTTATCGACGTCAGTCAGCACAAGCGGCGACCAGTCGAGCCCGGGTGAAGAATCGAAAGTGAAATGTGTAACGTCAAGTGCTTCGTTTCGTTGTACTTGTTTTCCGTGTCTGCTTCATTTTTTGGTTTCGTTTTGGATATTTTTCGTATTTTGGTTGGCTTCTTTGTGTTGTGCTTCAAACAGCCTAATACAACCAAAGACTGGCAACAACAGCAACAATTAGGCCAACAACGGCAGCACCGCCCTGGTTGTGGCTGACGGCCTCGCTCTTGGAGGACGTCGAGGGTGACGCGCCGCCATTGGAGGACGACGGGGCACCGTTGCCTAAGCCAGTTGTCGGGCCAGTCACGGTGCCAGTCTTGGTCGACTGGGTGGAAGAAACAGTGCCGTTCTCGTGGAAGATACCACCCGCAAAGGTGGTCGGGCCGGCCGTCTTCGAGGTCGACGTCTTCCGCGAGCTGCTCGAGCTGCTCGAGCTGCTGCTGCTGCTGGACGACGATGAGGAAGACGAGGAAGATGAGGACGACGACGACGACGAGGACGACGAGGACGAAGACGACGTAGTCGAGGTGGTCGACGTCTCAGACGAGGATGAAGACGAAGAAGACGAGGACGAGGATGACGAGTGCGTGGACGGCGCCGCAGACGACGAAATGCCGCTGCTGCCGCCGCTGCCACCGCTGCCGTCCAGGTTGAAAACGACAATGTTGGCACTGCCACCCTTGGGGACGGTGGCCACGCAGAAGTCGGCACCGCCAGCACCCGACGCCGATTCGGAACTGGTGACGCTAAAATCGTGGATGTTGGAAGGGCCAATCTCACAGGGCAGGCCATTGCAGCCGCCACCGTTGCACTCAATGCGCAGACCAAAGGTGGGCTTCGTGCTGGCCAGTCCCGACGAGACGAAGATGGGGTTCCAGGCGATCTTGACGAACGTCAGGCCCGAGCTGTCGGTGTTGGCGCCGGCGACATACGGGCTCCAGTTACCAATCGGCTTGGCATTTGTACCCCAGATGCAGCCCTCGGCGCCGCTAGTACCAGGAGGGTTGACATAGTAGCTAATCTGTTAGAAACAAAATATCACAACGAGAGGGAGAGAAAGAGATAGAGGAGAACAAAAGACATACTGTGCAGCAGTGCCAGCCCAATAAGACGGGCCGGGAACAGCCAGGGTGCTTGTGCCATGAACGTCTGTGGGAATGTACATGCCCTCGTCGCCGGGGAGGACGGTTTGGCAGAACGAGACAACGGAACCACATTTGTTGACAGCCGAAACAGTGCCCGTGCCCTCAACACAGTACGGCTGGTCTGGGAACGACTTGACGGGCGTACCGTCGGAGCCACAGTACAGGCCACCGTCCATGGACTCCGGGTACGAGTAGGAAGTGCCGGGCTTCCACTGCGCCATCACCTTGCCAGAGGTGCAGGCAATGGGGCACCACGAGCCGGCCGTGCACTGCACATCGGGTGCCATGGCCCAGCCGCCATTTGATGCGCCAGGGACAGCATACAGATCCGGGTCGTTGGGCAGCGAGCAGACGGCGCGCTTGGAAATGTCTTTGGGGATGTCGTCGACATGGCTGCGGGAGACGGACTGCGGTGAAGAGGGCGAGGACGAGTCGCGGGTGAAGAGGGCGGGCAGAGACTCGATCGTCTGTGGCTGGCGCTTCTCGTCCTGGCGCGCCTCGGGCTGCGATGCCTCGGGTTGCCGCTCGTGTAGTGATGCGGCCGCGTTGTGGCTGTGGTGGTGAGCGTTGCGCTTGCCGTAGTGCTGGTGAGCCACACGGTGGCCGACATGCAGCTCGCCGAGGGCCGGCTGCGCGGCGCCCAGGACCAGCGCCGACGCGATGGCGGTCGGGACCGTCGAGAACTTCATTGGACGAGGATGACGTGTCGAGCGTCGCGTGGTCACGCTCAGGCGATGAGAGATAGAACGAAAAGAAAGAAAGGAAAACGCAAACACAGCGCGTGTGCCGTCCGAGTGCGTTTGATGTCGAAGAGGAAAGATGTTCCCCGAGGTGTGAAGCCAAGATCCTGCTGCCACAAAGATATCGGATCGTTCGTAAGTGCTTCTTGAGGATTCTTTCAAAGTCGTCCCGTAAATTGCGATTCGGCGAAAAGAGCCTTTGTTTGTTGCTTTTCTGAAGAATACAAAGGAGTGGTAGCGAAAAAAGGAAGGGAAGAGACGAGCGAGCGTCTTTCGGTAAACAGAAAAGAAGAAAAAAGATGCAAAAGGAGTGTGGATGTGCAGCCAAGGCACAGAGAAGGCTCTGAAGAGAAAAACGAGTGAAAAATGAACGTGTTGCACAGCAGAAAGAGACAGGGGGGAGAACAAGGGAAGAGAAAGAAAGACGAAGGAAAGGGGAGCCAGAGGATGAAAAGGGAAATAAGGCCAGTACCGAACGAGAAAAGGTTAAATGAGGCAGACCTCTGGGGCCGTGGGACTGCCTGGATGTTCTGGCCGGTGGACCACATGGAGCGTGACAAGGGTCGGAAGAGTTACGGAGTAAACGCAAGAAAATCTCTTCTGAGAGGCAAGCTGCCGTGTCTCGTGGAGCACATCTCCACCCCTGCACATCTTCATCTGAGGGCTCGTGAGTGCGCGTTATTGCGCCGTAATCTAGTCTGGGGATAGGCCCATAGTAGGGGTTAATCTGAAAACGGGCGACCGGCGAACGCCTCTTGCCACTGGCGAGCGGGACGTGCTCAAAACGGCGGCAGAAACGACACGATGGAGACGTACGATGTAAGATGAGGGCAGTGATTCAAATCGAAAAACAGGGAAAGGGGAAACAGGGAAAGGGGAAAGGGGCATGATTTTCTTCTTTCTTTTCTCGACGCCTCAGCGGACAGCCGTCCCGAGCCTGCTGGCCTTTCGTTTTGCTTTGTCTGCGCCTGCCCACCGTGGCTTGGACATCTGGAACAGGATGCTTGACCGCGTCCAGGCGTCGTGGTGCGGTTGTTGTGGCTGTGACTGGGGGGAGAGTCGGTGGAACGTTTGTTGACAAGGGGCTTGTTGACTTGGACAAAGTTTTGTTGTCAAGACCGCCTTTTTACGCTAGTCGAGCGGGTCCACATTGACAGTAAAATGGGGACGCGTGTGGCTGACTGCCCAATCATGTGGCGCAAAAAACAGGGGAGGGTATTAAACTGTCAGGTACACCAATCAGAGGGCTGACTGGAATTGGCGCTAGCAACGAGCCGAAATGAGCTTCTCGCGAGCAAGCATTTCCGTCAAAGTTACAAGCACAGGGGTAGAAGGGGCGGCAGTGGCAGAAGAGGCAACAGCGAACGTCGGTGTGCGGAACAAAGGGAAGGAACTTGTGGAGGGAAGGAGCGCACCAACAACTACGGAGCAACTTGCTTGCTACAAAGGAAAGCGCGAGCACCCAAGGACACTGAAGCAGCTCATGTCAGCTCAAGCTTGCTGGCAAAAACACTCTAAACATTGACAGGTGCTGCGTGTCTCGTGCGTCAAGCCACATCTGGCATGCTTTATTTGCGTCAGGGTGCTCGGACGCTGTCGTCTGCCGCGTCCGGACCGTTGTGCTTCTTCTTTCCTTGATTCTTCCCCTTCGAGTCTTCTCTATCGGACCGTCATCTATCTCGTCCCGTCTGCATCTACTTTATTTACAAGATATGATACTTGCAGACGGATGCGGGATGCGATGAACATGCGGGCGCGATCGATGCAATGACACACACTCGGTCCGTTTAGCACGCGAGCGAAGGCCTGTCGCCAACTCCAAGCACGGAATCCCTGAATATAAGGTCATATCGATCCCGTGTGGCGGACAACAGGAACGACGCAGCACCCGTCTTTGGGGGGCCATGCAAGGCACAAACAAGCAATCCCCGTTTTCATATGGAAGCGCACATTGCATCAAAGGCGGCCAGCCTCTATAAGTGGCGAACCGAGTGAAGCGACGACAAAATTAGCGAGCTGCGGTGTTGGAGCGACGGAAGGGAGAAAAAATGTGAGCCAGAGCCACAATATTGGCTCAATGGCCACGAGACGCGGCCCCGTTTGCCTCCCTACGTCGTTGCCTCGTTTTCTCTCTTTTTTTTTTTTTTTTTTTTTTTCGTTTTTCTCGGTGTCTCTTTGTCTCGGTGTCTTCTGTCTCGTTCGCTTGTCTCCCTGATCTTGCCGCGTGGTCCATGTTCGACCTGGCCAATGCGTGTCAGCAGCATGACCGCGGGTAGGGACACAACATGTGCGAAAGGGAGAGCGTTACGGGACACCAGGGAGATGCACAGCAGGCGGCAGTAGGGAGAAACAGCAATAGTAAAAGGTCAAAAAGACACTAGCCGACAGGCCACGGGTCACAGAATCCAATCTCCATTCTTTGCTCGGCGCGACGTCCAGTTGACAGGTCGAACCAGTGCTGCCAGAGCTTTGCTTTCCTGGTCAATGTTTACATGAAAACTTAATCGCAGCATGCCGCAGGAGAACGATCTGCCGGTTACAGCATGCCATGTCATTGCGACACGCCAGTGCTTCGATTCTGTGTGTCTATCAAAATATACTGCAAGCTGAAATCGTTTGTTTCTAAATGTCTTGTTCTGCCTCTCGTCATGCAATGTCCTCTCTGTAGCTTATGTTGTACAGCACTCCGCGTCAGGCTTGCGCCACCGTTGCCAAACCCCTTCATTCCTTGCAGTTTGCAGTTCTGTCTGTCCAGACGGCGGGGACGTCAATGTAAAGTCTTGTCTCGGGAGTAGATGTAGGGTGAGTTTGCCGTGGCTTACTGCCGTGGCTTGTCAAATCTTTGTGCGACAGAGACAATTGGTCGCCATTCAGCCGTTGTCCTCCGTTTTTGTACCTGGTGTTCATAGAGTGCCTTTTCTCGTTTCCTCTTTGTACGTACACCAATGTCTCGCTCCAGAAAGAGACGCGCCACCAGGAAAAACGCCCTTTTGCAGACCTCTGCTTGCTATTCCGGCCTTTGACTCCTCAGTACGGCGTACAATCTACAATAAAGAGGGAAAGGGAGATAAACTTCAGAAAACAAACAAGCAATCAAATGACACCGATCGCGATGAGCGATCGACATGCTCCTGTCGGCCGTTTCTCATGGCAATGCTCCCCCATTCCGTTGACATGACATTCGCATATCGGCTTTTTACTTGGTGTTGTAAATCAATGCAACAGTTGGAGGTGCGCAGGCAGGACACGGGTGATGCGCATGCTCTCGGGTAGAGTTCTCGCAGTGCGTGCGGAACACGCTGGACGGCGATCCCAAAGTATGAAAAGTGGACAAATACGATGTGATGAGCAAGGAAGACGGGACTGCACCCAAATGACGTTCTGGCCCGGTGCTGATCGTTTAGGAGCGACAGGGAGCGAAATAGAAGAAAACGTCCCAGGAGACTGGCGAGGCGACGATCGTTTTGGCTTTATCCAGAATGCCGGCTCGGGACAGCACATCGTGGGAAACAAACCTGGCGCATGCATGTGAATGTATCAACGAGCTGTACAAACCCGTCAAACTATACGGGCTTGCATAAATTTCCCAGCATTGACACGTAAATGAGCGGTTGCTATATCTGCCAGGTACCAGTAACAACATGGCAACGTCGGATAGTTCATACTCGGTGTCGGATATTTCAGAAGGGGAAAATACGAGCAAGAGACGGATGGGAAAGACATCGGAAACCCGGCATGATACATCTCAGATGACAATATAATAAACGTGGGATGCCGGTAATTATTACTGGTGGTGGCTAATTATACTTGTCGTTTTCATTAAGGTTTCTCAAAATGTTGGTTTTCAGACGAATGGTGGCACAGTGGGGAGGAAAATATGGCAAAAAAGGAAGGGGAAAAAACGAAAAAAAGAAAGAAAAAAATGAATGAAATCACGCAGAAACTAAACCAAAAACCAAAGAAAACAATTCAACAAAGGACAATAAAATCATTGAGTTGAAATTTCCTGCTTGACAGGTCTGCATCCTCACCCATGGGTATGCATGCGTCATATCTGTATTCGTAAAAAATGGGACACTTTCGGCGACGCCCAGCTTATCCAAAAAGGTCGGTTGGAGAGAGAAAGTGCCATGGCTTTGTTTGCGGCCGACGCATATCTGTGGACTTTGCACGCAGACAATGAGTCTGGTGATTTCGACAACGTCCTTGGTGTCCCACTGGCCAACACTTTGTCTAGAGACCAGCGGGAGCACCTTGAGACTGATGCCTGTTCCAGCGCTGGTTGCGCTTAGTTAGGGCCCTCGACCTTGCTGCTGGTGAGGACAACAAGAGGAACAACAATCGCCAGGTACACGACGTTGACGATAATCGAGAGCACCTGCAACTTGATGTACAGCAAGTACACGCGCTTCCACGAGGCGCGCGAAAACGTGCGGAAGGCATCGCGGATCGTGACGTACGAGCGGCCGCCGACGACGGCGGGCTCGACCGTGCCGTTGAAGGAGCGGTCAAACGGCACGACGGTGTCCTCGTCAGGGGGCAGAAGGCTGGCCTGAACGCGGACGAGGACGACGTTGGCGGGGATGGAAAGGACAAAGACGAGCACAAGGGCCACCACGAAGAGAACAATCACCTTCCAGATCAAGTCGTGCGAGTAGGCCGGTACCTCGTACGGCGGGCCGGAGTGGTGCTTAGGGAGGTCCAGGGCCTTGGTCAGCAGCACGCTGACGAGGGTGGTGACGAGGCCGGCGGCCCACTGAAGGAACGCGGGGATGGAGGTGGCCTCAAAGGTGCGGCGGAAAGGCGGCAGGTTGCGCCACACAGGGGTGGAGGACGGCGTGGCGCGGATGACGGTGTGCACCCAAGCAGTTTGCAGCTGGACAAGGCCGAGGGCCACAATCAGAGCAGCAACTAAGCTCGGCACGAAGGGAATGGCCGCCACAGCGGTCGTGCCCACGGCGGCGAGGATGAAGATGAGGACCGCCAGCCAGAAGCCGCGGTAGTTGCCACGCCAGCCGTTGGCAGCACGGAGCAGCTTGTACGTGCGGCGGATGCTGGCCGTGACGGGCTTGCTGGGGGGTGTAGCCTGAGCAGCGGCCTCCTCGTCGGCAGCACCTTCATCGGCGCTCGGGGCAGCGGCCGGGGCAGCATCATTCTCATCACCAGCAACAGCCTCGTACGCAGCCGGCGTCGGGTTCTCCACGATGGCCAGCGTCGTGTAGACGGACTTGAGCGAATAGGACGTCTAAAGCGGGTCAGCATTGCGAGGGCCACACGCATGATTTTCACGTTTCCATCACTTGTCATCACGTACAAAAAGAAAGGCCGGCACAAATATGAGCGTGATGAGGGCAACGAGGCCCCAAGTCAGCGGCGGCAGTTTGTAGTTGGGAGCATCCGGCGTGTCTTGGTCGGGCGCATCAGGGTTGTTGCCCATGCTCCGCTTGAGGACGGCGAGGCCCACAGCGGCATACTGGAGGTGTGACATGGCAGCGGCCGTGGAATGCGGACTGAGGTGGAAAAGACGTGGCGTTGATGGAGTTCCAAAAAAAGAAAGAAAAGGTCTCGCGAAATGCCGATGAAGACAGATGCAGAAAGGAGGTAGAAAGAGGAGAGAAGAGAGGAAGAAACGAGGAAAGAGAGGCACAAAAAGCAAAGTGGGCTGCGCCTTCCTTTTGTTCAATGATGAAAGCAAAAAGGGCCGGGCAACCCGCTTCAACAAAGAAGCAGCGACCGGCCAGCAAGCGTCAACTTTGTCACATCTGGTGAGGGCCGGCGTCGAATGCCCCGTAGGCAACCATATTTTGGGCCTAGTCGCGCCAAGCGCAGCAGGATCACGCTGCGGCATGGGGAGGAAGGCAGGTACCCAAACAGGCTCGCAGGCCGCAGAGGTCCTTCCAGCCCACAAAATGGAAGGCTCAGCACGGTTGCCAGTTATGGGAGGACCTAGCAGCCTGGGTCGCTCGGTTTGCTAGCCTTCCTTAGGTCGCTCCTGCCACCCGTCCAAACAGGAGGATTCACTTGGGGTAAGAAACGGGACACGGCGTAACACCTTGCGTAAGAAACTAGAGGAATACGACGACATGGTTGGCTGAGCACATTGTCGGATGACGCAAAGGGACGGTAAGGCACCACAAGCGACACGAAACAGACAATTTGTGGGTGTTGCGTGCAGCGTTGAATGTCTTTCTTCGATCTTTCTTTGGAGCTCAGCGATCGCCCGGTGGCGCCTGCCGCCGATGAAACCGCGACACCATACGTCATGGCCCCTTCACCATACCTTAACGAGCTGGAGGCAGGTGCGACGGAACAACGGCGAGAAAGGCAAGAGCTGGAGAGAAACACAATACCATTTACCGATGATTCGTCGCTCCGCCGAATACGAGTATCCTCCGAATGTGCACCGCTTTCTCGCATTAAACATGCGGAGCAAATTGTTCAGATGCCGAGAGCAAACGGTCACGCTGGCACCGCCATGGTAGCTTTGCGCAGGTTGAAGCTTGTTTTGCGAGCTCGTTGCAGGGCCTGGGCAGACGCTGTGAGCCAATCGTTTCGGCCGCTAATGGACCCACTCACACGCTAGGCGCCAGAAGCTTGGGGGAAGGAAGCTGCGCCAGTCCCTTCCTAGGGTGCACAACCCAGATCTCAAGGCTGTGCAATCATCGTCCACACGGTCCACACGGAATCTACGCTCTTCTCGCAGCCGGGCCAAGGACGGGGTGGAGCAGCATTGGAATCATGCGCCGAGCTCTGACTAGGACACCACTTGCGTAATTAGCCGACGACAAAAATAGAGAACAATGGTCTCACCGCCAAAGACCGGGCCCCCACCGCCGGGTTCCCGGGCCGTTTCAACGCCAACTCCGACTCCGGCACTGGACTCGGCATCAAATCCGACACCAAACCCTACACCGAGCCTGACACCTCCACAACCCATGGCGGCTCCGTCTATACCGAATCTTCTTGGCCGGCTGGGCAATGGACCGCCACGGTCGGGCCGCGGCGGTCGCCGAGGAGTCGGACGCGGAGGCAGCTCTCTCGGGGGACCAACAGCGTCTGGGCCAGCGCGTTTCGCACCACCATCACAGCACGGCGGCGGCATGTCTGGCAAAATGGACCACAGCGGCATCATCCAGAGCACAGACACCGACGCGGCGCTGTCGCGTATGAGTGCCGTTGACCTTGGCCTGCTGCAAGACCCGTTCGCCCAGTACTTTGCAGGTGACGGCGGCGGACCAGCTCCTCGACGGCTGCCCATTATCAACCGAGGTGAGGATGCAGGCGAGAAAAGGTACCGTTCGCTTCAATATATACGCTGGCATTCGCTAACCGTACCTGTTAGGCACGTACACGCGGACTCAGGGCCTGGACAAGATTATTCGGGCGTTCCTGTCCGGCGCGCCGTCCAGAGAGGCAACGCCAGAGCCGTCACCACAAGCAGTACAGACACCATCGCCGCTGCACGTCCGGCAAATCGTCTCTCTCGGTGCCGGCACCGACACGCGGAGTTTGCGGCTGCTGGCACAGAAGCAGCCAGACGGCCACGCCGCCTTCCAAAACGTCATCTACCACGAGATCGACTTCCCGACAGTCTGCGCCCGCAAGCGCAACATCGTGCAGTCTGTGCCCACGATCCGGTCATTACTAGAGGGCCCAGTAACGCAGCATACGCCGCTGGCTGGAGCCATAGGGATCCACCGCAGCTGGCGCGTGGGCCTGGGGCAGGGGAACGAGCTCTGGGCCCACGGTCTGGACCTGCGAGAATTGGCAGCGGGCAGCGGCAGCAGCTTCAGCACCAACACGACCAACAGCGAGGAGGGAAGATCAGACGTTGTCCTGGCTGGCTTCCGGACGGACGTGCCGACCCTGCTTGTGTCCGAATGCTGCTTGTGCTACTTGCAGCCGCCCGAGGCGGCCGCGGTGCTGCGCTGGTTCGCCGACCGCATCCACCCCCAGCCTGCGTCGCTGGCCGGCCTCGGCGTGGTCATCTACGAGCCCATACGGCCCTTTGATGCATTCGGTCGCACCATGGTGGCCAACTTGGCGGGCCGTGGGATCCAGATGCCGACGTTGGCGGCATACCCCGACGGCGTCGCGCAAGAGGCGCGACTGGTGCGAGAAGCAGGCCTCGCGCGGGCCAAGCACCGGACGATTGATCAGATCTGGAGCGCGTGGGTGGCCGCCGAGGAGCAGGAGCGCGTCAACCGGCTTGAGGGACTGGATGAGGTCGAGGAGTGGGCGCTGCTGGCCAGCCATTATGTTGTTGTTTGGGGATCGCAGGGCGCATATTTTGACACGGCTTGGGCGGAGTTGTACGAGCAGTAGGAGCGGCATCCTGGGACCAATTTCCAAATATTGCGGAGAGAAGGGGCGCATTGCATTACGTTCGTATCAAAAGCGCACGGCATTACGAAAGAATGCCTGTTGAAATAGCCAAGAGTAACAAAACACATCAAGAAGAACGCTCTCGTTCGCCAAGGACCAGTACAAACGCCAAACGCATACCAGACTGCCAAGGGCAGGATCAAAACCAGCAAAAACATAAGACGCAAAATAGCCGGACAAGTCCTCATACGCCAGCTGGGCAATGGTTATTTCGGCAGCTCAAAGCCAGAGTCGACAAAACAGACAAGACTGAAATAGACAGAGTGCAAAAATAAGTTGACAAATCGGTGTGCCAAAATAAATCAAAACTATGCAACACAAGGTTAGTATGACATGTTATGCAACGGTACCTGAACTGTCCAACAGAATGGGGGGGGGGGAGGGGGCAATATTTACCAGCTTGAGACTTGGGCGCGACGACAGTCGCGTGCCGTTGAGCATGGCGCGGTACTTTTTCTGGCGCACCTGGAGCCGCCGGAAGGCTTCTTGGATGTGCTTCACCTCGACGGGCGTGCGCCCTTCGCCGGGCAGATTGAACAGGCCCTGGGCCAGCTTGCGCTTCTTGGAGCCGCGCGCCTCGTCGCCTGTGCGCTCCTTCCACTGGTCCTCGTGGTCCTTAATGCGCAGCGCCTCTTCGGTGAGCGTCTGGACCATTTCGAATGTCAGGAAGCCCAGGATGTCGACAATGTCGTCGGACGGCTTGCTGTCGGTAACAACGCCGAAGCCGGCCCACTCGCGGAAGCGCTTGCTCTTGCGGTACGTGAACGACGCCTGTCGATATTCGGACCACGTCACGTACTCCTCCCGGGTCATCGCCTTGGTGCGCTCGTCTGCCTTGCGCAGGCGCTGCAGTGTAATGTAGTTCATCTCCTCCTCCTCCTCGTCTTCCTCCTCGTCGCGCTCCGGCACCTCTTGGTTGAAAAAGGAGACAGGCTCCCACGGCAGGACCTGCTTGTTCTTCTTGTTCTTCTTGGCCGCATCTTCAACGGGCGCACCGGCTATGGGCGCACCGGCCACATCATCGCCACCGCCAATGTCCACATCGGCGCCCTTGTCGTCCGAGTCCTTGACGTTCTTGCGCACGTCCTTCCACGACAAGAAAGTGCGGAGGCGTGACACCTTGGGCGCGTCGTGCCGGATCTGGAAGATGAGATCATTAATGGTGATACTCCGCGATCCACGCCGTGCAGCTAGCTCCGTGCAACTTCGTAGCTATAAAAGAAGACAAAAGGGTTAGACAATAATATAATAATATGCAATGGCGCGACAGTCGGCGTTGCGACAGTGGGTGAGCATACCAGTTCAATCACCTGCTGCCGGACAATTTCTTCGATAATAGAGAGTGTCTCTAGAGATGGTTCGCCAGTCTCGCCACTGACGTACATCATCTGTATAATGCTTTCGCGTAAGTCATTGCGGATTCTGGCAAGATTGGGCATTGGGGTAGTATAGTGCATCTCCGTGGTCTGCATGTGCGCCCCCGTAGGTGTCTCCGTAGGGGGCTGTTGGTTGTGTCTCGTATACTGCACGGGCTCTTCCTTCTTGGCACTCTTCGCTTTCTGGACTGCGGCCATTTCCTTTTGCTTGACAATCGGTCTTCTCGCAGGCTTCGCCCGCAGTTTGGCATCTTCCCTCTCCCGTCTCTCCTCCTCCTTCACTTCCGCCTCTGTTTCGGCCGCAATTGCCGTACACTTGGCCGAAGCTGGAATGCCCTTGGGTTTTGCTCGCGACTTGCGGCGTTTGATGGTGGTGCTGTTCTGGATCATCGCGTCCGCCTTGGCGGCCTTGACACAAACGCCGGGAGGGTAGAACACGCCAGTTGGAGGCGTCGCAATGGAAGGGGCATCCTTTTTGCCCACACGTATCCGGCCGCCGTAGCGAGGAGCCCGTACTGGAGCTGTTGTAGTCGAGGGTGCGGTCGCAGCCCCTGTCATCGCAGTCGTCGGCGCCTTACCCAAATGCACAATCGTCGATGCGGTTGCAGACGCGACCGCACGTGGTATGGGCAATACAGGCGTCAAGTGCGGAGCGTCCATGGCCATGGAGCCGGAGCCATTGCCCTGGTATGGCTCTGGGAGCACAGGCGGCAAGAGAATGATGGGCAAAAGCTCGTCTTTTGGCTTCATCATTGTATGCAATAGCAGAAGTCCACTTGGAAGACGGCTGGTGGTTCCGTACAGAGTGTGAAGCAAAGAAAAAGGCAAAGGGGTCCGAAAAGTCAAAAGGTCGAAGTCGAAAAGCCGTATTACGGCGTGGACGAAACGACATCGAGAATTGAGCACGCGTGGGAGAGCGTAAGAGCACGCCCCAAATTGAGGACAAAAGCGAAGGAAAAACTAATAAACAAACAAATACCCCTCCTCAAAAAAACGTGGCCAGATACCGACACTTATCAGCGCCCGACGAGCGTTACACAGAACGATAGCGATCTTTGTCATCGTAGAGTGGAAGCCTCCACCGTCCAAGTCACGTCGAAGTTGCTGCACTTTGCAGTGTGCCGGAGACAGGAGATGCAGGACACGACACGGAAAAGAACATGGAGATGCATAAAGGACGCAAAGAACCGGGATGACTACTGACCTGTTGAATCTCCTGCTTGTACTTGTTTTGCTTGTCGCGGTCGGCCATGGTGTCGGATGCTATACGGGCAGCGGGCGCGTGGTCGAGGCGGACTTCGCCGGTGGCCGTATTGCTGACGAAGGGAATCGACCAGAACTGAGCGACTGGGATGCGGCTGCTTCCTCGTGTCGCCCCGATGGATTTGGATCGCAATTACAACAGTACACGGCGCCACGTCGCAATGCGCAAAATGGAGGCCCGGTAGTAATACAAGCGGTAGAAATAGAGAAAATATAACCAAAAAGAACGTCCAAGAATGCACCAAAAACGACCGAACGAATACTGATAGAGGAGGCCGGGGACGGGCGTGGGTGTTGTCGCGATGCCGGCGAGCCAGGAAGGGAGCTGTGGTGACGGTTTGCGGAGGAGATGTCGTAGACTGGCGACAGACGGTTGGTGGAGCGTGGGGAAGTGAACCTTGCGGGCGTGTCCGTATTACCTAATCGAATCACGTGCAAGTCGACTAGGAGTTCAATACAGTGTGCATACAGTGTAAGTATTATTGTCATGTTGTCGCACGGTATTGTCTCAATTCTCCGACCGGCTATGTTCGACGTACAGTGCCTCAATCATTACATGGTATTACATATGCGTAAGTTTCTTTTGATTTTTATTGGGACTCATAGGGACAAATTATACTTTATACATAAGGATAGCTATATAGATATGTTGCCAAAGCAAAGGCGTGGCTCGTAACCGCCGGAAAAAAGGACGTGGGAATAAAGACAACGGCCTGTGAAATATCCAACAGACGGGGAATCGAAACGAGAAACTAAATCGGAGAGAAAGCAAAGGGAAATAAATAGAGAAGAAGAAAACATCCGCAAGTCATAATGGTACCTAGGACTGAACGTGAAGCGTCCTTCTAAAATTCATGAGGCAGTCTCATCGAAGCCTGGACAAAATATGCGTAACAAAAGGAGGGTTGTTTGGAATTTCAACTTGAAATCGAAGGAACAAAAGAAAGCTTGTGGGACAAGAGCATAGGGGAACATTTTCTTAGAACACGGCTGTCCCTTGCCGGATGTTTGTGTACCTGCTCGTCGGGAAACTGAGGAGGTTTTGGCCCCCGGCAGGCTGGGCAAACTGCTTGGCAAACAGGCCGACCAGGCTGCGTTCGTTGTCGGCGTCCCCGCTAGCTTCCCAGAAAAAGACCCCGCCGAGTCCGTTCTTCTGAATGTACTGCGCCTTGTGGTAGGCCGACTCCGGGCTGTCGTAGCTAATGAGCTCTTGCGTGGACTCGTCATAGCTGTACGCTCCCACGGCCGTCTCGTCAAACTTTTCGTCCGCCCCCGGCCGCGGCAGGCTCTTGTAGGACCACACACCCTGTCCCAAGTTGCCGCTGCCGACACCCGAGTACGAGTCGCCGAGGCCACCGGTGGCATCAAATGAGCGCCCGTACAGCGGCAGGCCGAGGTTTATCTTGTGCGCGGCGACGCCGTGGCTGCGGTAGTATGACAGGGCGGTGTCGGTGTTGACAACCGTGGAGTGGGCCACGCCGGGGTTGGCATAGACGTTCGCCTGGTGGCTCGCGGTGGTACCCCAGCTGCCGGCGTAGTCGTAGGCCATAAGATTCCACGAATCCAGGTACGTGTTCATGCCCGCAATGTCCATGGCCTGGTAGTGGTCGGTGCCGGCGGGGCTGGCAAACGAGAGGAGGAAGTGGTAGCCCGGGGCATATGTCGCTGCATAGGCGTCAAACGCGTCACGGGTGGCTTTGAGCAGGAGGACGGCATTCGCCTTGTCTTCTGAAGTCGCAATATATTCCCAGTCGATGTCGGCGCCGTCAAATCCCCAATCTGTCACAAGCTGCACCGTCGTGTTGGCAAACTGCTTCCGGGTGGCGGCCGTCGATGCGGCGGCCGAAAATACGTCGCCCTGGCCGTAGCCGCCGATGGACAGCAGCACCTTGAGATGGCGGTTCGCCTTCTTCAGAGTGTTGAACTGCTGGACGTAACCACCTGCAGCAGCACTGCCTACTCCTCTGACCGAGTCTGACGACCACGTCGAGCCAACATCTGTGGCTTCACTGCCGGAGGACCTGAGTAGTTGTTAGAGTGACTAGTCTTGACGCCTTTTTTTTTAAAAAAAAAAAAAAAAAAATTAAAGAAGAAGAAAGAAAGAACTCATGTTCTGTTGAATGCACTCACACTGTGCCATCGGAGGCAATACTGGCAAAGGCATATAAGACATGGGAGATCTTGTTGACCGGAAGCTGGTTTGGCTGGATCTCGCCGCTGAAGTATTGTTAGCAGATGCTACAGGAACTGTATGAAGGAGAGAAGCTCAATCTAAAAAGTAAACAAACCCATTTGAAAAGTACAGGGAAGACGTAAAGCCACCGCTGGAACCACCACCAACGGGAACGGCAGTGCTGCTGGGGATCGATCCTGTGCCTGATAAGCTGGGCACCGTTGCGTTGGGCCAAGAGCTGGGTGATGGGCTCAGAACGACGTCCCTGTCCTTGACATATGCGGGAGCGGCCGCCACCTGCGTTGCCAGAAGCCAAGAGATGGTTGCAACGGAGAGAGACTTCATGGCTGTGCAAGCGAGTCTTGTTGAGTTGGTGTAAGCCAAATATACTGTAAGCGCTGTAAGTCGGATATAAACACCAAAAAAAAAAAAAGAAGACGATGACGAAAATGGCAATTTCAAAATTATTGATATGACACTTAAAGAAAGCAAGAGAAGATGAAGATAGAGAAAAAAAAAAAAACGAAGAGCTTTGAATGAGCATTCGATTTATAAATACAAATTATGCCAATGTGTACGTCGGGAGGTCCTGGTGAGGGTTGTCAAGGAATGTAAATCAGTGGATCTCCCGCGATGTTAGCCACTTGGACGCTTGGCCGAAGATAATCGACCAGAGAGGCTGAACAGAAAAAAAGAGCAGCGCAACGAACGAAATGGCCTGAATAGTACCGCAGTCTAAAAAAAAGAAAAGAAAAGAAAAGGGAAGGCGTAGCGAAGAAGAAAATCATGAGAAAAGAGACAAAAAACGAAAGATCAAAATTTTACATGATACTCGGAAGCTCTCCGCTGTATACATGTTTTTGTGGAACTGGTGATGGTCGACATGAGCAAAAGTCATGCAACGGAGTATGGAAAAGAGCGGAGGTCGGAAATAATACAGCATATAGACAAGCAGAAACAGAAAAAACAGGTAACAGCTGTTTTGAGACCCATTTTGCTTCGCTCAGGGGCCGCTTGCTTGTTGATTTCGCGGCGTGCAATTGATTGCTTGCCTTTAGCCGCATGTCATGCCTGCCAGACTCCCGGAGCAAACGCAAGCGGGCGAAGGTGTTCAGGACAAATATCTGTGCAGCATTTATTAATCAAATAAAAACACAACCCAACTTTTGAGCATATAATACCATCAACGTCGGAGATGAAACGTTTGGTTGGTTGTTGCGGTTCAGCAAGGCTTGGATTTAGAGATGAGACAAAGTCACGGGACCCTTGCCGATCAATTCTTCATCACGGCCAGTACAGATACTGCCAAACAGGAAGATCCGAGACTGGAAAATGGATGGCAGGTGAATTCCTGGGCGGCTGTTCACTTGATCGGCCGGGCGAGGTCGGCCAATCGACGCCGGAGGTCGCATTGTTCGAAGGTGCTGGCAACCGGCGAGGCTGTGAACATCACAGGAAGCGCGGAAAGATCATCTTCAATGAGAGGTCGGTCATGCCATTTGTAGAGCGCCCCCCTATAGTCAGAACCAGTTAATACGGCCCGAGTGGGATCGCAGATTCGCGAGGCGAGGCGGTTCTCTTCTTGGCCCCTCACGACAGGTAGCCCACACCCTGGCGCAGTTTGAGTTCAAATGTCATTGTACAATTTCGGAATGAAGGGAAGAACAAGCAAATGAACTGTCAAGGGAAAGTATAATCATAGCTCCCAATAACATGCTGTAGGGCCGTGACTGCGCGATGATCGTCTGGCAGAAGCGCCGGCGCCACACATGCTTTGATGCCGCTGATGGCGATGGGACCTGGATTCTGTGTTTAACATAGTACTAAGAGGCACATCCTGGATACTAGGAAGCGGAAGATAATGAAGCTTAGTATGCGACGAGTCGTTGAGAGAGAAGAATAGATGAAGTCAACAAAAGATGGTCCCTGGGAACACAACATCCAAAAAAGGGAACTGGAAACCTTGGTCATTCGGATGCTCTTGCTACTCTATTCGTCGTTTCGGCGGGAAGGCGCGAATGGCTAGGCCGACAGTCTCTCTCAAGGAAGGCGCGGCTGCGGTTACATAATTTCTTGGGGACCTTTTGCTCGCGCGGCGATAGTGCTGACCCGCTATTTCTGCCGCTGGCTTACGCCGTGTGCTTCTTCCGTGTCCCCCTTTCTTTCGTCACCGCTTATTTTCCACAAGGGTTCAGGCCAACGCCATCTTGCACAGCTCCCGTCAGACGTGCACACCCCGGCGACGATCGTAGAGCATTCTCCTTTCCCACGGACCAAACCGACGACCCATCCGACGACCAACGCGACAAAACGCCCGACTGCCGCTCCCTTTTCTAACATACCACAATCAATCGCAGTCTCGTCTCTGCTCGAGGGTCGGTCTGTAGAACGGCACACCCCGACCGCATTCTCTTTCTCGTCGCCCCTCCCCGTCCTTCTCGCCCTCCTCACGTGGCCGGCCGCCCCGCCCGTCGCCCGGCGCCCGACATGCTGTCCTTTATCCTCATCCAGAACCGGCAGTGAGTCTCGGCTATGATGGACGTTGCAGCTTTGTCGAGACGCTGGATCACGCGGAAGAACTAACCACTCCCACACGTTCACGTTTCCAGAGGCAAGACACGGCTGGCAAAATGGTACGTGCCGTACACCGACGACGAGAAGATCAAACTTAAGGGCGAGGTCCACCGTCTCGTGGCGCCGCGCGACCAAAAGTACCAGAGCAACTTTGTCGAGTTCCGCAACCACAAGGTTGTCTACCGGCGGTACGCGGGCCTCTTCTTTTGCGCCTGCGTCGACACCAACGACAACGAGCTGGCGTATCTCGAGGCGATCCACTTCTTTGTCGAGGTGCTCGACGCCTTCTTCGGCAACGTGTGCGAGCTCGACCTGGTCTTCAACTTTTACAAGGTGTACGCGATCCTCGACGAGGTGTTTCTGGCGGGCGAGATTGAGGAGACGAGCAAGCAGGTAGTGCTCACGCGGTTGGAGCACCTGGACAAGCTGGAGTGACGCAAGTGACGCGGGTGCAAGGGAGAGGCATGCAACAGAGAATACGCGGGGGGGAAGGTGGGTGACACGAGCAGTGGTATAACGGGCATACGACACGGCGTTTTTGGGTTCACTTGTTCGATCTTCTTTTGGCAGGCGTTCTTGGACAGGGCCAGTCCTCCCTTTGTCGGACATATCAATACAGACGTTGCTGGCGAAGCATTGTGTACTACGTGGAATGACATGAAAGACAACTCGTAACTGGCTATGAGGGGCAGATGCATGCGACGCGCGAGGAACAGGACTGACATGGAAAAAAAAGAAACAAAACGCTGTACATAAAAACGAACTCCAGCGCTCCGACCATCGCCTTCTATGACCGCTTCAGTTCGGCAAACCGCCTCGCCAGGTCGTCGTCCACCGTGTCCTTTTTCTTGGCTACGAATTTCCGGGCGCCCGGGTCTGCAAAGGATGGCCTTGGCGCTGGTTTTGCGGCTGCTTGTGCTGGGCTGCGCTTGGCGGCCGTCGGCGACACGGGAGGCTTCAGCTCCTGCGAGTCGAGCGTGACTTTGGGGTGGATGTTGTCGGTGGAGGGCGTGGGCGGGTTGACCTGCAGCGGCAGCGGCGGAGACTCGGAGACGTCGTTGGTGGGCGGCGTTGCCCGTGTCAGCTCCTCCTGTGTCTTGGCTTGCTTGGCCGACGTTGGCGCCGTCGTACCGGGGGGCTTGCCTGGCGTCGACGGAAGTGTGAGGTCCCCACCGCCCCCACCAGCACCACTGCCGCCGCCGTCGTCGTCTCCTTTCTCGTCGTGTGCTGCGGTGCCAACGATGACGGCGTCGTCATCGCCGCCGTCGTCGAGCAGGCTCGGCGGCTCGCCCAGATCCACGTCGCCGCCCGCCCGCCGTGGCCACTGCACACCATACGCGCGGGCAATTTCTTCCAGGTAGCCGTTGACGAGCTCATCCGGCGGTGGCACCACGCTCAGCTTGCGCACGACCTTGGGCGACACTTTGCTGTCTGTGTTCTCCATGGCGGCCAGGACAAACTCCTTGCCGTAGCGCTCGCCCAGCAGCTGGCGCACGACCTGCAGCTCCTTAATCTCGGTCTTGGGCGCCGCGTAAATGATACTCTTGACGGCCTCCTCGAGGCCCGGGTCGCAGGTGTGGCTGTCGAGCAGGCCGGCGCGGGCGATGAGCAGCTCGCAGTACAGCTCGAGGATCTCGTGCAGCTCGGAGGTGATGTCGGAGCGGATAATGTTCTCGACGCGGATGCGGGCGGAGTCTTCCTTGCCCGCGTCGAGCAGCTGGGCCATGTTGCGACGGGCCACCTTGGCGAGGGCCTCGTCGCGCTGCTGCACCATGCGCAAGCGCGCAATGGAGAGCTTGAGCTGGACCTTGATCTTGGTCTGGGCTTGTTAGAGAGCAATCAAGAGTAGGGGGAGGGAGGGGGAGTAGGGCAAAGAAATCGAGCCGCTTGAGCTTACAACAAGATTTGCTGGCGGCATGGTGGCGGTTTGGAGGCCACAAGAGTGTGAGAGAGAGTCAGAGAGGGGCAGAAAGGGCGTCTCGCGGGAGACACGGAGGTCAAGCTGATCGTCGTCGATGAAAGCGTGTAGATGTGTCGTGACAGAGGTCAAGAGAAGGCTAGAGACTACGTCGTAGGAATTAATTACTCCCGTAGATGAGTTGCGAATATGGGCTGCGGGGCGATAACACAGCGCATTTAGTGGCCATGCCGCAAATATGACGCTGTGTCCCCCACAGCTGGCAGGCGCAGGCAGAACCAATGCGGGAGGCGCGGGGTATCGTCCTAGAGCTCTGTTGCCTGCAGGCGCGAGGAAGGTGCAGCTGGCGTCTAGGCCAGGCCTAACTGGTCCAGGCTCTGGAACCATTTCGGCCGCTTTTGTATGTGGAACAGTGCCGAGAGTGCGTACTACTTAGATGAGGAACAAAGAACAAGACAGTTCGAGAGCACATCAACACGTCGCGGTAGAAAGATCTCACATTCTGCAACGGGACTTCTCTCATATGTGGATCCATTTGTTCTCGAGCGCGTCCAATAGCAGTACACTGAGGCGATCTCTGGAAAACGTCCGACATGCTCGACCTGTTCCCGTGTATGATTGGACTTGTGACATTCCTGCCCATGCCACGGCTACGAAGCTTTGTTGTTGTCTGATACTAGTGACCTTTCCAGGCCTTTGAGAGCTGATTTGGTAAGATATTGTGTCTCGGGCGCCGAGATGAAAAGACGCCGTCCCAGTGTAGCTCGCTTACAGATGCTCGTACAGCTTATCGGATAGCTGCTGGTTCCCGACGGGACGGTAACACCGCCGAGTTGGGCATGACGACGAAGAACGAAGCGAATTCATGTTGTCAAAGGTACAGTTTTCTGTATCTCATAGAAAATAGCTGTCTTAGGAGGAAAGGGAGTAGCTGTCCGATGTCGGCTCAGATGAAGAAGCACAGGACCGCAGAGTGATGGATCGTGCCTTCCCGATCTGGCATATGTCTGTCCGCTGCTTCCGTCCCATCAACACGACGAGTCGCGTCGTGCGACTGCCCTCGCTGCTTTTTTTGTTCCCGCCGGGGCAGGAGCCGTGTCTGTGTCTTCGCGCATTGCACGGTGCACCTTCCATCTTGTGCTCTGCAGTATTGTTTTGTTTTCTGTCTCGTCTCTTCTTCCTTCTTTTCTCTTTTCTCTTTTCTCTTCTCTCTCGTCTCTTGTTTTCTCTTTCTTTTCAACTCTGCTGTTCTATTTCTCCCGTCAAACAGCTATCTATTTTCGCCTTTCCATCGCGTCGCCATCTGTGACGTACATGTCCTTGTCGTTGGGTTGTCTTGCTTTCGGATTCAGCCTTGCGTTGTGATTCATTTCGTTCTTTTTGTCTCCCCTTGCCCTCTCATTATCACGAAATACTTTGCCGCAAAGCCAAGGCATCAACTTGTCCCACGATTTGTGATATACAAAACTTGGTCGCTTTCAAGCTGTCGAGACTAGGGCCACCAATGGGCAAGATGGGCAAGATGGGTATGGCCCGGTCGTGGACCGTCTTCTCACGGCCCCGCAAGACCCTGTATCTCGTTCTCTCCCTGATTCTGGTCTACGGGTTGGTGGTCTCATGGAGAAACGCTTGGAGCCTCGCGTTGGTGCTGCGAAAGACCGACATCGTCACGGACGGCCGGGTAATTGGTGTGGTGCTGCGACTGAGCGGCGTCGAGATCAAACAGTTGGGCGAGGAAGGGTTTGACGAAAACCAGCTGCCCTTTGACGATGTGAATATTACGCAACGAAAGAGCGATGACGAGATCCGGAGAGAGTTTGACACGGAGTTCGAAGAGACGGGAAAGTAAGTGAACGGGGACGCGGAGAGGTGGTTGTTGGTGTGAGCAGGCGACTGACGAGACAGACACCCCGGAGCAGGAAAGTTCTACGGCGGCACGCTGTCGAATCTCGCAGCCCCAGCAAATGCCAAGAAGACTAAAATCGCCGTTAAGCTCACAAAGTGGAAGACGGCACCGAGCTTCAGCACCGAGCGCCCGTTCAAGATGGATCCCTACCCAAACTACAACTCGTGGTCATGGCGGCGGTCGGGCAAGGCGCGTTATGTACCTTGCAAAGGTCCGCTAGGCCGGTCTGTCGCGGACGTGTCTGCTTTTGTAGGACTTCCTGACGGGTTTCCTTCGCCCAGTATCGGAAGCTACGACGTGTTCGCCATTGACCAGCATCTGTGCTACGAACGAGACACCCGGCTGGGCATCTACGCTCTGGCCGATGGCACGCGCGACGAGATCGACTGGGGAGACGTGCAAATGGACTGCGTCGACCGGAACCAGGCACGCTTCGACCTCGTGGGCCCGCCCAACGACCTGGTGACGACTGTGTACGGCGAGATTCCTGCCGTGGACACCGGCGTCTCGACGGAGCGTCACAAGCTTCGCCGACGGACGCCAACTGTCGATGCACTGGATGAAGAAACCAACAACGAAAATGGCCAACGGAGGTCGCTGACCGAGGCTGTACACGAACAGCGGACGGCCATCCTACTGCGGTCGTATACGGGCAAGAAATACACGGAAAACGACCGATATATCATCCGTGCGCTCGTCGCGGAGCTGAGCCTGCGATCGGGCGGTGAGTACCAGGTATTTCTCCTTGTGCATGTCAAGGACGAGGGTGTCAACCTGTGGGACAACCAGACGTACGAAACGTATCTGCAGGAGTCCGTGCCCAAGGAGTTCCTGGGTATGACGCTGCTGTGGAACGACGATTTTGTGCAGGAAACGTACCCCAAACTCGAAAAGGGTTACGAGGCAAGCGTGCACAATGCGCAGTGGCTCTCGGTGCAAAAATTCATGCAGGAGTTCCGCGAATTTGCGTTCGTCTGGAACTGGGAGATGGACGCGCGCATCACGGGTCACGCCTACGACATGCTTGAGAAACTCGGGCAGTTTTCCAAGCGCCAGCCTCGTCGGGGCCTGTGGGAGCGCAACGAGCGGTACTACATTCCCGGCTACCACGGCGTCTACGACACAGACTTCCGGCTATCCGTCGAGGCCATGTCGAAGAAGAGTGCCGTATGGGGCCCTCCACCGGACACGCCGTTCATCAACCCTATCGGCCCACGACCACCCACCACCGCGCCTCACGATGACAAGTTTAAATGGGGTGTCGGAGAAGATGCCGACCTCATCACACTGTCGCCTTTGTTCGACCCCAAGGGCAGTGGCTGGGTGCTCGGCGACCAAGTATGGTCGTACGACGACGTAAACCACACCTCCGAGTCTCTGCCGCGACGCGGTGCCATTGTGACGCAGTGCCGTCTGTCGCGGCGACTCCTCGATATCATGCATGTTGAAAACCTGCGCGGGAACCACGTCGGGTCCGAGATGGCGCCCGGCACGGTGGCTCTGCTACATGGCCTCAAGGCGGTCTATGCGCCCATGCCCATTTTCATGGACCGGCCATGGGCGCCCGAGCGGCTTGCGCGCTGGTTCAACAACGGCCCGCGCGGCGGTTCTTCCGGTGGGCCCGACAGTGCCATGGGCTGGGGACGGGAAGGGCGGTTCCGCGGCAGCACTTGGTACTACCGCGCCGACCCACCGCAGCGACTGTACAGCAACTGGGTGGGTTACGAGGACAACGGAGTTGGAGGCCTGGAGTGGGAGATGGCGCATGGACGGCCGTGTCTGCCGGCAATGTTTTTGCACCCGGTCAAGGATGTGGTGCCGACAAGTCCGGGCTACGGCAGCGAGTCGAGGTTGCCATACTGAGGACAGGACCAAGGGTGCCCCATTCAGAGAGAACGGAATAACTGCCACGGTGGCATGGTGTGATGATGCATGCTTTAGACGGGACGGCATAGTCACGGTTGTTCTTGCTTACTTTATGCACTGTTTTGTCTTTGTCATGTATGTCATTTGTATCGAATTCAAAAGTGGTGCCGCAACGCCAGCGATCTCTGTATGGATGAGCCACATGGTGGCCCGGTGTATGTGAAGGAGAAAATGGGTGAGAAACGGAAGAAAGGTGCTGTCCACCTATGCCGCCGCTTTGGCCCGCAACGAGTTGTAGTGCTCGCCCAGGCCGAAGCCGTGGCGGTAGTACACCAGCCACAGCGTCGGCCGCTCGTCGTGGCCTCCGCCTCCAGCACCAGCCGGCGTGATCAGCTCGCTGCGCCCGTCGTGCAGCACCTGGATGTTGACATCGTACGCGCTCGCCAGCGCCGACAGCTCCAGCTGCCCGCCCCACTCGGCCGTGTCACGGATCTGCGCAATGTGCGTGTCCAGGTCGGTCCCGTCCTCGGCCGCCAGCAAGAACGGCGCAAAGTCGTCCGGGTGCGCCTCCATGTACCGCGCCGCCGCGTGCCGCACCGCCCGAAACGCATCCAGCGCCTCATCCTGCGCCGTCTGCCGCACGGGCCTGCCGACGCCCTCCATCTGGTCGGCAACGGCCGAGAACAGGCAGTGTCCGTCGGGGCGGATCGGGTGCTCGACGCGGCCCGCCTTGGCAATGAGGGGCGCCATGGTCGCGCGCTCGGCCGCGGCGTGGTCGACCATGTGGCTGGCCTCGTCGGCCGCCTGGGCTGCCGCCTCGTCCTGTTCAGCGGCGCGGCGCGCCAGCCGCTCCTTTTGGCGGTTGCGTCTTTTGGGTTGCTGCTGCTGTTGTTGTTGTTGAGCTGGTTGTGGTTGCTCGTGTGGTGTTGCACCGTCCCCTATCGTCGTGTCGGCAAGCTGTGTCGTGACAGAATCGACAGGGGCCTCGCCGCTTTGTGTCGTGCCGTCCTCGCCCGCATCGTCCTCCCCATCCGCCACCCCCTTGTCGCCGCCGCCGTCCGCTGCCGCCTGCAGCTCGGCCTGGTGCCTCTCGCGCATCGCGTGCTCGAGCGCCGCGCACTCGTCGTTGACGCCCTTGCGGGTCTTCTTGGTGGCGTTCTTCTTCTTGTTGGTGATGCGGCCCTGCAGGTCGCGCAGCTCACGCCGGTGGCGTGCCTGGATCTCGTCGATCGACTCCATGGAGCGCGTGTGTGTGCGGTTGCAAGAGAAAGAGGTATATGAGATGTCGCAAGAGGCTGTGAGGTGACTGAAAATGTCTAAATAGTGGCTTACAGGCTTTTCGTGGGGCAGCTTAACGGTAAAGCCGCCCGAAAAAGGAAGTTGGGCGCAGAGCCGAGTGGGGCTTTGCTGTCCCCCCAAACGTTCGACATCAGATCTAGGAAATCAAAGCATGTCCACCACATCACACATTGCATCTTCGCGCAAGTCATGGTGAAGAACCACCGATGTGATTTCTGTCAAACGACACCTATGTACGGGGTACCAAATTGGGAGAATAATCTGTAAGCCCTAACTAATAAAGGTCCTGTTGCCTTGAGAAGCCCGGAGAAAAAAACGAACTAAAGGAAATCTGAATCTGATGCGCAAGAAACCATTCAGAAGGTTAAAAAGGAATGTAGGCTCGTCGCACCGCATTGCTGCGCGTGCACACAACACGTCTGTCAATTGTAGCGTCTGAACGCTTCTAGTCCCTTTTGTGAACCGTATAATATCCCGCCAGCGGCACTTTGAATTGCCTGCAAAACCCCCCCGATTTGAAGAATCGCAGAAAGGAAACAAAATAAACGAAACAGAAAAGACCAAGACAAGACGCAGAGGAAAGTGGAAAGGATATAATGAGAGGCAAGATATGAAACATGTAAAACGCATCGCAAAAAAAGACGGCAGTAGGATCGGTCTAGAATCCCTTGAATGGGTCGTCACGGAAGTAGTCCTCCTCCGTGCCTGCGCGGCTGGCCGCGTAAAAGTCGTCCGTGCCACGCGTTGTCCGCGAGTTGTAGCTGTCACGCTGCTCACGGTGACGGCTGCGGCTCGCGCGCCGTCTCATCTCCTTGCTCCGACGGCGCGCCCGGTAGCGCATTTCCTCTTGCTCGTCGGGGAATTCGTCGAACTGGGACAGAGCGAGGGGGCTAATAAACGCTTCCATCCGGACGGTACCAATCGCGTCAAAGAAGTTGTTCATGACCGCGCCGCTGGGCCGCGACGACGCTTCAGACGTGCGCTGCGAGCCAGCGCCGCCCGAAATGCCCCACGACGACGCTTGCGACTGCGAGATGTCCGAGTTGGCCGCCGTGCTGTTGCTCGACGCATGGTAGTAGCTGCTGCTGCTACCCGCCGGCCCAGAGAAGCCGCGGAACGACAAAGGAGGCGGCACGTGTCCGCCCGTGTTGCTGCGCTTGCGGCCGTGCACCATCACCTGGCTCGACCGGTCGTGGAACCGCGCAATCACTGGTGGCTCGGCCGTATCGCGCGAGGTGTCCCGCTGGTGGATGGAAGACGTGGCTGCCACAGACGGCGCCGATGTATATGTCACAGACGGCGCCGACGTATACGACTCGGCCGGCCGGTAGCTTGGAATGCTCGGCGGTGCGGAGTCTGTGTGCGAGGAAGTCATGCTCATCGGCGGCAGTGGAGGCGGCACAGTCACGGAGGATCCAGACGCCGTGCTCAAGACGGCTGTTTTGTTCTTGGTGAGTCGGATGGAGTCGCGAATTCCGCCTTTGCGGAGCTTGCTGGTTCGCGACGAAAGCTCAAAGTCTGGCAACGCCTTGGGTAGGGGAGGCGGCGCTGTAATGTTTTCGGGAATAGCCTGTTGTGAGTGGGCAAGGAAAGAGAGCGATGTGAGCCATAGGTAGTGGCGTTCGGGTGTTGTTGCCGTGAATTTGAGCGCTCTCTGCGGCGTGAGAATGAGAATCGAGCGGTTGAAGAGCTGGCTGCAGCCCTTGGGAGGCAGGTTGTCGTCCTTGACATCCAGCACGGACTGGATAGTCAGCTTGCGGCCCGACTTGCCCATCAGCGTACTGTTGCTGGAAGGCTGTTTGCTGCTCCACAGAATGGCACGCTCGTATGGTGCCAGCCAAACCCAGCGCTTGTGGCGGTCGTTGCTGCTGTCGTCACGGCCAGCAGTCTCGGCGGCACCGAATGACTTCCGGCGACGGACATACTTGTACATCCACTCGCCCACCATGGTCTGCGCAATGGCATCCACAACGCCAGTCGCCTGGTTCGAGCTATTGACGGAGCCAACGTTGGTCTGATCCGTAATAGCTGTGTTAATGGACGCCTGGTGCTGGTGTTGCGGCTTGTAGCGCGAGCCCGTCGAGGATCCGAATCTCGGCGCCGTGATGTCATTGGTCGGCAGCGGGGGCAGTCCAGGGCTCTCGGGTTCATCGTCCGCCGAGAAGGGTCCTTGCTGCAACGGCGGCGACCGGCTACCACCACGTCGGTTCCGTGGCTTGACAGGAATGGCGGCCGCGGACCGCACCTTGCGGATGCTGTTGGCCCGGTAGTGAGTCCGGCTACCGCCGCGACGGTGCCAAGCATCGCCCCGCGTCGGGCTTCTCTGGCCATCACTAGGCGCACTGACACTGGTGGGGGGCTTGCGGGAGCTTGCGCGAGTAGGAATCGGGAACGGCGGATCGCGAGGTTCCGGGAGGCTGGGGCTGCGTGACCGGCCTTGGTGCGTGGCGATGCCATTCTGGATCATGGCCGCCTTGCGCATTACGCCCGGTCTGTTGCCAGAAGGGCCGAGAACAGAGCCATTGCCCTTTTCAAAGGACAGCTGCGACGACCGCACGGATGTCCTCCGTCCAGTGGTGATCTCGCGGCTGTCCTTGGTGACGTCGGCCATGGTATACTTGCTGTATGTCTCAATGCCGGCTAGGTTGCCCAGCATGCGCACAGAGTTGCGCACAGAGCTCCGGCGTGAGAGGTACTCGGGAGAAGCCGTTTCACTAAGTGCACCCGAGTTGCGTTTGCTGGTACTACGCGACGAGCTGCCTGCCTTCGGCTTCGGTGCAGAGAGCGCCGTGCGATACTCGGAATCACTCATATCGGCATCAGCAAACTCGTCAACCTCATCCGAGCTGCCACCGTCAAATCCAGCAAACAGACTGCTAATGCGATGAGGACGACGCATTGGCGCTTTCTGGTTTGACAACGGACCGTCGTCATTGTTGCCAGGGTAGGCATCGTGCGTTTCCTCGGAGCCAAAAGCAGTGGGAGCAGGAGCCGGAGGCGAGGATGGTGGCTCACTCGGGGTGCCCGACCTCGAGACGAGTCTACGAGGGTTGCGGGGTGGCAAGGCGTTTGGAGCGGGCACAAAGTGCTGCTTGCTGAGGTCATCAACAGCAGCGGCAACAGGGTCTGAAATAATGGCCGCAGGAGACGACGGTCGAGATGTGATGGCAGATGGGTGTAGGTGAGCCGGCAAGCGATCAAGGCGCTTGTCAACACGAATCTCATCAGTCTGTACAGAGATAGACTTCGATGGCACAGGGCGTGAAATGATTTCAACCTGGCAGCCGAAGTCCTTGACGAGGGGAGGTAGACGCGGCTCACGGGGAGTCGTGGGCCGGCTTGTTGGCGGGTGGATGCTGATGCTTGGAATCAGCATCTGCGAAAGGGGAACAAGGCCACCTTGTGACTCGGCCACGGGCGAGGCAGGAGGCGTAAGAGGATCTGTTTGGGTCTCACTCGACACCATAGGAGGTGCAACTGGCTTCGGAGCAACGAGAGATGCACGCTTGATCTCCTTCTCAAATGAAGGCGATTTGGGCGTCTTCGGGGGGCTCAGGGGCTCATCCGCCATTGTCTGTGAGCCCACAGACACCATGAGGTTGCTTCCCATCACGACAGGGTCGATCGTCAGTGGGCGAGCAATGTGCACCCGCTTGCGTCGCTGGTTTGCCTCAATTTCACCGGTGCTGTCAATCGACTCTTGATGCGAAGAACGATCGGCACGTGCGGGAATGGGCGGCGGTGCTGTCTGCGGCTGGTGCAGCTCCACAACCGGCACGGGCTCTGGCTGAGCAGCCTGCGGTGCCGTCTTGGGCGACGGTGGTGGCGAGTACTGGCAGGCCGAGTCTGTGTATTCCACCTTTGGAGCCACTGGCGCAGGCGGTGACGGAGATTGCTCCTCATCGCCCTCTTCAATTGTGACACCCTCCAGGCGCTCCAGGACCGACTGGTTCAGGAAGCGGCCCCGGGCTACACTGCCAGGACGGCGAAGGCTCTCATTGCTTTGCTGGCGTCTGTGCGACCGAGAAACAGTGCTATCGCGACTGTGGCTGCGGCCATGCAGACGGTAGGACAAGGCGCTCTCGCGGCCGCCGTGGTCGGTCTCGTCGGTCTCATCGCCGTCAAAGTTGAGCTCGTCGGCAAGGGAGTTGCCATTGGGCTTACTGGGAACCACGGAAAAGCGAATGCTATTTGTCATGCTCATCGTCCGAACACTGGCGGCATCGTTGTCCTTCCCAGCAGTGGTAGCATCCTCCAGTTCTTCGCCGTCCACAGCGTGGCCATTCATTCCATTGACCTGGGCGGCATGGTACGCAGCCACTTCTTCGAGGACCGTCTTCAGGCGAGTATCGGCAACATGGAGCTTGCGCTCATATTTGCGCTTCTCTTCCTCCCACGCCTCTTTGTCCTTCGCCCATTGATCATGGGTTCGTTGTAAATCCTCCTCGTGGTGGCGAAGCCGCTTTTGGGTCTGGTCAAGTCGCTTCTTGGTCTCGCCAGCGGTCTCAACAGCCTCTTCCCGTTCCCGGGCCAGTTCGCCGAGGGCAGACGAAGTACCGCCCTCCAGAAGAGCCAGCTGGCGCTTCAGCGAGCGGTTTTCCTTTGCCGTCCCTAGAGCCGTCGCTTCTAGAGACTCGTGTTCCTGCTTTGTTGCGTGCAGTGTTGTCTCAAGGCTCTCAATGATCTTCATTTTCTCTTCTTGGTCACGGCGGAGGTTGAGAATTTCAGACACCAAGTTGGCGTGGAGGGTCGGCGTGAAACGGCGAGGATCAAAAATGCTGATGGACTCATCCGTAGCTAGATCTTTGGATGACCGTTTTGAGCTTCGGTCGGTTTTATCCGTTTTGTCTGTGTTCGGTATCGGGGGCGGCGAGATGCCCTTTCGTGGCGGCGTTACCGAGCGTCGTGACCGTCTCGAGGTCCGTGATGGTGTCCGGTATGGCGTATCTGTCGGTGTCGGTAGGGCCGCGGCCGCGGCGACGTACGGCCCGTCCATCTCGTCTTCGGTCTCCCACACACCCATGCTAGGCATTTCTTTTTGAAATTGTGAATGTGCCGTCGACAGGCAATGATGTCCAATAGTCCCCTATGAGGCAAGCACGGGCCTGTTCATATCGAGAGAACCTGAAATCGAGCCGAGTTGTGGAAGAGGCAAAAAAGCTTTCCCAAAGAAAAATAATGTCGCAAGTTTTCGGTATGATCTTTGAGCTCCGACGAGAAGAGCCTCGCCTCGGACAGTTGATTCTTGGGATCCGAATTTGCAACAATTCTGTCACGAAGAGTTACAATCACCTGTAGGTTTAAGCGGATCTTGTTAGTGACACCACGAGCCACTTCAAGTAAGAGATCGTGCTCGAAAAGACGCGTTGATTGTGCACGCACAATTGAAACTGAATTGGCAGTAGGGACAAAAACGCAGACAGAAAAAAGAAACGAAATCCTGCACAGATCGAGGGGGAATCGTAAACTTCAGCGACCCAATTCAAAGATGGTCCCGTTAGCAGGGGTCCCCCTTCTTGCTTTGCGTAGTGATGCTTGCTGCATTCGGGTGTAATATAGCAAGGGGAATCATAATACATGCAAGTGTGAAATAGGGGAGGTGGCTTGTAATCGTAATCGATAATCCAAGCCGCTCCAATTAAACACCAACTCACCTTTCGCAAGCAGTTTCTTGCGGGAAAAAAGAAACAAAAAAGACACAACTGCACTAGGCACGTTGGTCAAGTCAACATTCAGCAAGGCGAATTGTCGAGATGTCGCGATGGGATGAAATTGACAGTTGCGAGACCGTTCAAATAGCTCGCAGGATGTATAAAAAGAGATTTAAGAAGAAAGACAAATGAATGGTTTCTTCCGTCGGTCTGCTCTAAGAAGGGGCCAGAGTTAGCCGCCAATGAACTCGGAGAGCAGCTCTAGAATGTTGTATGAAACGGCACACGCGGCTGGTATGGTTCGTTCGAAGATATAGTGCTTGGGATAAAGAGTCGTCTGGCGAGTATAATTATATTACGTACCTTTGTCGTGGAGCAGGAGCTACAGTGGTCGAATACACGATGTTTATTATGTGAGCAACGGTGAGTATTGAGTTCGTCCAGGTGTCCCCGGAAGCAACGAATGCTGAACAAATGATGCAACACGGTCAATGGGGCGAGAGATCAAAACAAGGCGTGCGGCAGAGAGCAAGAAGAGCGATCACAACCGTGAGACGTGAAGTCGTCGTGTTGGTTCGTCCAGTGTAGCGGAAGGCGTCCGTTTGTCGGCGTGAGGTCGTTAGCGGCGGCCACTTTCGTTTAGAAGGCTTTTGTTGTTGTGTTCGGGGACTAGAAGACGTTCGCCGAGTCTTGCTCTGGAGTATCGGAAAACAAAAGCGCAATGCTGGCAGGAAGACGAAGTGACGACAAAGTAAAAACGACAGGACGAGTGCTCGCTCGGCTGTTCGAACCAAAGAATGGGGGCGAGGGGAGAGAAAGGCAACGCCGTGGGAGACAAAGTCGAAGGGGAAGCAAAACGACGATGCGTGAAAAGAGAAGAAAAGGGGAGAAGACAAGAAAATGCGTACAAAACAAAATGGGTCAGGTAGGAACGTGAACAGACAGGTGGACTAAGAAACTCGAGGAAGCGAGAGAAAACCGCAATCTATCGGCTGCTCGCTCTGCGACCTCTTGTCGCTCAAGATTAAGCTCCCGGAACACAACACTAACCCGAAGAGTGTCTCTGGTGAAGTGGCCCAGGCTTTTTCCGGCAGGGGTGCGATTGGGGGAAAAGCGAGCTGGGCCTGAGGAAAGAGAGGAGAGTGAGGAGAGTGAGGAGAGAAAACAAGTGACCCAAGAAAATATGCAAAATGGCAACTGAGAAAAGGCGGCCCCTGACTGGCTTTGATATGCTCCACCGAACCATCACGGACCAGCTGGGAGGGACTTGACCTCGGGGAACGATGTGATGTAGTGGCGTCGGCGTGTGGGTTCGTGCCTCTTCCCTGTCGCTTTTTTGTCAGACAATTTGGTGCTGCATCTGGTCTGGATGAGGTCGTCGTATCGTGCAGGCCGTTGGAGGGAATGGGTGGTGAGCAAAAACGGCTTTCCGGGGGGTCTCAGAAAGGGGGTGTGGGGGCGTGTGTGGACGCGGAAGTGGTAGCTGTCGCCGAGAAGATTGACGGGGGGGGGGGGCATGCGGGCCAGAAAGAGGAAATGGAAGGGGGAGGAGGCGGCCAGGGGTGCCGCTGCAAGACGATATCGACTGGCTGTTGGGGGCTGTGGGACGCGACACAGAAGCAGCAATACACAGTAAACAAAAAGGAGTGACCAGAAGTGGTGAGATGAGGATGAAAGAGGCGAGGCTGGCCAAGGTTTGGCCAACCACAAAAGGTCGAGATGGAAGGAGATGTCACAATTGCAGGGAAGGAGCAAGCCACAAAAAGACACTGGCAGCAGAGCAGGGAGTCGCGATCAGGAAGGTGCAGTCTGACAAAAACGCATGAGGAGATATCACAGTAATTCGTAGTGACGGACCAATACACCACAGTGAAAAGGGACGGCGGAAGGAGCGACGAGCCACGGTCTGTGCGGAACCACGGCCGTTGAATTTTGTGCTTTCTTTTTGCAGCATAGTTGTCCATTGTCTTCCCACTCTGTGCGTAGCTTGCCGGGTTCTTGCCTGGATTTATTCAGAGCAGGCAAGCGATGTTTTCTTGTCCAGGGCAAGTACGACCAGCTACAATTGTACTGCACCATGTTACCGGCGGCTTGTTCCTGTCCCAGGAAGGCGCGACGCTTGTGCAAGAGAGAGGGCAAAAGCCCGGCCCTTGCGCCTGCCACGGTCTCGCAGCTCTTGGGCCAGCGGGCACTTGTCCATACGCCCACAAAAGACGCACACAAAGCGCCATGCACACTGCAAAGCTAAGATGCTGCTTCGCAGCAGCTGACCCGCTCCGTTAGTGACGACCGACAGCTTGGATACTTTTGCTGTGAGAGCTGTGATGCGAGAGCCAGACTGTCACTGCGACTCGGAATCTCTGACAGAAAAGGACTGGACTGGCGCAGTGCTGATCACAGTGGAGAGCCACCCGCTGAAATGGCCATATCGAGTTAGTGATTGGCACAGTTTCCTCCCAAGCGAGGTCGTTCGTTCCTTCCCTGCCACTGTGAGCCATTTGCGTTTCCTTTTTCGTCGCGCTGTTCGATCTTGGACTTCCTTTTGCCTTTGATCCGTTGCGTCGCTCTTGCCTTGCACTAATATGTATGTTTGTACCATTCGTATTAAGTCCAACGATACGAAACTGCGCTCCCTTGCTTTGCAATGCAACTTCCCCGGTGTAATACTCCATATGAGTGCGGAGTCGCTATCCCATGCCGGCAGGTGCAGTCGATGCCTGCGCAAGCGTCCTCTTGCCCTGCCGTATATGGCAATCAGGGGGGTTGTTTGGCAAGTCAAAGTCACCCCACGAGCAGCAGAGCTGGTAAGCTTGCGTTTGGCGTTCCTTCTTATTTTTATTTTTATTATTATTATTATTATTATTATTTTGAAATTTGTATTTCTTTAGTGGAAGGATTCAACATGGGGGAAGGTGCTCCAAGCAGCCACTGCGTTGGGTCTTGCACCACCCAACTCACATCATCCCGGGCTCCAAATTAGATCAGTCGTCACTGTTTCCAGCTCGCTAGTGTGGCCGGCTCATCGTTTAGTGCATTTAGTTTCGGTCGCCCGCAAAGGGGCGGCCTCGGGCAGGGCCAACCCGCCGTGGCTTGTTCGACGGCGGTTGATAGCGTGTCTTCAGGGTTGTTGTTCTTTTTTTCTGGCGCGGGTTGTGCCTTTTTCTCGATTTTTTTGTCCCTTTATTTCTTTGTTACAGCAGGCACTTATGCACTAATCGTGATTAGGATGGAATAATTCGACATTTTCCGTAAAAAGTACGACAATAAAATAAAAGGGGAGCAAATGGTGCCCGCTAAGCCGAATTGGGAACAAGCGTCGGAGTGTGATTTGTGCTGAAACATTGGAAGGCAGGAACGACCAACAAACGCGGCCAAAAAGCTGGCCAACAAGAACCACAAAACGGGAAGGACCGACCAAGACCAAGTGGACGACAATATGGAGAATGGCAGAGGAAAGAGCGAGAAAGGTCAAGGAAGACGACAGAAAGTGCAAGAGGTGCAATTTCATTGCCGTCGATCATTTAAAAAAAGCTCCCGGCCGGGCAAGCTGGGAAGCAACGTCGAACAGGAAAGAGCTAGATTCCCAGTGTTATGTTCAGGAACGCATGTCCAAACAAGACATGAACGAAATAAAAACCAGCAGAGTGGCACAGTGCCGTTCTTTGTGGATAATTACGAAAGTTGTCCAGAAAGGCTAGGCGAGGGGGCCGAGCGTTCGCTGCGTGTTCTCCTGCCAGGTCTTAATACTCCGTACCTCCGTACAGCGTACGACATCGATACAGCGCTCATGCAGACAGGCAAGTTTCTTTACTCTTGTCTCTCTCGCTTTATTCCATCTCAAGTGTCAGCAAAGCATCTTGTCGACTAATGTGGGGCAAGACCACATGAAGAAAAGAAAGCAAAAAAGGAACACTGGCTGTGTAAACAGAAACCCTGCATCTGGAGTCAAACGAGACACAAGAAAAAGAAATACGAGTGTGATGAGAAAAGCGTCGGTCAACCTGGAGAAAATACCACCCTACCATTGTGGCTCGTCCCATTTACTGATACCACCGGCAGCGACCACGCCTCTTGCGTTCAAGACTCCTTCCTCTCTTTTTCACATGAGTACGACGCATGTCCGTCGTCAGACGTACTTATTGTGGAATCCCGCGTCTTGGGTTCCGCGTCGGTGAAAGTACATGTACAGTCTCATCAACCCAACCACGTTCTCGCCCAGGTATTTCGCACTCAGGCCTTTCCTTGCATTTTTATTCCCGAGCATCTGGGGTGGATGATCGTCAGTGGACAGAGCCTGCTGTGGCCATCCGTCGAATCCGCCCAACCCCTGCAAAATATGGCTCGGGACCTGGGCCCTTGTAGCGAGGTCGCTGTTTCAAAA